CTGCAGCTCATTGCTACAAGTCGTAAGTGATCAAGGCTCACACTCTTCTGTTCAGAGTTCAGCTGATGCTCTAAATATTCTGAAGCACTCTGGAGGGACTAGTGTGATTATCCATTGGGTATCGAGCACTCAGAGTCTAAAAACTATATTATTTTCTCAAGCATTGTGTGAGGTACCGAGGACATTAGCAAAGACAGATAAACTTGGATTTCTATCCTAGCTCCTTAAATAAAGGTACAAAGACATGGGAGGGAAATAAATGCAAGGAATGTCTTTGTAATAAGTGTGTAAGAACATGAATCAGCACAAGACCCTAATGATTATAACACAACCACAGAAGACTGCTATAAAAATACTACAAATACATAGAGATCTTAGATTACTACAAATAACATGACTCATGGCACTCCTTCCCATTCTGCCATATGGCTTGTGCCTGACTCTTCAGCATGTGAGAACCAGTGACACAACCATAGGAGAAATGCCAGGTTCTGATAAACATCAAACAATTTCCTTTTCATCTAATGGTAGGCAGAACTTCTTAGTTCCCATTCCCGATCCTCACTATTACAATAAAATGGAGAGCCTTAGTGGCACTTACTAAGATGTGCTCTTCATGGAGCTTTAGTGGCAGTGGACTTAGCATGCACTGTGTGAGTCAATACCAGAAGAGGGTGGTGTCTGTGGTCCTGCCCAGAGCCTGCATAGTCAGGAGAAAGAAATGCAACTCAACTTGAATGCTTAACAAAACTTGAACCTTTTTATCCAGTTCCATCCAGGTGCGTCTGGGAGAACACAACATTAATGCCAATGATGGCTCTGAGCAATACATTAGCTCTTCCAAGGTCATCAAACATCCCAAGTACAGTTCATCCACAGTGGATAACGACATCATGCTGATTAAACTGAGCAAGGCTGCCACCCTCAACTCCAAAGTGGCCACAGTCGCTCTGCCAACCTCCTGTGCATCTGCGGGAACTCAGTGCCTTGTCTCTGGCTGGGGTAACACCCTGAGCAGTGGCAGTAAGTGTCTGTTGGAATAGAAACGCTGAGTCTTTGTGGAAGGCATGTAGATGGTCAGTTAGCTCCAACTGTCACTCATGTTGAGTTGGCCCTTGGATTATTTTGGGAACTTGAGAGATTAAAGGCATATAGATGGAAATAGGACGGACATCTTCAATGATAGCATACCAAATTCATGCGCTATCTGTGAATGTGATAAAGATTTTAGGGAGTATCACATGAACAGGGTGAGTAATGGGCACAAATCTAGAGGTCAATAAGAGTGGGGTTAAGGAATGCCAGAGTAGAAGAATTGTGTCCCTGCATGAGAAATGAAATTTCTAGGCTCCAGAATTCTGGTGACTGGTGCCAGTGTCAAAGAAAAAATGTGTTTATGGCAAACAGCTGAATTACTAACATGAAGTAAAAGTTATTGGAAGACAGAGAAAGAGTGAGACTGGTGGGTGAAGCAGACAGATTTTGGGAAAGAAATTTCTAGGAGGAAGACTTGTGTTGAATTTGACTTTCACTCTTGCCTTCCACAGCCAGCATGCCATCTCTCCTGCAGTGTCTGAATGCACCCGTCCTCTCTGATTCCACTTGCAAGAGCTCCTACCCCAACCAGATCACTAGCAACATGTTCTGCTTGGGCTTCCTGGAGGGCGGAAAGGACTCCTGCCAGGTGAGTGTCTGTGCTCCTCCCGCACCCAGGCTTGCTCTTCTCCACCTGAGTTTCCCTGTTCTGAAACACACAGGAATGTATGAGCATCCCTGGACTGATGGAGAGAGATGAGCTCCAGTTTGGGGATGAGTCATTTTCTCTTTGTGATATTAATAGCTGGATGCAGGTGTAAACAGGGACACAAGCAGTGCTCATCAGACACTGCACACACACAGTAGAGCTTAACCAACTCCAAGAAGGCATACTGTGGAAGGCGCCCTTGTAAAAGGATCAGTGCTCATTCCTTAGCATACAATCTCCCTTAGGTTACTTTGGGCTACTGTAAAAAGAAGTGCTGAGGCAGGAAGTTGGGTAAGCGTTATAGTAGAGATTCTAAAGATTTTATTTCCAGAGGGAAGGATGGTGTTCCATGAAGATCAGCAGCCGAGAAAACAGAAAGAACACTTACCACCCCATCCCCTATCTGACCATAAACAAGAGCACTGATTGTCTCTTCCCCTGCTCAGGGTGACTCTGGTGGCCCCGTGGTCTGCAATGGAAAACTCCAGGGTATCGTGTCCTGGGGCTATGGCTGTGCCCTGAAGAACAAGCCTGGAGTCTACACCAAAGTCTGCAACTACGTGAGCTGGATTCAGCAGACCATTGCTGCCAACTAAAACCACTTTTACACTCCACAGTCCACCCTGTTAGTTAACTCTCTTTTCATGCCTGAAAATAGTAACTAAATAAAGACCTTTTTTTAGCACCATGATTGTTAAGAGTGGTCGTTTCTTTGAATTGCTGAACTTTGTTGAATCCAGCTCCTGAGTAAGCCGTTGTAAAGAGGGAAGGGAGTTGTGACACAGTTGAGTGAAGCTACTTCCTTTGATAGTGGCATTTTATCCCTGATTCCTGTTCTGGCTGCTTCACTTGCAGTCTTTCTCCTTATTTCTGGTGTGGTCAGCATTGGTTAGCGCTCCGAAGGATGGCTCAAATGCTTGGACCCAGTCACTCACTGGGGATTCTTGGATGGAACTGTAAACTCCTGATTGTGGTTTGGTTCAATTCTAAACTTTGTGACCGTTAGTACAGCAGGTGTGAATGAAGATCTGTGTCTCTCCATCTTTCTCATATACCCTGACTTTTATTTAAGATGTATTTCATTTTATTTTATTTTTGAAGATGTATATACTTTTATTAGAAAGTCAGATATATAGATAGGAGGAGGGAAAGAGAGAGGAAGATTTTGTGTGCCATGATATAGTCATCCAGCAGCCTCAGAGTCAGAGCTTAGGTGATGGAGAACTTGGACTTTAAGTCAAGCTGAAAGGATCAATGTTCCATCTGCTTGTTCACTCCCCAGATCAGCATATGGGTCAGAGTTGAACCAATCTGAATCCATGAGCCAGGAGCTTCTTCCAGGTAGCCCAGACAGGTTCAGGGGCCCAAGGGCATGAGCCCACCTTTACTTCTTTTCCAGAAGCAATGAAATGGACCAGAATTGCAGCAGTCAGTACTAGAACCACAGAACATATGGGATGCAGATACTAATGCCAGAGACTTTCCCTACTGGCACTTGCCCAGAGAAAATGTATTATTCCATCCATTGCTAGCCATCCTTCAACTGGGACAGTAAGTGACCAATGGCAAGGTCTGAAAAGAAGGGGGAGGGAATGTGAGGCAGATCCACACACAGCAACCTCCCTTCCTGACTCTGTTGCTTTGACTCTCAGCTTGCTTTCTCTATGCTGATTGGTGGTGATAAAGTGATTTCTGTTTGGTGCAGAAACTGAAACAACTGGGAAACATACATCTAGGAAATATCACAAAATGCATCTGTTTTATTAAATCTAACAACTAATAAGAAATAATACAGACAAGAACATGGTTATAAAAACTAACAGCTAATAATCTACCACCTTCCTTCCTAAAGTTGTCACAGGTAAAGCATGGAACAATTGGAAGCTATACTGGAATCATTGGAAAGAGCAGACATGGGCTAGCAAGATGGTCAATTGGCTCAATCCTCCCCTTGCACGTGCTGGGATCTCATGGGGGTCAGTTCGTGTCTGTGCTGCACTGCTTCCTATCCAGCTCCCTCCTTATAACCTGGGAATGCAGTGGAGGATGTCCCAAAGCCTTGGGACTTGCAGGTGTGTGGAAGCCTTGGAAGAAGTTTCTGGTTCATGGGTTTAGATCGGCTCAGCTCTGGCTATTGCAGCCATTTTGGGAGTGAACCAATGGCTGGAAGATATTTCTGTCTCACCTTCTCTCTGTAAATCTACCTTTCCAATAAAAATAATAAATCTTATAACAAAAAAAAAAACAAACAAAAAAACAGAAGACCTGAAAGAAGGTCTGATCTAAGCTTTAGAAGAAGGCTGGTTTCCTGTTCATCTCATTTCTCAGAATACAAAAGAGTGGTGGTGGTGCCTTAACTACTGCTGCTTGTGGGAGCAAAGGACTCAGGTGAATTCCAAATTGACCACAGGGAGTCTGGAGATTTAGGCTGGCACCTGTGTGGAAGCTTTGGAAGAAGTTGCTAGCTCGTGGGTTCAAGACAGCTCAGTTCTGCCTACTGCAGCCCTTTGGGAAAGAGAACCAATGGTTGGAAGATATTTTTTTTCTCTTATTTCTGTAAATCTGCCATTCTGATAAAAAATAATTAATTTAAGGAAAAAAAAAAACAGGAGAAGACAGAAAAACTGATGTAAGCCACACGGGAAGGCTGCTTCCCTGTGGCAATTCATTTCTTAAAATACAAAAAGGTGCTGGAGGTGGTTGTGGTGGTACTAGTGCCTTAACTACCACTGTTTGTGGGAGCAAAGAACTCAAGTGAATTCCAACTTGGCCACAGGAAGTCTAGAAAGTTAGGCTGCCTTCCAACTCTAACTTACACAAGGATCACAACTTCTGAATCTCTAAAATGAGGAGAAAAGAAAAAAAAAGATGTGGAAAATCTGTTAAAGGTATTTTATGCTTGCACACTCTGCAAGACTCTAGGAAGGACAGGGAGAGTCCAAAAGACAGGAGGCTCAGGGAGCAAGGCTTATCATCACAAAGAGGGTGGGGATGACAAAGAAAGGCCATGTCACAGAAAGGGACAGGGGAGGGTAGCCAATGTGATGCTCTTGCAGACACTGCCAGGATCAGAGAGGAGGCCGGAGGACCTTGGCTTGGTCTGCTTGTTTCTATCTATCACCCACAATAGAGAGGGCTCCCAGCAGTGCTTTCCATATGAGGTCTAGTAAGGACTAGTTTGAAGACACTGATGAGCTCCTGGTTTCTTTCTTTACTCTGTAATTAGCATTTCTTGCTCATTTGTTCTTGCCACAAGCTGCTTACAGCTTGATCTCCTCTCCTCTCCTCCTGCTGGCGATACTGCAACCTGCCATGAAGAGCCCTTGCATTTTTATTCTCTTGTGTGCAGCTGGTGAGTATTGGGTGGCTTGGGTAGACCTGGAAACTTGGGTGTTGTGTGAAGGGTTGGGAAGCAAAGGAGACAACCAAGCTAAGAGATCAGGGCATATAGAGCATTTCCAAACTCCATGAACAGTCTTGGGGAAGAATCAGAAGCATCTTAATACACACACAACTAATACACTCATGTGCTCCTAAAGCCCTCTGAGGATGGAGAACCTGTCGAGTCCTAATGACTACCAATGCCTTTCCTTCTCCTGGTTGCTCCTTAAGCTGTCACTCTGCTGCCCAAGTGTACCACACTGCCCAGGGCAGTGACCATGGGAGAGGAGGACAGTGGGCTGCGTGGGGAGCTCTGGAAAGCTCCTCCAAAATGAGGCAATTTTTAATGTTCTACTCAGATTCTTTGAAAAAAAATTAATATTTTACAGGTTTTTCAAGGAATTCATGGCACCGTCATGAGTGTTTTCAATCACTGGGTGTTTGAATTAGTCTCAGGAACTTTAGTAGTATTTCTTCTCAAAGACACTTACTCATTTCCTAGGGTGGGATGCATGATTTCCTCTGCTTTTTTAAAGGGTTGAAACAACCTTGATCTTAAATTTGAAACTCTTAGCTGAAGGAAGACTTCTGATGCTGAGTTCTTGTCTCTTTAATTATTTGCCTCTTTATCTATGATGTCTTGAATCTCCAGGAGCTGTTTTGGGAGATAGCTATACAGAAAAGTTTAACTCAACCCTATTAACTATTCCTTACCTGGCCTATCTTCAGACCAAGTCAGGACCCTGTGTAGGGTGTCTCATACACCCAGAGTGGGTTGTGACAGCTGCACACTGCTCTGCCCCGTAAGTATCTCTTGTGTTCTTGGGAACTGGGAGGCAATTATGTAATTTCTTATAGCTGCAGTGTATTATGGGATCTAGCATGTGGGGAAGTGAAGATATGTTATACCACACATCTCTACTCCTGAATAAGAGAACTCCCAGTGAAACAGTTAAGTATATCTTGACGTTACCATGATAGATGTTCTGCCTTTGCCTATACCACAATGCCATGAAACATTTCAATAACAGGATGTTCAACTTCTAGCTGTTATTAAAGGAACAGTTTAGGTAGCACTATAATTCTTTAGGTGGTGGAGCAAGGGACTGACTTTTGTACATGCCTGCTCTGGAGGTGGACAAGCCTGACTCTTTCTAACGAATGTGAATGCAATGAGAAATGATCACTTGGAGTACTCACAGACTGAATACTTACTTTTGTGGGGTTCTGATAAATATAAACAACACACGGCAGATGACGTTATTTGGCTTAGGGTGATCACAGAAAAGCCCTAAGAATATAGACAATTGGTGGTTATGGTCTTGCTGAAGGCTTGCTGGAGCCTGTGTAGAATAAACACAGAACTGTGACGTCCTGGATTGCAGTGCAATCTCTGTTACCTGCTAACATTGATTATCCAAATCTCAACAATAGTAACTAGACTATACTGAGTGCTATCTCAGCAGCCAAAAATCAAGTCACATTTTACCTGAGCACGTCTTCTCCACAATAGTGAAAACTATTCTTACTAGTTTTAAAAGATTTATTTTAACTGGAAAGGCAGATCTATGGAGAGTAGGAGACACAGAGAGAAAGATCTTCCATCCACTGGTTCATTCCCCAAATGGCTGTAATGGCTGAAGCTGAGCTATTCTGATGCCAGGAGCCAGGATCTTCTTCCTGTTCTCCCACATGAGTGTAAATTCCCTAGTACTTTAGCCATCCCACACTGCTTCCTCGGGCTATAAGTGGAAAGCTGGATGGGAATTGGAGCAGCTGGAACATGAGCCAGTGCCTATATGGAATCTGAGCACTTGCAAGGGGAGAACTGAGCCATCACTCAAACTGCTCTTTACAGTCAAGAAAAGTACTCTGTAGTTCTCAGGTAAGATGATCTGTGTGTTTCCTCTACCTAAAGTTCCTTTCTATCTCCTTGTGTCTTTCTTCCAAAAGTATTAATATACGACTTGGTGTTGTTCAACCGAGCATTAAAAGTAAGAAAGAGCAGTCACGGAATCACTCCTTAATTGTGACCCATCCTGGATTTGATTCAAAATCTCTGAAGAATGATGTGATGTTGATAAAGCTCTCCAAGCCTGCAAATATCAACACTGATGTGGGAACTATAGCCATAGCCTTGGAATCCATGCTTTTCAATGACACCTGCTTTATTCCAACCTGGATTTGGAATGAATATCAAAACAGTAAGTGTTTGACTCCATTTTCTTAATGCAAGAGATTGGGGGGGGGGCTGTCAAAAAAGTGTTGAGGTATACTTGATGGAAATAACTATTAGGAGATAATGGCATCAAGTATAGAGCAATTAATGCCAGGATCTTACAAAACTATGTTTGGAGATCAAAGATAAAACTCAAAGAAGCTAATATAGTGTAACCAACCTGATAGCACAAGTGGAGCCGTTGGTAGGAATAACATCTCTAGAACATTCAAGATCAGGATCCAAGGAACAGAGTGAAATAAAGGAGATATTAAAAGTCCTCACTCCAACGCAAGCATCAAGACATCTTGTGGTTGGTTGACCTATTCATTTCCTAATTCCTACTGCTAAAATCACAGTGCCTAAAAGGAGACAGAGAGAGAGCAGTCAGAGTGCAGCACAGTACTTTGGTGGTTAAAGACTTTGCCTTGGATTCTCTGGGATGCGATATGGGTGGTAGGTCTTGTCCCAGCAGCCCTGCTTCCCATTCAGCTCCCTACCTGTGACCTGGAAAGGCAGCAGAAGATGGTTCAAAGTGTTGGGACTCTGCACCTGAGTGGGAGACCCAGCAGAAGCTGCTGGCTTCTGGCTGCGACTAGGCTCAGCTCCAACCATTGGGGCCACTTGGAGTATGAATCAGTTCAAAGAAGATATTCCTCTCTGTCTCTCCTCTTCTCTGTATATCTGACTTTCCAACAAAAGTATTTTTTATAAAAAGAAAAAAATAATATATGAATGATAGATGAAGCAACACGACATGCATCCACTCAACCACTGAAAGCCCCCCACTGTGCAGACACATGGTGATCCATTCATTCCAGAAGACCCTTAGAGAAGAGGGACAATGAGGGAATCACTTGTTCTGTCATAGGGGCCATTTTCCTACTAGAAATGATGCTTTCCTGCCTACAGTTCAGCTAAGTGTGTCCACTCAGAAGTGGGGAATTGGCAGGTTCATATTGAAGTCAATTGGTCATTATGACATATTATTGTCATTCCCTTGGCTCAGCATATCTCCTGGGAAACATGGACACAGCTCATGTTGTAGGTGCACATGATTCTCTGTGAGCTCTAGCTGAAAATGGGCACAAAGATCTGGTTCTTGAAGCAGCTTGTTTCGTTAGAGACACTTTAAAAGAAAGTAGATTACGAATGCATCTGTTGGTATCTGTTGGTTATTACTAAATGCGGTTCACCAACCATGCTCTCCTCAGGTATTTTCAAAGGAGGAAAGAGCTACCACTTGACATCTGAAGTAAAGCGATGAAGCTCCTATTTTTTGTGATAGGAAGGCAGAACAATCTTCTCCAGGCTTACTACCACTGAGCACAACAGAATTGCAACTCCTGGAGTTTGTGAGGAGCTTGGAGTTCAGGAAGTGAGGCATAAGTGGATTACAGGGGCATGACTACTTCCAGTTGGGCGCTCTAAGATACATTTATTAGAAGGCATATGTCTTTGAAGCACTGGTTTTAAGAAGTGATGGGGTAGGGCTGGCACTGTGACCAAGTAATCTAAATGGTCTTCTGCAACACTATCATCCCACGTCAGGGTTGTGGGTCCAAGGCTGATCCTTTCCAATCCAACTCCATGTTAATGAACTCAGTGAAGATGGCTCAAGAACTTGGGCCAGTTCCCCTTAGAGAACTGGATAGAGTTTCAGGCTCCTGGCTTTGACCTAGCCTGGCCCTGGGCCACAGCAACCATTTGGAAAGTGAACTGTAGATCTATCTTCCTCTTCCTTCTCTTTCTCCTTTACTTGTCCCTCTTCTTTCTCTCTACCTTTCAAATAGATTAATTAAAATGATTGGATATAATTGATTGGCTGATTTGTAAACATGCTCACTAATTTGTCCTGTACCTACTAACTAGGTTTAATCTCTGCTTTTGGTAACTAGAGCAGTTTATCTGTTCTGTAAAAACAAACAACACATGGGAACTTGTAAACATCCATTGGTTTAGTAAGAAAGAGAAAAAGTCAGAACCTACACTATTAGTGTTTTGTAACTTTATTTTTGGTTTACAAACAAGATGCCTGGAAATATAAGTTAATATATATTGTGGATAAATTATAGCTGGTGTAACATCGTTTCTTAATAGGTTTTAGTTATCACCTCAAATCTTATAAGACTCAACAGAAATTTGATTGTGTAAGTTCTGCGTGTCAGAATCACAGAGAAAGAATAGATTTCTATAAACTCTCTAATGGAAAGTTCTCCACAGTTATTGGGAATTCATTATTTCAAGTAACTTATGTTGCAATCACTTAGCTTGTTACACCTCTCTTGACTTTGATTCCATAACACTTAAAACCAGAGGCCATCCTAGAGATGTAATGATAATGCTTCGATTTGCAATACCTTCATCCCATATGGAGACTGGTTCATGCACCAGTTGCTCCACTTCCACTGCTAATGGTCTGGGAAAGCAACAGAAAATGACCAAGTGCTTGGATTCCTGCTATCCACATGGGAGAGCAAATGGAAGCTCCAGGCTTGTGTCTTTGGCCTGGCCCTGCAGCGACATGTACAACCATCTAGAGAGGGAATCCGACAGATGGAAATTGTCTCTGTGTGTGTATGTGTGTTTGTGTGTATGTGTTTGTGTATAAATGTGTGTGTTTGTGTGTGGTGTGTATGTGTGTATATGAATGTATTTATGTGTATGTATATACATGTGTGTTTGTGTACATGTGAATGTGTGTAGACATGTGTGTGCAAGTATGCATATGCCACTCTCTTTTTCTAACCATTTCAAAACACATAAAATATTAAAAATCTTTACAACTGAATAGAATTCCTTTCTCTTGTTTTAAAACCTGACCTTTTCTGGTCTAATCTACTTTAGGATACTTAATTAGATATATAAATGTACCCACCAGTCTCACTTGAGTGGCCTCTGGTCAAGAGTTTTGTTTCTTTCATTCTTGATATGGTCTATCAGAGATTAACATTACATTATTGCTAGAATAAGAACAATTGCTCCGATTAAAATGAACTAACTGATCCATTAGTGGAAATTTTATATCTGTTGCAAACATATACATACATTTATGAAGAAGCCATTGATAACCTATTTAAAACAAATCCACTCATGTACACAGGAATATAGCTTCTCCCTTTATGATTAAATATGAAACTGATGTATTAGATGCCTAAAAGGGGGAGAGGTATTGTTGGGAACAATGGTTCTGTGACAGTCTTCTTTCTCATGACTTCATGTAATCTCAGTTATTTCAAAGGTTTATAAATCATGTATGATTTGAGAAAACTACAGAATTGGTGATTGATGGAAACTGGGTTTATGAATCCACTTTTCTGACAGAAGAGTTCTGAACTAACAAAAGAAGGAGCTCTGTGCTAAGGAGAGGACTTGGAGTTGATTTGTCTTGTCTTTCATACAGACAGTGATGCTGACATCTTGACATGGATAAATGAGCACGCTCTTCCCAACGACGAATGCCTGTCTATACTTCATGAACGGCAATCAGAAGTGTTTTCAAACATCATGTGTATGGGAAAACCTATATCTCCCATATTTAAAATTAAGGTATTGTCCATTCTTCTGTACAAAGACACAGGCAGGGGCTCATAGTAAGATGAGGAAGTGATGGGAAATCAGTTATAGTTATCTTCAGGGCTCCATTCAAGAAAAATCAGCATACAACTGGTCCCATTCGTCTCTTCCTCCAGTCTCTGATTTGAAATGGAACATCTATCCCTTTTCCCTTTGCTTGTGCTAGCATTGATTCAAGTTGGAGCCAAGGAGTGAGCTTCTGTGAATGTGAGGAGTTGTCCCCTTTTAAGAAAAAGAAAGGAAAAAAAGTCTAGTTAATGAACTGGTTTTGCCACAATAATGAAGCAATGCATCACTTCTTGGCATTTCGTTTCATGCCCTTTGTTGCATGAGATAAAAAGCTATATTGACCTCTTGTTTGCTTGGTCTGGTAGGAGGTTCCAGCTGCTCCAGCCATCTGCAATGGGAGGCTTCAGGGAATCTTGTCTTGGACCAATGGCAATATCATCCTAGGAAGTGAAGGATTCTTCACCGAAGTTCATCCTTATGCAAGATGGATTATGGCAACCATAAGTAAACACTAAAGTGTTACTGTTCTCCTATATTCACAATGTCATCTCTTGGTGATTTTCATAATGGATCCTTCATCTGAACAGAATCGAAAGATTCAATAAAAATAATCAAACTTATGCACTGACTTTCGCTCTTTATCTTATGATATTCAAGAATGATGAGAAGTTTAACACTCCATCTATCCACGCTTAAAATTAAAGCACCGGCTACATTTGCTATGGATGTATAAATAAGTGAAATAAAAATTTTTGACCACTGATTGGCTAAACACACTTGACATTTTACCAACACAAATTTGAACTGCAAAGTTGTACATAGATGCATATTTGCTTCTATTTTCACATTGAGATTGCCAACACTCTAGAAAACCTCACAGATAAATTTCATAATTAAGAAATATTAAAAGCATGAAGAAGCCAGGTATATGCTATTGGTTTTCTCTTATGGTTTTTCATTTAAGGGTAGGTATAGTAACTGTGTAATGGAGTCTATCATATCTATATGTGATATGCATCTGTATGTCTAAATCAAAGATGGACTTCCAATAAAACTATTAAATATATCTTGACAATAGGGTTCTAGACTCTATAACTTTGTCCACACCTACAATGTCAGGATGCACTTAAGTAGAAGAATGATGGACTTGTGACTTTTTATGAAGGACTATACTACTGTGATGATATAGGAGAAATCAGTGGGAGGGTTGGAATTTAAGGAGGGGAAAAGGGAAATCCCAAAGTCTATGAAATTGTGGTATAAAATAGTAAAATAAACAAATTTAATTTAAAAAGAAGCCACGTATATCATAATGCATAAAATGCATGTCGTTATAGTTATTTACCACTTGCATAAAATACAAATGAATCTATTATGAAAAATTAAAATTTAGTGAAATACATGTGCACAAACACATGTTGTCCATGGTATCATTCCCGTAGAAAGAAATGGAAATGAGAACAAATGTGCAATATTAAAGCATGACTACACAAGCTAGCTCTAAAACAGAGTGCATTGCTATCATGTTTTCACAGCCATCACCTATTGTATTCTTGGGGTATCAAAATTGTGTGTGGATTTTTAACCATGCCAAGGGGCTGTGATGCTAACCTCCAAATTGCTCATGGGCTAGCTGTAGGATACTTGGTGGCAATTGATACTATAGAGATAAAACAATCTCTGGGAAATAGTAAAGCCAAATTTTCTAAATGGTAGAATCAGAGATGTTAACATCAAAGAGGCAGATAAATTATGGGACAGTAGAAAAGTGGTGTGTGTGGGGAAACACATGCAAGCAAAACAGAGCAGAAACAATTTGCTACAAAGTGTTCTAAACAGGCTGGCAAGCTCGGTGGTAGTGAAGGGGCTAACATCTGCAAAAGGGTTTGGATTCTCCTGTTGTCAGTGGGATGTGATTAAAGCCATCACGATAAAATATCTCATATTTCTGATCTGAGGGCCATTAAGGAAGCAGAGCTCACAAGATTCAGACGTAATGACTGTGAGAGGAAAAAGCTTGGATGGTGTCATGCATTACTTCCAAGTTTCTGGCTTGGGCAAGTAGACATTGTTGATCTGAAAAGAACTGTGGTTTTGTGCACAAACTAGAAAGAGCACAGTCGCAAGTCAGGAGACGTCTCGCATGCCATGTTTGCAATCCTTGGAAGACATGGAGGTGATCATTTCTGACAGAAAATTAGAGAAGAATGTGTGGAACTCATACGTACATGGCTGTCCTGTATTTATCGGTGGTTGCTCTTGGCTTTGGGAAGAGCTGCAGCAGGCACTCAGCTCTCATCCCTGTCATCCACAACAGGGGTGGAGGATGTCTGGTTCTTGCACCGTTTGGTCTGACCCTGGCCAAGTCAATTGCAGACAGGACTCAAAATTCAATAAATGTAGCAACAGGCTGTTTCTTAATTTCAAAATTTGGCACGGAGCATGAATAATGTTATAAATATCTAAATTTCCCTTTCAAGAAAAAGGACTTTCCTCCCCTGACACAACATCCATACTCACCATTGATATAAGTCCCACCTCTTGACTACCTAATGGACATGAGCACTGGACTCACATCTCAATGTGACAGATACTTCCCAGACCTACATCTCACAGTTCCCTGTTTCCACTTACTAAAAGTGCTAGCTGTGCAAAGCTATGTAAAACAGGATGTTTTGTTCAATCTTGAGGAAGCTAAGCAACCCAGCCAGAGGGAAGTTATCTTTTGTTTTCTTTCCATATATTTGTGAAGGGATCGTCCGTCATGATCTCCCACCAGCTGGCCTCTTGAGAAATGTTGCAATCAGGAAATGTTGCTGATAGTCACTTCCTTAGCAACCACAGCCGCAGCTGCTCTTCACCCTTTCTGTCTAACCCTTACACTTGTATGTTGGACAGAACTATTCCCATGCATGCCACAGTCAAAGAATATTTAAGTGCTATTTCCAACGACAGAAAAAAGCCACAATATGTTCCAAACAAATTCAAACACACCATCCCATAGAGAAGGTCCTCTGCTTTCATGATTGAAAGGTAAAGACCTTCAAAGCCTGAGCTGTTTCCTAAATCCTGGTGTGTCATCCCAGCACTCCACCCAGTCGTCTTTCGCACAGACGACTTTACTTTCCTTGGCCGAATCAACTTCTGTCACATTTACAATTGCCTCCTGGCTTTTTATTTCTATATAAAGTTGAGCAAAGGAGCCACACAATCTTGGCACTCTGTGTTTTGAGGCCTAAGCTTCAATGTTTAAAATTTTTCTCCAGCATTTTACGACGAACAAGTTCGAGCATCTAATAGAGACGAAAGATCTTTAAAGTGCATGAACTGTAGGCCCGCCACTGAGACACTACCGCTGAGTGCTCTAATTTTTATTAACATCTTGCAGCAGTAAGGTGCATTTGTTATAATGAACAAACAAGTATTGGTATGCTGCTGTTACATAGCAACAGCTGACATAAAGGTTCATTTTTTATATTACACGGTCCTATTGGTTTTGATAAATGTGTAATGTTATAAGTACATTATCAAACAAGGTAATTATACTGCCCTAAAACCCCCTGTGCTACACTTACTCAGAGACAAGGACTGTAAGAATGGTTCATCACTGATAAGAAAAAAAAAGCAGAGAGCATGCTCCCCTCTGCTTGCAGCATGTATTTATCTAGTGATCACCCGTCTAGTATCTATTTACTTATGTTCCTCTCATTTGTGAATATATGTGTGCACCTGCCACATTATTGAGTTTTAATATTTATTTCTGCATTTTAGATATACCAGATATGTGTTTTGCAAATATTTTCGCTTATTCTGTGGCTTTCCTCACTTTTTGCCTAAATGCTTTACTTACTAAGTGGTAGATACTCAAATACCTATAATTCCCAATAGTCTAAGAGCTCTGAAAAGGCAGAACTAAAGTGTCTAATGTAGACATGCTTAGCAGCAAAAACAATTTTTGATACACTCAAAAACACAATACACATTATTGGACTGATGGTTTTAACAAATGGATGAATAGGGCCCAGTGTAGTAGCCTAATGGCTAAAGTCCTTGCCTTAGATGTGCCAGGATCCCATGCGGGTGCCAGTTCTAATCCCAGTTGCTCCACTTCCCATCCAACTCCCAGCCTGTGACTTGGGGAAGCAGTCATGAATGACCCAAAGCCTTGGGACCCTGCACCCAAGAGGGAAACCCAAAAGAAGCTCCTGGCTCCTGGCTTCAGATCAGCTCAGCTCTGGCTATTGTGGCCGCTCGGGGAGTGAACTAGAAGACAGAAGATCTTCCTTTCTGTATCTACTTCTCTCTGTATGTCTTTCTTTCCAGTCAAAATAAATGGATGCATAATTACATGAAAGGGCCAAAGAGAAGTTAATACCAGGCAGAGAGCAGAAGTCAGCACCAGAGGGTCAGGTCACATGCTTTGGAGATACGTATTAATGTCACATTTGTGAGGGTTAGCATCACAGAGGTAGGAGTGGCCAGCCTCCTCCATGTGGCACAGAGAGGGGAGACACAGGTGAAGGATGCTGTGAAGACTCAGTAAAAGCCAATTCTCAGGTTAGTTTTTTGTTGCTTTATATTTCTTTGGCTCTGAAGAGTACAGGGCAGGGAGTAGGGGTGATGGTGAGTTTTAGAACTGTTATCCATCTGCTGCATCAAGGACCAATTCCTTGATCTCTGTTCTTTTCCTGACAGCCAACATCACCACCTCGTCTGACTGAAGGGCGTCTTTGTTGGAACAGTTTCACCACTGAAAGAATTCTAGGGCTCCATCCTGGTTTAAGTCATTTGCTTCTGTTCCTTGCTTTCTCCACATAATTCCAGAGGCTGTAAGCTGACCTGTTTTGACATTATGAAATTCCTCCTACTCTGGGCTCTCTTGAACCTGCCTGGTGAGTGTACACACATTGATTCCTTTAATCCTGGGGAAAGCATGACAAACGGACCATGAGAGAAGATGCTGTCAGATGTGGGATTGGGTCTCTGTCCCTCCCCACTGTCACTGTCTCTGCCATGTGACACTGCCTACCCAACTTACCTCAGCTTGATTTTATGCGTCCTTTGTGGGGACATGTGGACATGGGCACCCCAATACATGAAGAGCAGAGACCAGACTGCTGACCTCTCTGGAACCGGACTGGTGGTGGCGTAAGGGGATGAAAAGCAGGGTGGGGACTGAAACCAACTGTCCAACTTATGGTCACAATTACATGTGGAAGAGTTGGACAGTTTCTGGCACACTTCCTGGTTTTCAAATAGAAACCTTAAAGTTATATCCATAAATGCTTCCTTACAACTTTTTATGTTAACCCTCTACAATTTTAGGAAATCTGTTCCTTAAATACAACATAAATCCAACCTTGTCCCACAGCTGCTTCCCTCTTCTGCTCACTATAGCCCAAGCCAATGTCTCCTCCTTGGACTATCAACTGAATCTCCTAACAGGCTGTATTTTGTCTGTACCTGTACATGTCACAAGTATCCATGAGAAAATGTCATTGCTCTTCTACACAAAATCCTGAAGTGATACCACATTCAGAAGACAAACCCAAGTTCTCCCCATTTCAGAAACTTCTTGACCGTGTGTTCGGTCCCCTTTTCTGCTCTATCCTCGACTCGCTCCACATCAGTGGCACTGGCCTCTGAGATGTTCCTTACTCAGGTCTTAAAACTGCTACTACAAAATTTTTTTCTGCATAGAATACCTTATCCCCAATAACTGATCATTCAACTCCTTCATTTTACCTCATTGTTCAACATTGCCCATAAAGTCCACTCTGACCAATGATTTATCACTGTGCAATACGTACATGTTCGACAAACACATGCATGCACAGACTTTCACCTGTGCACACATGTGCACAACCCACACATGTAGAAACACATATAAGTGTCTTTCTTTTCCTGAATCGCAGGTTCTTTTTCTGGTAGCTCTAATCACCATCTAACATACTATGTCATTTTCTTCTTGTTATCTCCACTCATTGGGATGTGTGAGAGCAAGGATATCTGATTTGTTCACTACATAATTCCCTAAAACAGAGCATGACATGTACTGCGTATTCTTTATTTGTTGAGTGAATGAATAACTTCCCTTATTTGGTCATTTTTATAATGGCATTTATATTATTCCGCTTCCTGTTGTTGCTAGGAGAAAGTCATGACTTCTTAAAACATCTTAAAGATTTTTATTTTAAAAATGAGTAGATTTACCGTACTATGCACAGCATTATGAAAGGTATTTAAGAAAGCTCGTATTTTAAAGACTATTTGTTGAAAAACATTAAAGGAGAACCATCATTTGTAGAAGTAGCATGAATTAAATCCTTTTTACAGATTTAATTTGCAGATAAAAGAACTAGAGAAGTGTGAGGGAGCCTGAACTCTATGAAGATATCAGAAATTACTGGTTCTAGTGATTGAAAAAGCTCAGAATGTCATGGCTGTGCCTTTCTTTCCAGCTGCCATTGCCTTTAATCCAGACTACACAGCTGACTTTACTCCACCCTACTTAGTCTACTTGAGGTCTGAATACCTGCCCTGCACTGGAGTCCTGATCCACCCACTTTGGGTGCTCACATCAGCACACTGCAACCTACCGTGAGTAATAAACCCCCACACTACTCTGCCCTTCAAGCTCCTAGGTGGGACACAGACTTGATGCCAGCCTGCCGTCGTCTCCCGGTTAAAGAAGGTTGAGAATAATTTTGTGGGACACCCAGTGGCACAGAAACTGTCTTTTGGGAGGCTAGTAAAATGCCCTAGAGATGGAGATGCTGTCTACATACATTCCTCTGAACATTCATATCATTCCAGGAAGCTCCAAGTGATGCTGGGGGTTACAATCCCAGCAGACAGACAAGAAAAGCATGTACAAGTTGTTGGCTACGAGAAGATGATTCATCATCCATACTTCTCAATCTCTTCTATCGAGCATGACCTACTGTTAATCAAACTGAAAAAATTCATTGAACCCAATAACTATGTGAAAATAGTCAACCTGCCATCCAAAACTGCCCCTGTGGATACCACATGCACTGTCTCCACCTGGGCCTACAACATATGTGATTCATGTGAGTTCAAAACATTCCAGGAAGGCTGAGTCAGGAGTGGGCTCAAACCCAGACACCGGGATATGTGTGCAGAAGTCTCAAGGGCCACCTTCACAACCCTGGCAAGTGCCTGCCCCCCATGCTCCATTCCAAATCTTACTATTTTGCCAACTACTAATGGCACAGTATTTTTAAATGAATATTCTTTTTGTATCTAATATTTGAAAAGCTAGGTTAGATATCTCCAAATATTTTCAAACTCTAAGACTTCCATGTTAAAAGTATCACACCATACTTCCAAGTAATTTGTTTCATTTAATCACACTCCTCATGTAAACGTATGACTTGCAAGAACTGAATGGCTTGCACAAGAGAACAGACACTGGTATCATCAGAAACCGTTAACTGATCATCTCTCGTTTGCTGCTGATCCTGTCGGTTCTTACTTCTCTCCCTGTGTGATCTCTTTTCCTATGTTGAAGTTATGTTGGGAAAAAAATGGAAGGAAGGTGAGAATCAGTTTCTACAAGAACTCATAGCTCTCAAAGACATTTAGTGTCTTTTTTTTCCTCTAGCAAAGGAGCCTGACTCACTACAAAACGTGAACATTTCTGTTATCACCAAATCAGAGTGTCGCAGTACCTATAAAGCTTACAGGATCACAGAAGGCATGCTGTGTATTGGCATTGTGCCAGGAAGGAGACAGCCTTGCAAGGTAACATGCAGTCTTGGACTTCCTTGTTTTATTCTTTGTATCTTCTGACAGAAAGATAAGTCACTTTCTGATTTCTTGACAGGAAGTCTCAGCTGCCCCCGCAGTCTGCAATGGGGTACTTCAGGGAATCCTGTCTTATGCAGATGGATGTGTGTTGAGAGCTGATGTTGGCATCTATACCGAGATCTTTAACTACGTGACCTGGATTAGAAACACAATCCGGAACAACTGAGCTCCCATAGCAGAAACTCTGGGCCTTGTGACAATCTGCCTTCAAGCTCAGTCTAAAATTAAACTGCATTGGGCCATGAGTACATGTCTCATTGTGTTGGTGAGAGTGGTGGTTACACATGCCCATACGGAACAGCTCTTCTTCCCTTACAAGTGGAGGCAAGAAACTCAAACTCAGCCCAGTCCACCAGGCAGACCTCCAGGGAGCTGTCAGATCAGGTGCTCCCAGGACTCCAGCCAGAGAGAAGCTGGCTGTGGTTGTGCCAAGATGCCAGCAGGGGGCTCTGCGTCGGCTTCCTGCCACCAACGCTGGATTCTTTGGCACCTCTTGTCTGGATCTCTTGGAGATAATTTTTGCAAGCAGAGGTTGCTTCCTGGAGAAAGGTTGAGCATCTTGGTCTCCACCTGTCCCGAGGACTCAGGCCTCGTCATCATGTCATCTGGAGCTGGGCAGGTGTTTCTCACAATATCCAAAGCAACTTGAAGAAGACCTACGCCTGTGATTAATGGCATGTTCCATCTTAAGATGATAGCGAAAAGAGATGGAGATGGGACAAAGGAGAATCTCTGTGGTGGATGTGGGAGCAGCTTCTCCACCATGCCACTTCTCCCTGGTGGGTTAGGGAAGGATAAAGAGCAGGTGCAGTCCCAGGTCAACACGTACGACGTGATATTTCATTTCTGGTCTCTGCTCATCTATTTGATGAAGTGATTCAAGAGGCCTCATAGTTCCTAATGGGCAGCTGCAAGGATTGAGATTTAGAATTTATAGCTGGAGTGAAAGCAAAGCAGAACTCTAAGGAGATAAATTCCAAACCTTCAAAGTCTGGGGTGAGGGATGGCATGATGAGCTGGACTGCCCTTCACCTCTTCACCTGTTTCACCTAGGAGCTTCCTTATTCCAACGCTCCTGACAATGATTCACCTTTGATTCCCCTGACCCCTTTCCGCCAGCCACCTGCTTGCCTCCAGAACCCATGACCCTCCCACCCTTTCTGAGTAACCACTACCGGCCCACCTATTAGGAACATCTAATGCTCGCCCTCAGGGGGACTATGCAGTCCAGCTGTGATTTCCTCAAACTCCAATCTGTCTCAAACTGCTCTGAATTTGTATGCCGCAGATAAAAATTGGGCATGAAGGGTGTGTGCCTGAAATCATTGCGGGGCAGAAGGGTAAAGGTGTGAAGTTGACGCTGAAGAGGATTTTTATGGACTCTAACTTTATGTCGTATGTACGTGTGTGTGTGAGAAAGAGAGAGACAGAGACAGAGAGACAGACAGAAAGAGACACAGAGACAGCAATGGAGGTTTGGAAAATTAGAGCCAGACTCAAACCACAGGCAAACAGAAAAATAAAGTGACTTTAAATTACAGAGATGTCAGGAAGTGGTCAGTTTCAACCAAAACGCATCCAGTTGTTGTTTAGCAACTCTCTAATTCAGAGCTTCTGTTTTCTCAGCCCAGACACAGCTAGAAAAGAAATTCCTGCTTCAACAGCAGAAAGACGTGAGATGATGAATGTCTGAGGTTTATGTTTCATGGAAAGGCCATCTTTTTTTTTTTTTTTTAACAACACACTATGTCTTAGGAAAGGAACATGGACAAGGAAGGCAACCCTGAATGTGTCCTGTCCAGTCCCAGGCTCTCGGCTCCTAGCTGTCTCGTGAGGGCCCTGCCTCACCCTAAGGACAATGCCCTGGCCGGTTAGATTGAGAGATGAAGGATCCAGGGTCTTCTCAGTTTACAGACTTCTCATCCTGTCTTCCTTCTACCCTCGCTTAGCTCTAATCCTTGAGTGAGATTGGGATCAGAGTCTCCAGCACTCCTGTTTCCTCCTGCTTCTCAGGGTCAGTGTGTCCCCAGCTCAGCCTTCTCTAGGCTTGGCTGGGCTCCTCATCCCAGACCAAGGTAAGCCGCTTGTTTCCAGGTGGCTGCCTAGAGGCTGACCTTTTCTACCAGGTCCAGAACTGGGGGTTGTGCCTGTCTGTATAGAATGTTTGACTTCTCCCTCTGCTGCATCTCAGTAGCAGCAAGCAATCATAGCCGGATCCTTAGCAGCTTTAATGAACCCAGCAGGTAGCACAATAACCATGCATGCACTGAACGTGTGCTCTGTAAGTGAATAGCCCAGGATCTACCCACTCTGTGGACAGGTAGGGGCCTGTGTGTATTTTGGGAGACCCTTAAAGCAGGCATTCTGTTAGGTAGTAGAGAACGGTATCCTGGGTGTTAGATGAGACCAGATGTGTCATTCGTGACAAAGAATCACTGCGGACATAGAGTGAAATCTTTGTGCCTTCCCTAAGAAGCAGCCAACAAATGACACCAACACTTCAATTGGGACAAACCATGGTGGAAAGGCTTGACCCCCACATCCGGTGTCTTGTAAGTGTCCGTGGCCTAAAACAATTGAAATGGTGCTGGCTTGGAGGATGGGCCCCATGTTCGGTGTTAGCTCTGCCACTACTTGATGGGTGATGAAACTACCCATGCTGCTGCATACTGCTCCTATTTCTCTTTTAAAATGGGATAGAGATTGGAGAAAATTACATGAACCTAAAATCTCTTTCTACTCTACTGGCGTTCTCATACTCCTTTTGTGCCTTTACTACTTACCTAATACCAATGTGCTAGCAAGCGGAAGGACAGGCTGTACCTCTGGTTCCATCTCTATGATTTCCCCGAAAGGCAACTCAAGACAGCATCCCCCAAAACAAAAACGTTGTTTCTTCCTCATTTCCTCCCTCTCTTCTCCTTAAGTCCTCTCCTCTAGGATCCTCCAACTCACGGGAGTACATCCATGCTGCCCCAGACTTGCCCGCCTGCCAGGTTGGCTAAGCTTGTTTACCTCTATGTGTCCTTCCAGGGATTAGTCACAAAGACTCCTCCGAGAGATGGAAATCACAGCCCTCCCCAAATCCCCTCCCAACAGCTTCTCTCCTCCCTGCTCAGCTCTGGAGGCTGAAAAGCTAGATTTACATGCAGGCCCATCACCAGCTGGAGTCTCAGTTCTATCCACAGGCAAAACGGGCTCGTGAAAATTGGGCTGGACATCTATGTCAGAGAGAGAATGTTCACAAAGGACACCCAAGGACACATGTTGGTGGTGGGGAATTAGAAGGAAGATGGGGAGACACAGAGCTTAGAGAAAGGGAAAGAGATGGAGAACTGAACAACATCTCAGATTTGCAGTTTCCATTGGTCAGACCCCAGCATGGATGTAGAACAGAAAACCTGAATCATGCGTACCTGAGAACTTTATTGTGGGACTCTCTCGAAAAGAATGAAAGGCACATGTGCTGGACCCTCTCTAGACACTTCTCACCTGCAGTGTTATGTAAGTGGCACCACTCTGAGCCCAGAGGATAATCAGATCCCAGGAACCCCAGCCAGTCCCTCCCCCGTGGCATGGTGCCTGGCCCAAGTAGAGAGACATATAAGCCCAGAGCTTCCAATCATGCATCCACACGTGAAGCTGCAGGTCCCAGGAGCCATGACCTGTGCCCTGCTCTTCGTGCTGTCCCTAGTTCTGGCCCTGGCAGCCCCATCCCAAGGCCATGGCCTTGGCCCCAAGTCCCGCTTGCGCTATTCCAGGTTCTTAGGGCCTTCCAATGTCATTTTGCTGCGCTGGGACTTTGATCTTGAGACTGAGATCATCACCTTTGAGCTCCAGGTCCGGACAACTGGCTGGGTGGGCTTAGGTGTCACAAACCGCTACACGTTTGTGGGCAGTGACCTGGTGGTTGGAGGAGTCCTGCCCGATGGCCATGTCTACTTCTCGGTAAGTCTGAGGGTGATGCTCTTCCAGGGATGAGAGCCTCGGCTGGGTTGATGATGTTTTATTAGACACAGCCCATCCCATATTTCTAAGAAGACACCCCTTGGTAGCATGCTTTGTCCCAGGAGGAAATGACATAATAACAAAAGCCTGTATTCTCTCCTTTAGTGTCCTGGAAGAGCACCAGGTATAACTAGTTTCTCAAAGCTTTATCGTTTGGGTCTCCTGGCTCTTACTCTTTGATCTCTCTTGTGCCCTAGGATCAGCACCTGGTGGATGAAGACACCCTTCAGGAAGATGGGAGCCAGGATGCTGAGCTGCAGGGACTCAAGGAAGATGGGGTCTATACCACTTTGCGCTTCTCCAGGCCCTTCCGGTCCTGTGACCCTCATGACCAAGACATTACGGTAAAAGAAGGAAGGGTGACAAACATTCCGTCAAAGGAAGCTTTTTCTTTTAGAGGAAGTAGGTCACCTCCATGAGGCAGCCAATCACCTTACCACAGCTGCTTCATCCACAAAACCTTCCCACATTCTGCCCCAAGAGTGCCATCCCATAGCAACCCACAATCCATTTGCAGGTGTACCACCCATTAACTTGGCGCTCACTCCCAGCCTCTTCTCTTCTCTCCTACTGAAGAATATCACATGATTTCACTGACCTCTAGGTTAGTGGGATTTCAGAGTTTAATCCAACCCTATCCCATCACAGATGCAGGTGTAAGCATAGAGAACATAATGAGCTGAAACAAGACCTGCCCAATACTACGAGCAAGTAGCTGTGAGGGGCAGGATCAGAACAGACTAATTCTAATTCCAGGGCTGAGACGTTCTATATCACTCACTCTGTGTGGCCAAAAGTGAGTGGCTGGCACAGCTCGCTGGGTGTAAGAATGAAGTTCTGCCCCTGGGATAACAGCACTTCTATGTTCCTGATACCCCAGGTTGATACCGTGAGGGTACTGGCTGCCTATGGCCTGGATGACACACTGAAATTGGATCAGGAACGCATTTTTGTCAAGTCCATCTTCCTGCTGCAAATATTCCACCCTGACGATCTGAAAGTCCCCGAGGACACCATCATTCATGACTTGGAGATCGTGGATGTAAGATTTCTCAACCCTACCCCACCAACTCCAGCTCCCTATCCATTTCCCCTTTCAGCCAAGACCCTTCTGTTTTCACCTGATAGCGAGCATGCTTCTTGTTATGCTATTGGATAACACTCAAGTCCCGTGAGGCTACTCTAACTCAGAACCTCTTTTTATGGCTTGTCCCTTCCTGCTTCTTTGGAGCCTCACTCAATTTTGGTCCACCCTACTCCAGTTCCTCATTCCAGAAGATGACACCACCTATGCCTGCACCTTTCTTCCTCTTCCCATCGTCAGCAAGAAACATCACATCTACAAGGTAGAGTGAACCACATGGGGAATGGTGTCAAAGAGAGGGGAAAATGCTAGAACAGAGCAGTGGATGCGGTTGACCAGAATAGAATGATGTTTGGGAAATGACTGGCAGGAAGTAATTGGGAAGTGACTGGAAAAGGAACAAGTGGCAATTACAGAAATTCCAGAGTGGGAAACCACAACTTGAAGTGACCTTATGTATTTATTTGGGAGGTAGAAACAGAAACAGAGAAATATCTTTAAATGCTGGTTCTCTCCTCAAATGCCTGCAATAGTTGGCTCTGAGCCAACCTGAAGCTGGGAGCTGGAAACTCAGTCCAGATCCCAGATATGGGTGGCAGGGACTCAAATATCTAAGTCATCACTTGCACCTGCCTTCCAGGCACAAGAGACTGGAGTTGGTAGTGCAGCCGGGAATCAGATCTCAACACTTCTGTATAGGATACAGACATGTCAAGCTGCGCCTTAATTTCGATGTCAAATGTTCATTGAGGCATTATTTCCATCAAGCCTCTCTTGTAGCCAACGTTTTAATAAGTTACTGATTAATAAATATTTGCAAGAGACAGAATCCAGGCCCAAGACTAGTCCCAGAATTGTGGACTCTTGGCTCAGGAGAAGTTAAATGCAGGAAGGAGATGTCAGAATGTCGGCAGTCTGGCTACTGTGAACTCAACGCTTGGTCACCTCACTGCACATTTGAGAATTTTTTCTTCTCAATTATATAAATGAATCACATTAGAGTGAGTGGCGAATGTGTCAAAGCCATTTTTTGCTTTAGAAAGAAACTCCAGGAAGGCGTGTCTCCCCGATGAGACAGGGTGAACTGACTGAGGTCGCCCAGGAGGACAGTTAGGAGTCTGGGAGAGTCCCTCGTGGGAGCCTCAGTGGCTGCCTGTGCTTGGCAGGAGGAGGTCTAAAGCAACAGGAGTTACAAGAGTCAAACTGAGTTGGTGACATTAATAGTCTAGGAAGAAAATGAAGAAAATGAAAGGGAGATATAGAAGAGTGGGAAATGACCACAGTTTTAGTGGGGGAATATGTTTTATTTAAAGAGGATAAAAGCGATAAGAATATCTTGACCACACTTTACCCTCCTTCCTTCGCCCAGTTTGAACCCAAGCTGACACCCCACAATGAGACCGTGGTGCATCACATCCTGCTATACGCCTGTGGCAATGCCAGTGTGCTCCCCACTGGCATCAACGACTGCTACGGGGCAGATCCTGCCTTTTCCCTCTGCTCACAGGTCATCGCTGGCTGGGCTGTCGGGGGCACTGTGAGTTCTGTGATGGGAAGATGCATGGCTAAGGGAGTGCATGTAGGGCAAAAGGGATTTTCAGGTTGGTGGGAGACCAGGGTAGAGAGCGTGTCGAATGTGTGATGAGACCTAGAAAAGGAGGTCTAGACTTCTCACGCTAACAAATCTCCCTCCCTCCAACAGAGTTACCAGTTTCCAGATGATGTGGGCATCTCTATTGGAACTCCCTTGGATCCTCAGTGGATTCGACTGGAGATTCACTACAGCAACTTTCGTAATCTTCCCGGTAAGCATTTTTCTTGGCCTGGATGATTCCTATAGTAATCAGGGGTGTGAGACGAGATGCCACACTGGCTGCTGGTCACAGCCCACCTCATCATTGTGACCAATCCCCTGTCTTCTATCATTGCTCCTGTTACACCAGGTTTGTATGACTCTTCAGGGATCCGTGTGTACTACACCTCTCAGTTGCGCAAATACGACGTGGGAGTCCTCCAGCTGGGATTCTTCACCTTCCCCATCCACTTCATACCCCCAGGAGCAGAATCATTCATGTCCTATGGGCTGTGTAAAACAGAGAAATTTGAAGAGGTAAAGCTGGGAGCACACCCTCCTCGAAGCTCCTTGCTCCCCATCATAGGGCCAAGTGACCCTAAAGTCACACAGCCTGGATCCCAGAGTTGGAGAATAGCCTGATGTTCAGAAAAACATCGGTGTGAGTCATGCAGAAAAGAAAATAAGTCAAGGGTCTGTGGAAAGAGGAGATGAACAGGAGAAAGGGTCAGAAGAATTCAGTATGAATTAAGGAGCTGAGCATCATCCATAGAGGAAGGTGTCAAACCACAAGGAAGGGAAATTATGGAACAGGTCAAGATCAAATTCTTAACCAAGCGGTGTGTCCTTTTCCTGTTACAGATGAATCGGGCCCCAGTGCCGGACATACAGGTATATGCCTACCTGCTCCATACCCACTTGGCTGGGCGAGCTCTGCAGGCTGTGCAATACAGGTGAAAGAAGACTTTGGCTTTGCTTTCTGCATGTGGGAATAAATTATAGAAAGAGCTACTTATTCAGCATCACTAGGACATGTTGGTTGAGAATAAGGAAGAGCTAGAACTATTCCTAAAGGACATTAGACTTCAGAAGAGGGGATTTGGGGGGTTTATTTTTGTGGTTGCTGCAGCGTCATACGATGACCCATACTGTGCCACTCTTGGTGGACCCTCCTGGCCTCATCTTCTCATCTTTGTCTTTTCCACTGTTTCTCTCCAGAAATGGAACACAACTCCGAACAATTTGTAAAGATGATTCCTATGACTTCAATCTGCAGGAGACTCGAGATTTACCAGCTCGATTGGAGATTAAGCCGGTGGGAACCTGAGGGAAGCAGGACTAGAGTGGAAGAAAAGGCGGGGTCTGAGCTCATTGTCACCAACCAAGGGTGTTCCAGGATTGTACCAATTCCTCTGTGTCTTATTATCAGTCTTCATTTACCATGAACAGGGTGATGAATTGCTGGTTGAATGTCACTATGAAACCCTGGACCGTGACTCCATCACTTTTGTAAGTAACTCTCTTGTCATTATTATGACCTTGACCATGGTCAGCAAAGTCAGCCCCACTCTGGCTTTGGCTGCCATGTGATTCTGAATCCAGTTGAATTCAGTTGAAAACTCTTCTTTACTTAAGTGGTATAACTACTTACCCACTCACACATGCTCTGTTCACACTCTGGCCCTGCTTCAGGGATTCCCTGCATTTACTTTCAATGATTTACCAAGACCATAGAAAGACAGTATATTATAGTGACTAGGATCATGGAGTTGAGACTCCATTTAGTAGCTTTCCAACATTAGACAACTTTACATCTGTTTCCTACTTCATGAGAAAATGAACACTCTTTCCTATCTCACAAACACGTTGTGAGGCTTGGTGAACACATGAAAAACAGTCATTTTCAGATTTGTCGTAGATGCTGACTTAGAAGTAATTCTTGTTGCCATGCCAACCAGGAACTCTGTGTGTCTGTGGAATACAAAAGTTATTGCATGCTATTAAGGAAGAAAATAGACACACCTATGAAAATGATGCAGCATAGAAAGTGTATACACTGTAAAGGAAGACTGAGGATAATGAATTAGGGAAATTCACAGGAAAACAAAAACATAATCTCCCACTGCAGTGAGCTGAATATCTGATATAGGGAAGGGAGTTATGCTTTAGACATACAGAGTTGAGTTCTGAAGTAAGCAGAGCCTGAAAAAAGCCACAGAAGGGACAAGCAAGGGTTAGATGTGAAGTAAAATGAGCTTGGTTTAGAGTTCAAGAATGGGAAAAGGTGTCTGAAGGAATGGAATTGACATGAAGATGGTGCCACTGGAAAGCCTCTTTGAAGTAGAAGTGATGCTATCTTACCTGTCCTTGGGAGAGCTGGATCGAACACTTTCCCCCGTGAAAGATCTATCAGGTAAATACATGGAATGAATGAGTGGGTTGGAACTTGCTATAAATACAATCAAAGAAGGTGGCTAGTGATCATGGACTGTTGTTAATGGATAGCAGCCTCTGGCAATTACAAAACAAACAGAAGACAGAATAGAAGCTGTGTTGTTGGCAAATAGCCTGGCAACTCTGTGAAGAACAGAGTGCAATCGGGAGGGATAGGGATTGATACTGGTCGGGGAGACAGAGTCCTAACCAAACCAGAATGGCAGAGGGAATGCAGAGGACAGGGATTATATAGGGAAGATTTCTTGGACAATAATTATGATAATTGTCCACTTGTTGGAAATAGAGGAAAACTCAACAGTACGGTAATCAGCAGTGAGTTGGCTCCATATAAAGGAGAGAGGGAAAAGCCCTTCCAGATAGAACAACTACTTAAACTACTTCTGTCCACCCTTTTCTTCTCTCTTGTATGTCTTTGTATTTTCCTTCTATACTAGTCTTTCCATTTTTTTCTCCTTTTCTCCAGGGAGGTCCTAGCACTATTAATGAGATGTGCCTCATCTTCCTCTTCTACTATCCCCGAAATAACATCTCCAGCTGCCACGGGTATCCTGACATCATCTCCGTAGCCCATGAGCTGGGGGAGGAGGTGTCTGAGTGAGTCATCGTGAAGGACAAAGCCCTGAAGTGTGTATGGGAGGGACCCTGGCATTGCAGGAATTGGGGGAGAGGTGTCAAAGGAGACCCGTCCACTAATGCCCGGGCTGATTAGCCAGGATTGCTCAGTGGACAGCCTCATCAGCTCCTGAACTCTTCACTCCTGTCCTTGTCAGTGTCCCACTCTCCAGGACCCTCTTGTGACTCTTGGGAGAGTACTGATGTGGTTCCCAAAGAAAATTACCTGTGTGGATTGCACTGCTTTCATGTGAAATTTCAAGGCACTTAACAGCTTCCCTGCAATCACTCCATGAACCTTTCTGGGCCCCATAACCTCCAGATTAAGAATCACTTCCTTCAAAAGCCAGAAAATTATACATATATAAACATATCAGAATTATTATATATTATTATAATATATGTATACATATATATATAGGAATTATTCTCTGAGAGTTTAAACGATTTTTTTTATGTCAAGCTGATGGTGGTGCTCTCATCAAGCTGTAAGACTTGCCCCATGGCTAATGCTGCATAGAAATGAGGCTTACACAAATGAGGGTACTTTCTGCACGTTTGTTCAAAGTTCCAATCAACCCTAAATGACTGTCTTCTGCTGCCCTGATCTCACCATCCTCTGCAGTCCCATGGAGGGCATGATGGCCATGAGCAGTGTTGAGTGGACCCCCGAGAACATTAAGAAGGCCGAGAAAGCCTGCAAGGAGGCCCAGCAGACTGTGTTAATCAAGACTATTGATGTGAGTGTCTCAGGCAATGCCACTCTATAAGGCAAGGCTCCCTGCAAAGCACCTCCTGCTCCATGAGGAAACACACAGATAGAAATGAGGTCCAGGCAGCAATGACGAGAAACAAGCTCTGTGTGTCTAACCTACAGAGAATGACACACTTCTATGGCCCTAAGGGATGCATTTACATAAGAAGACTTCAAGGAATTTCTGAAAAAAAAAATGGAATTAAAGCATGTGTGTGGTCTTGGGCAAGAGCTGGAAGAGTGGACAATTAACTGACCTAATGACAATGAGAAAGATACCCACCAAAGAAGGAAGAGCTGAGAAAGCAGATAGACAGTTCTTGGCTGCTCTGGACTGTGAATGTGAATTAATCACATCACATCACAGGTGGCTGGTGAGCTCTGTCAGGATTCTGGAAGGTTAATGAAGGTTGGATAGGAAAGGCAATAGGCAGGCTTCCAACTTTATCTGTTCTTTTGCAGGAGCTTGTAGAAAACACCACAGGCTGGATTCCAGACATCATTCCCACTCCTCGGGGACCCTGCTTAGAATCTTCAGGAGGCAAAGTGGAGCCCCAGGACAAGACCCCTGCCGACTCCAGAGCTGCACCAATGCCCCTGTCCAGCTCCACTGCTGCTTCCCTCAGGTGCCTTCCCCTGACAGCCCTCTTATGCATGCAGGGTGCCCTCTCAAGGATCCTAGGCACTCTGCAGACTGGCTTCTGATTCTGTTTTATAAGGGTGATTCCCAGGGCCCTTCATCTCAGCCCTCCCCTTATCGCCAAAGCCAGGAATTCCCCCTATATTAGCTCACATAGTTCCCCAGCTGTCTCTTCCCATTACCTAGGTCATGAACCTATAGAATTGACAAAATCCACAACAGGAAGAAAAATAGTAAATTTACAGTAACAAAGAGTTAAATAACATGTTACAGAGTGACCAATGTGTAGCTAAAGTGATGAAAAAGAAAATAAAAGACTTTCATGAAGAAACTGATGCTAGTGCATGATCCATGTGGCACTGAAGAAATCAATAAGAGAAAGAAGGAAAAAACTGTTGTGAAGCAATGACAATAGGAACAAAAATATCAAAACTCATGAAATGTAGCCAGAACACTATTGAAAGGACATTTATAAACATCAGGTCCTTATAAACATTTGAAATGTCTCAAAGATGATCTAATGGTGCTCCTCAAGCATTTATTAAAGAAAGAATAATTGAACAGGAAGCATGAAATCATATTAATTGCAGCAAAAATAAATGGAATTGAAGCTAAAAAAAAAAACCTACAAGTTGCAACGCGGGAGGGCCATTTTTAAGATGCTAAGAAAAATGAATGTTTAGCCATACCAGCATAGAACAGCATGAGAGAGGAACAAATTAAAGTTAGAGATGAGAAGTAAATGACTCCAAGTCTCTGCCCTTTATGTGGGTCATGATTCAGTTGTTACAGGCAACGATATAGTCTAATCCTTTGTTGTCTATGTATATTAAGAAGTTTCATTGAGGGTCTACTTTTAGACCCTCATAGTAGGGTCTACTATGCATAGTAGAGTTGCATTCTGTTGATTTTCTTTGATTCCTGGTACTCTGTTCTTCATTACATCCTTTGTTTGTGAGATTACATGTGTGTGCTTACTTACCTTTATTTTCTGTTTTGTATTTTCAATGGGAGTTGTCCTATATTAGAGTGAACATATGATACTTGTCCTTTGGGGATTGGCTCATTTCACTGAGTGCAATGGTGTCCAATTCGAACCATTTTGTTGCAAATGGTAAGATTTTTATTAAGGTTTTATATTTGTTTTATTTTAGGAAGATCAAGCAGGAAAATAAAATAATAATTTAAATATTTAAACCAAAATGTGAATTATGGAACAGTGAAAAACACCAAAATATTTTATTTTTCAGTTCCTCAGTTTAAGTGAGAATTATTGCCATAGATTTTACATGACTTGTGATACAGATCAACAAATAGTCCAACATTTATCTCATTTGTTGATAAGACATAAATGAGTGAAAATGCAGCCACAAGCGGAGCAGCCGAGGCCCTGACAGACTTCCTGGTCACATCTCAGTGCTGAGGACAGACTCAACTGACTTTGAAAAAGCACTATGAATCTTAAATGTCTCATTTAGGCGTGAGAAAAGCCAGACCTCAGCAAGCACTCCTGGCACCTTCATTCATGGGTCACCACCAAATTACAGTCCTCTTCTAAAGAACATTATGAATCACCAAAATGTTTCATCTTATCATACAAGCTGGAAAAAATATTTTCCATATAAAATGATGTTCATTGCACGTACACGAACACACACACACACACACACACACACACACACACACACACACACACAGAGGCAAAATGAACTCAACTGACTATTTCAAAATCTTTCTTGTCTGTTATTTGTCAGAAATTGCTTTCTCAGCTAGAGCTCCCAAAAGGCAACATGTGAATAGCAGCAAACATAAAAAGAACAAAACATCAAAAATAATAGAAAATTGGGATAATTACATCCATTAACTGTTTTGTAAAATGAGGCAAGATGGCCATTATTTAATTTAGCAATGAAACATTTTGTTCCAGTTCAAAACAAAAGCCATTTTCCCCAGAAGCACAATTTGGAACCCATTAGAGACACCTTTGTGGAACAGCTTTCCTTTATAAAACTTGAGCTTGAAAGAAGAGGCTCAGCATGGCCTTATAAAGTACCAGCACTGAGGGAAAACTGCTTTGCTCCTTGGAGCTTCAAGAGAAAGGAAACAGGAAAAAAAAAAAAAAGCTGAAACACACATCAGCACACTGGGGGAGCTACACAATAGTTGTAATTATCCTTTATGTGGCATATTATAGATGGAAAATGCATGTCCGTGCACATTGTGTAGTTCAGGTGTTTATCCAGGTCTAGGCAGAGGCTGAAGGGCATGCACTTGAAGCAACAGTCCCTGCAGGTGGCCCTCTGTGAACTGGTCCAACAGTCTACTGTGTGGGCTGGGGTCTGATCAGCGACTCAGAAATAGCAAATTGATATTTTCTGTTAACTCTTTTGGACTGAATGAAGACTGCCGAACTCCTTCAATGCCTCTTAAAATGGGCAGTTTTGTGATCCTACATTCTCTAGTACTCACACCAGTGTTGTCCTAACTTGCACTATTGTGTTCGTTCTTCTAATGGAAATGGAATTTGTTCCAAGCGCCCATTTGCCTTTCCAGGACCTCCACTTACTTGAAAGACTACATGCTCTTCCTCTCTTGTGGGATGGTTTCCTTATTCATTTTCTCAGTTCGAATCAGCCAAGCACTGCATTTTAGTAATTTGCTACAACGTGTAGTAGAGTGTGGGAAACTAGGGCTGTTGAGATTCTTGAAGGTCTAAGAGTTTTCTGAAGTACAAGGGAGAAAGAGATGAGAAAGGAAGGTTGTGAACAGAAGAAATAAGACTAACAGTCCCTCACTCCCAGAGGGAGGTCTCCTTAAAGCAAAGCTCAGAGTTGGCTCTTAAGCGGCTGGCCCCAAGTCTAGGGATTCTGTCCTATGCTATTTTACCAGCTATATGGAAAACCACAGAACAACATTAAATAGTGTTGGCTGCACCATTAGATGATATGGTTCTAACTCCCATCTTCTGTATTTACTAACTTATGAGTCTGAGCTTGTAACCTCACTTTTCTAAGCTTCAATTACCTTTCATAAGATGGAAATACAATAGTATTTCCACACTTATATTTCACATGTAAGACAGCAATCACAAGGACCACACACAAATGATAGCTATCACAATGATTTTTACTTAAAACATTCTTCCCATCCAGTAGGATGGACTCTTTATTTCAACACAAAATAGAACTCTGAAAACTTCGTGCTCATCTAAGCTACTGTGACAGAGAGAAAAAACAGTTTAACGTAAGGAGATCCTAAAGGATAATACAGTGATGTGGGCACTGTGTCAATTCCCCACTCAGGACATGTTCATCTTATTTTACAGTCCCTGAGCTTGAGTCTCACCTATACTTCCAATCCAACTTTCTACGAGTGCACAGCCTGGGCGACAAGAGAACATGGCTCAGTACTTGGGTTCCTGCTACCCATGCCAGGGGAGTTACAGATGGATATTCTGATTTCTGGCTGTGGTCTGGCCTAGCCCTGGTTCTTTGGGGGCACTGGAAAAGTAAATTAGCAGATGGAAGATCTTTCTCTCTAGCTCTATCTTAATGATTATCTATCTGTTTTTCCATTAAACAGAGTTCTTGTGGATGGATGGACAAAGAAAATGTGGTACATATATACACAAAGGAATATTATTAAGCCATAGAGAGTGGAGAAATTCTATCAGTTTCTAGTGGTTGGTAGGAACTTGTAGGATATTATGTCAAGTGAAATGAGCCAAACACAGAAAGACAACTACATCATGATTTTATTACTGTGAAATCTAAATATGTAGACCTCCCAGAGAATAGAATGGTGGCTATCAGAGGCTGAGGTGGTGAGATGGAGGAGAATGCATAAATGTTGGTCAACATGTACAAGGAGGTTAGCATTAGATAAGAACACGTTCTAACATTCTGTCACATAGCAAGGTTCCTGTAGTAAAATTGTCTACATTTCAATACACCCAGAGTGAAGGCTACCCAGGAAAGGACAAATATTTGAGGTAGATGGATGAATTGATGGGCTACTTTTCTTATTTGACCTTTAAGCAAAACCTATCTGGGTAAAGTTATTACTTTGTATTCAGTGAATATGTATAGATAGCTCTCAATTGAAAGCAAAGTTTTAAAGAAATTTAAATTGAGCCATCTGTATTTATTTTTATTTATTTTTATTTTTTTAATTCACTGCAATAGCAATATGCTTATTGCATGTTAGCATAAATAATACATTTTGTGAAAAATAACCATATTTTCCAAAACAAACAAAGCAATTAGTAAGAAAAATGGCATTGTCTCACATTTATAAAAAATCTGCTTAGTGTTTATCTTAATAGAACATAGCTAGATTCCTACACCTGTTTCAAAATCCACCTATTGTGACATCACATAGCATAGAGTCTCTAGAAAACACCACTGCTACCAATGGGAGAAACAGCATGAAGACAAATATCAATTTTGTATTACTATGAAAATAGATATGATCTTGTGTTTCTCTGAAAATGGTCCCTGTATCCTGGATACAGTCCACTGGCCAGATACAGTTTTAACTTAGAGTTTACTGAGAAAAAAGTATGATTAAATTAATAAGTCATAAGTGACAGATAAATGGTAAACTTGGAATTGAAAGACCAAGAACATGCTGAAAGTCTTAATGCAATAAATGTGACTTAAACAGAAAATGATAAGGCAGACATGATAAAGAAAAGGAAAAGCAAAGCAGATAGGGATCCACAATTCAGGGCAGCTACTGTATCCTCTGAGATGCATCTGTACAGCCACACCTCCCTTAGGTGACTCCTGGCTGATAGGAGAGTCAGGTTAAAGCCAGAGCCAGTCATGGGAGATTATGGCAATGCCCTGACACTGTATCACAAAGAGAATTCTTCTTAGTATTCTAAAAGTACTTTAGCAACTATAAAAAGAAACCACAAGATGAATATGCCCAACCCCAAAATGTTAAATCCAAAATGATCAAAAAAAAATCCAAAACCCTTTCAAGTGCCAATACGACAAGTAGAAAATTCCACAGCACAAAAATTTTATCATGCATAAATTATTAAAAGTATTGCATATATTAGCTTCAGGGTATGCATAAAGGTTAAATTAGGGAACATAAAATAATTTCAGATTGGGATTAGTCCCATTCCAGAGATGCTTCATTATGTGTACAAATGATATTTATAACAAGAGTTAAGAACATTGCTGATGAGTTCACATAAAATGCTGAAGGTAGCACTTTATTTTCCCAGGGACTTTTCAAAATGACATTCATTTCATTCATTCATTTTCATTCACTGCTCTCAGTTGCACTATTATGTCCTATAATTTAGGAAACAAATTAAGCCCTTTCAGTAGCCACATCTTAAGCATCAGTGTTTTATGGAGATAATCGGATGATGTCTGGGAAAGAAAACGTACCTATGAAGTCTGTGATTAAGTATATAAAATATGTATTTTAACCAATAGTACTATAGTAAAATAAATAAAAAATAATTTAAAATAACAGTAGTAAATATTCCAGATACCAAAGTTTCCACAGCTGCTTTGATGAAACTTTAAAAATGTAATCGATTCATCCTTGACTATCTGCATCTTTCTGCAGAAATTGGAGGAGTCATATCTGCTATCGTGAGAGTACTGATATTTGCAAATATCATCAAACACACATTTGTGAAAACATAGGTAGCATAAGATTCCATATCTACTGGTTTTCCATATCTGAAATAATTAAACTACAGTAGCATTTATGGATGAAATAGCACCCCTTATTGTTGTACTAGGACATAATACATAATACATGATGATATTTATAATATCCATGATAGCATCAATTGCAGTTATTATTACTGTCAGTATAATTTGTTGTTGCCAGAGAGTGTCTTATCTAGATCAGAAATTGCTATTCTCTCTGAGGTGTTTGTGATATTTGGAATATAAATGTGTACAGTGTTACCTACTGAAGTCACCTGCACATGTAACATTTATTCTGTCCTTTACTGCTTACAGTATTGGTGGTGGCAATATCTGTGGTACCTGAAGTATTTGAATTTATAAGGACTCCTTCAGAAGTTGACATTGAATTCACAGATTTTTGTTTAAATCACATATAGCTATAATGGTAGTATATGCCATAATCGTGTTACCAGTAACTTCAGCAGTAGATGTAGTAGCTATTGGAATTATACATAGGGAAGTGGCAGAGTCTTAAGGACTAGCTACAGTTGTATCTCAAGTAGTGCAAAAAATATTCACAACAGAAACAGTTGTGATGCAGACATCAATATAAATTAACTGTCTTTGATACATTCCTACAGTGTCTACAACACTGGCATTGCACTAGTAATACTTTCTTTGGCAGTGGTTGGTATGGTCATATATCAAGTGCCTGTAAGGGTGGTATTTAAAGAATCGATAGGGATGTCTGGAGGATAAGCAGTTGTAATGTTTGGAAGAAGTGTGGTTGAAGATGCGTTAGCTGTGGTTGTGTCCTCAGGAGTGCCTATAGGAGATGGAACTAAATTGAGTTGTGTGGTGGTTTCTACAGAAATATCATTCGTAATCGTAGTATCTGTACTCAATCCTGTAGTTGTATTTGTACTTCTTGGGGTTGTAATATTGATAATATTTATTGTAACTGAATCTACAGTAGAGGCTGGAGTGGTTGCATTGGTAGTATTTGTAGTGCTTAAATTAGGAAAGTTTGTGTTTACTGATGTGGTGTGAGTTAAGAACGGTGTTATAGGAGCAGTAGAGTGTGGTGTAGTGAATGGTGGGCTGTCTGTAGACTCAGGTTTAGCATCAGCAGGAGTAGAGGGAGAGGAAATAGGAGGTGAAGTAGTTGAAATATTTGAGGCAGAAGAAGTAGAGGTACCAGGGACAGTATCAGTACTTGCTGGGAAGGAAAAGGCTGTGGTAGTCCTAGTACCAGTACTGGAATTACCTGTAACAGAAGAAGTCACATCAGATATAATAGTACCAGTGTAGTTACCAGTAGAATTCACAGAAGAAGGAGTAGTAACATTGGGAAATATAGGACTAGTGCCACCATCAGTAACAGGTGTTGGTGATGAGCTGATTACCACAGAAACAGTAGTAAGATTGGTAACACTAACAGAACTTGTAAGGGAAGAAACCGTTACATCAGGAATTACCGTACTAGAGCTATTGCTAGTAGTATTGGAATTAGGAGCAATAGTACTAGTGCTAAAATTAGCGGGACTTGTTGGGGATAGACTAGAGGTACCAAGTACAGTAGTAATGTTGCTAGTTGTAGTCATATTTATCAAGAAAGGTGTAGTTGTAATGGGAACAGAATCACTTGAGCTAGTGGTACTTATATTTGAAGGTAATGATGTGGTTGTATCTGAGGCAACACTATTAGTGCTAGACTCAGAGGTATTGGGAAGAGATGATGTGGGAGGGACATGAGTAGTTGTACTAGTGTCCACAGTAGTAATACTGGAGGCAGAAGGAACAAATGTATGAGAAGAAGAAGTGCTGTTTGTATCAACAGTATTTGTGGAAAGGTGAGTGGTAGTGAAAGCAAGAGCTGTACTGGTGCTGGCTGTAACACTATTTGTAAATGAAGCAGTATCTGTAATAGGATCTCTTGTAATAGTTGTTGGACCAGCAGTAATTGTGCTCAGAGGAGTGACAAGTGTAGGAACAGTTGTAGTAAGGAGTGGGTAAAGGGTGGTTGTATCATGAACACTGGTATTAGAAACAGTATCTAATGGTAAAGAGGTGGTTAATATGGGATTAACGGTGGTAGTGCTATTCTCAGCAGTAGGAAAAGCAGTAGTCACATTAGGGACACTAGCATTAGTTGTAGCATGTGGTGTACTTCCCTGGAAAGGGGTGGTTAGTATGGGATCAGTGGTAATCAGTGCATCACCAGCAGTGCTTGTAGGGAAAGGAGTAGTCACATTAGAGACACTAGCATTAGTTGTAGCATGTGGTGTACTTCCCAGGAAAGAGGTGGTTAGTATGGGATCAGTGGTAATCAGTGCATCACCAGCAGTGCTTGTAGGGAAAGGAGTAGACACATTAGAGACACTAGCATTAGTTGTAGCATGTGGTGTACTTCCCAGGAAAGAGGTGGTTAGTATGGGATCAGTGGTAATCAGTGCATCACCAGCAGTGCTTGTAGGGAAAGGAGTAGTCACATTAGAGACACTAGCATTAGTTGTAGCATGTGGTGTACTTCCCAGGAAAGAGGTGGTTAGTATGGGATCAGTGGTAATCAGTGCATCACTGGGAGTGTTGGTAGGGAAAGGAGTAGTCACATTAGAGTCACTAGCATTAGTTGTAGCATGTGGTGTACTTCCCAGGAAAGAGGTGGTTAGTATGGGATCAGTGGTAATCAGTGCATCACTGGGAGTGTTGGTAGGGAAAGGAGTAGTCACATTAGAGTCACTAGCATTAGTTGTAGCATGTGGTGTACTTCCCAGGAAAGAGGTGGTTAGTATGGGATCAGTGGTGGTGGTAGTGGTACCACCAGCAGTGCTTGTAGGGAAAGGAGTACTCACAACAGGTCTAGTACTAGTAATCTCAGAATTAACAGTAGTTGTGGTGAAATAAGTGATATTATCACCAGTAGTGCTATTGCTAACATTAGTTGCAGGAGAAAGTGTCTCTGTAGTACTAACTCTTGTAGCAGTGGTAGCATTGGTAGTAGACGTGGTAGTATTTACAGTAGTAAAACTAGTGATAGTCTCAAAACTAGTAGTCTCCGTAGCTGTTGGAGGTGGATATGCACTTGTTGAGAAGGAAGTTGTTGTATCGGGGAGGATAGGATCACCATAAACCCAAATAACCTCAGTTAATTTTTCCAGGCTGATATTCCTGACAGTCCATTCAATTCTGAGCACCTGCATAAAGAAGAGAAACTTGGCATTTGAAAACTTCTTACACAGCATTTTCTGTCAGACCTCGAGTTACAGTTGAGTAAAACTGGCATATTCACATTCTTTTCTAATAGACTAATATGCTGTGAACAGTATTTTTCACATTCACAAGATTCCTGCCGTATTTTTGGGGAGAGATGTTCCGTGTGCATGGTCACTCTGTTTGGAAATCTTTCAATCCACTTCATTTAGTCAGAAACACTCTGTTCACAGACATTCTTAGCTACGATTTGAAGTATGATCTATCGATGTCTCTATGCCTTGCCACAGAATTTTATTCTCCTGATGGCAGGCTGGTTTCATATTTTTTTCTTTCTTAAAACCTTATAAGGTAGTGGCTTCTGATGTGCCATAGAGAGTTTTAAAAGAAAGTACTTAAGAATTCTCTACCACATTCTTAAGCACAGATAATTACTTGCAGGAAATAATTTTAAACTCAATAGTTTGAGAAAAAAAATATTTACAATAGTTATCTATAATAGACAAAGTAAAAGGATTTGGTGCACAGGTTTCAAAATTAAAATCCTGTCTGGGAACCTTTATTTCTTCTTACAGAACTTAAAGTATAGTAGCAAATGTTTTTCTAAAGGCTCCTTATTGAGCTACTGAACCCATGCTTTTGATTAATTCCAAACTGCTCAGTGTGACATTTTCCCCTTTGTGGTTGCCTTTTGCAATTCCATTAGTAATTCATCTTCCAAAACACTGGTGTAATTAATTCCAGCAACTGACATCAGATTCTCCAGTAGGACTTCTTACTTATGTCACTTTGTTTTGCTAACCAGTTAAGTTTATCTTACAACACAGATGAAATGAGTTCATTTCATGATGACACATTTGCACTGTCAATTTTCATGAATCCATAAAATCCATCAATAGGTCAAGGTGCAAATAACTTCAGGAAGGAATGAGGGAAACTAATAATTTTAGAAAATCATCCTTCTGAGAAGATCAACACTTGCGATTTCAAGGAGCATAGTTATTGCACATACTTATAATATGGCTCTAGTATATACTGTATATATGCATAACATATATATACTATGTGTATATATATACTTTATCTGTATATGCTGTATATATGTTATATATATACATAACAGTATGAATGCTGGTCATTTTGTAGAGTCATAAAATTAGACTGTGATACTCTTTCTGCAGACCTACCTGTTCATAAGGATTACTTGTAAAATTTGTCTGCATGAATTGTTGGTTGTTATAGGTGAAACTGACTTGATTCACCGAAGTCGAGATCACACCCCAGATTGTAATACTCCCAACATAAAGTGGATTTGAGTCACTCAAAAATCTATTGTATATGGTCTTGATTTGCAAGGTGTTCTGTAAAGAAGAGAAAACATACATTATGTTTTACACAGGTTTACATGTGCACACTGTCGATAGAATATACTCTAAAATGTTAAGAAACCTCCAACTACTTTTGTTGTATTGTTTTTGCTGTTTGTTTCTAGCTGAACATTTCATGAGGACATACTTCTTGAGTATCTGCCATAATGAAAATTTTGAATATGCCAAATTAGGGTAATATATCTATGTGATAAATACAGTATTTTTAAAAAGAGTCATTATCTCTTAAAGAGGAGGAAATTGAGAACCTAGAAAGTGAACTGTGTGGCCTAAGACCTCACAACTAAATGACATAATTTTGAATCATGTGTTTCTATGTGTACTGCTGCATAAGTTAATACAAGGTGAACAGAGGAGCATGGCAAGCAGTAGTTAGACTAAGGACAGCTCACAAGAGTAATCAGAATTTATCTGAATCATGAGCCCCAAAATTAATAATATAAGTGTTGCCAAAATATGAAATAAATCATGAGATGACACATCATTAAGGTTAAATAAAAATCAGAGTGAATCTTCGCTATGGCTTTGAAGAAAAAGAAAAGGTTACCCTGATAGTCAATGAGAAATTCAGGAACGATAAAGTTTCAAAATTCCTAAAAAGGGACCAGTGTGGTGGTGTACCAGATTAACCTACCACCTAGGAGCTTAGCATCCCATAAGGGTGTAAGTTCATGACATAGCTACTCCACTACCAATCCAGCTCCCTGCTAACGGCCTGGGAAAGCAGATTATCCAAGTGTTTAGCTTCCTGCACCCACTTGGGAAAGTTGGATGAAGGTTTCTGGGTCCTGGCTTCTGCCTGGTCCAGTCCTGGCTTTTGTGGTCATCAAGGAGGTGAAACAGCAAACAAAAAACCGCATTGTTTCTCATATTTTTAACTATTTTCAACTACATAAATAAATCTTCCTTTTTAAAGTCCTAGAAGGGTTGACATAATTTATAAAGGTAACATAAACGGGAGAGAGGGAAAAATACATCAAACCGGAGTACACTCAGTGAGTAAGTACCAGGGTTACATGGTTTGTGCTGAGGAAACAGAGAAAAAATGATTAAATAGAGCAAGATAAGATTATGCACATTCTAAGCAATAAATCAAGAGGAGAGTTGAAGGGAAATGAGGCTATAAATCTCTCAATTCCAATGGTAATAGAAAATAAAAGGATTTTTGTGGTTGGTTAGATAGGCAGAACCAAAGGGAAACTAAAGAAAATGGAATAAAACAAAGCAAATTGTTCCTACTAGAGCTGATTCTCATGAGTTTGGGAAAACTAATGGTTAAATTTCCTGGAAATTTGCAAGCCAGTTGGTATCTTAAAATTAGTTAAGATGCTGGAAATATTTACACTGTAGTGATCAACAGGATGCTACAAAACAGCCCCACTCCCACAAACAGGCGAGTGTTCTCACTAGCCAAGTGAACATTGACAGTAATGGAACCTACAGTAGTTGAGAAGTGTTTCTCACGGCCCTGGTTCATCAAACATCACACAAATAAGAACGCATTTATCAATACCTAGGATTATAAAAGAATGACTTCAGAGTTAGAAGTATTTTTTAAAGAGAAATGTTATATTTTATAATTTAAAAAACTACTTCACTACTTCACAATCTTTATTTTGTATGTGTAAAACTACCCTGAAATAAAATGTTTTAAATAAATAAATAAGAAACACTAGTCAAGCAGGGGAGGTGGCTTCCTTCATGTGAATAACCAGGAGTAGAATTTGAACTGAAATTATGGACTTCCAGACCAACACCTTCTACTGCAAATAATACTTTGAGAAGAAAATTACATAAAGTCTTCAACTCAAATATGATCAAATTAATAGGAAATTTACACATTAAGCTAATACAGAAATCTTTACACTTAGTTTTATAAAGGAAAATTCAGGACAGAATGACATGGTAATCATATCTGAAAATTGGATGATGTTACCCATCCTAAAGGAATATAAATGATCCAAACATCCGATATATGTGCTTACAAAAATAGTAATGAGATTTCTGATATTTCCAATGTTCAATAGCCACATTCTAAGTGATCATTAGCCACATGTAACTAGTTAGTTTTATGTTGGGTAATATAATTCTAAGATAAGCTCTCAATTCCTAAGATCAATGAAGTTAAAATAGAATACTCAGTTATATAAACCATGATAAGGATTAAACACAGGAAGTAAGCATAGAGATATATAATTCTATGAAAAGAAGACAGGAGGCATCTATAATAGTTATCTGCAACTACTTGAAGTACTATTACAGAAAAGTGACAATACATTTGTACTGGAGTATTAAATGTACTGTTTTGCTTTTGTTTTTGTTTTTTTTTTTTTTTTTTTTGCCAAATGACAGTATACCATACAACTGTCAACAGGAATATTGTCTCTTCCTCACCTAATATAAGCACATATGGATTACAAGAGTAAAGACAGGCAAAGTCTCCTGTGGAAATATGAACCATTATATTTACAGTTACCTGATAATGCTTAATCTATACGTAGGCAGAGAGAAAGCATGCAATTCAATAAAACTGTCTTACCTGAGATGCTGTAAAATTTGCCAAGAAATAGTCTCCATTTTCATAGGTATCTGCAAGTAAGACGTGTAGTCAGAGAAAACTGAAACTCAACGATTAAAATAGTATAGTCATTTTAGAAAACAATATGGCAGTTTCTTCATTCATTGTCTGATCCAGCAATTTTACTTCCAGGTTTTCATCCAAGGATAAAAATATATGACAACAAAACAACTTATGCTCCCTATAATCATGGCATATTTTTGTATAAGAAATAAAACAATTAAAATATTGAATAGTAAATGAATAAGCAAATACATTGTGGTATATCCACAATATGCAATGTACTGTATGTTATTACATTCAGTAACATCTGAGAACTTTAAAAAGCATGTTGCTAAATTAAAAAGCTAAAAGAAACGCATATTGTATTTAATTTACATTATACATATAGACTTGCACATTATGCATTTACATACACATGTAAAATCCAGGAAGAATGACTCTGACCTACACTGACAGAAAGCACAATGAAAATTGAAAATATCCTGTACGATGAAGTGGCATAGTGGTCTAGTGGTTTAGCAACCTCTTGGGACACAAGTATCCCATATTACAGTTGCCAGATTCAAGTCTCACCACAACTTCAATCTAGTTTCTGTCGAATGTCATCCTGGGAAGCAACTGGCGGCAGCCCAAATTGTGAGTCCCTGCCAGCCATTCAGGAGACCTGGAGGGAGTTCCCTGATTCTTTCCTTTGTCCTGGTCCAGTCCTAGCTCTTGTAGGCACTTGGGAAATGAATAAGAAAGTGAAAGATTTCTGCCGCTCACTCATTTTCTGTTTCATAAACAAATATATAGAACTTTGATATTTTAATTTTTGTTGTCAAAGACTTTCAGGATAAGTTGATCCTTAACACACTGCAATCTGTACTTACACCATGTGCAGTATATATTACTGCATACAGTCATATGGTTTCATTTTGCATGTTATTGCTCACAGAACAGATTACACATTTGGAACAGACATTAAAATCTCAGATTTTTAGCTGAAAAATTGTATTTGTCAGAGGTTAATGCACATGAAACATGGATTAGCATGGCTGTGGTTGTTTCTTTAAAACAAAACAAACAAAAAAAAGCATTCTGTAGAAGAGCATGCATTTGGCCTGAATTAAGATACCATATTTCATATGGGAATGCCTGGGTTTAAATTAAATTCTAGCTTCCTGCTGATGTGCACTCCAGGAGGCACCAAGAGATGACTCAGTGGCTGGGTTCCTACCACCATGTGGGAGACCTAGATTCAGTTCCAAGCTCCTGGCTTTAGCCTGACCCAGCCATAGCCATGCAGACATTCAAGGAATCAATCATTAGTTAGTTACAAGCTCTTTCTCCCTCACTTTTTCTCTCCTTTTAGTCTCTCTAATTTAAAAAAGAGACTTAAAATGAATACTCTTTATTAAAGAAACTACCCTGTGTAGAGATTAACTGCAGGGAATTAGATCAATTTTGATACATTCTCTCAACAGAAAATTATCAGCATGATGGTGCTCGTGAATGGTACATGATGTTTCTGCCATAATGGACAATGATAAACAATACTCATAAATTAAATATGCAATATATTTCACCTGTACATAACTTAACATCTTCTTAAGTGATACAAAAGCAAAAGGCAGCACACCAAAAATATCCAAAGTGTTTTTTTTTAAGAGTATGCCTTACTCTTACAAAGAGGGAAAATATCAAGAAGAAAGTCTTTAGAAGTATGATTAACTAAAAATTAGAAATAATTTCTGAAAATGTGGCATCGTGCAAAAACAAAATTTTCTCTACTGTGATAAATCATGAAAAGTGACTGTTGGTAACAGCTTATCTCTACAGAAATGTGTGAGAAAGATGATGTTGTACTCTAATGAATAAGCCCAATTATCTAAGGTAGAACTAGTATGTTCTTTTGTTGGAGAAAAAAGCATAAAAAGTAACATGAGGTGTTCTTGGGGCAAGATTCCGTGCCCCTAAATGAGTCACTGGAAAGATTTCCAACTGTGAGTGGGCCTTGCTGGGAGGGAGAGGATGCTTGCTCCGGATGGCTGGGGAAAGCACAGAGCCTCATCCGAATCTCACTGAGAATGAATTAACTGCCTGATTCTGCAAGTATTCTGTTAGAACGAGACACTTACATGGAGATCCATGACATCAGGTCCCTGATAAATTACACTGGGATCATACTTGGTCTGAGGTTTTGGTCTAATGTATTGTAATAGTACAATACATTACTAGCAGGCAAAAACGGTAAACCTTCCCTCTGCACCTTTTGCCTCATGAACAGTGGCAGAACCAGAGACAGGTTTTCAGTTTCCACTAATCATAGACTGAGCAATCATGGTCTAGATTTTCTGAAAGATGGTCAGGATTCTGGAAAGTGCATACTCACCAATGCTTTGTCCATCGTCCCAGAACATCTCGCCTTCAGCTTCCCCATTGTCATCCAATGCCACAATCAATTCCATAAAATTTTGTCGACTGTCACATTAAAAAAAAAGAGTTAAGATTTAGAACAGGCTCTGTTAAGAATATAACATATTTAGAAATTAAAGTAATATATTCAATAGGTGCCTAACATTCCAAAGATAGGCAAAATGAGACTAAATGTGACATTGAAAAGGCAATCAATATTTTATAAATTTAGTAAAACATTTGGTTAAACTTCAGCTTCCAATCAGCAAATATATGCACTTTACAAATGTATAAATCACAAGTGATATGGGAAGATATGAATTACTTCAAAGGAAAACCCAAGGGGAAAAAAATAACATTTAGATTTTACTACAGATAGAATAAAGTAAATTGTCATGGTTTCTTACTTGGGTTTTATTTATTTATTTATTTATTTATTTATTTTTCTTTTCAGTTAAACTGAATGGTTTACTACATCCCCAGGTCAACTCATTCCTCAACGTTCATTTTTTAATCATCCCAGAATATCTCTCTTTTGGGGGTGTACTGAGAAACACATTCCGCTTGTAGGAAAATTTTGCCTTTGCACAGCACTACAGATCAAAGATCTTCCCAAGTCTGACACCATGTACTAACTTACCCCAAGTTAGCACTCCAGAGTGGTCACAGAATGTAACCAATAAAATCTATCTACAAGTTCATTTATCAACACAGTCAGTATTGTGTGATGAACTCTAGGAAGGCTGCCTGTTCAAACACAGAAACCTCTCCTTACCTGTATTGAGTGTTAATGGCTGGCTTTTGGCAAGGCAGGATGTAGCCTCCTCTGACATGAAGGTTGATATGGTCAAGAGAAGCGTTCAGGATTCTCCACTCTCCTGTTGAGTTGTCACCAGACCCCTACAAGGGAGAATATAGGCAAAGAATGATGATCGATACACTGATCACATCACTATATGCACTATGCTGAGCACTTCGAAACATGTCGGAAAGTCAGCCAAACACTGTAATCCTAAGAAGATACCTGATTTTTGTTTTTTGTCTAAAACTTGAAAATCTAGCCTTATCTCTGTATCTCTAGAAAAGGCTGGTATCTATGTGATACAGATGCTCAGATTTTACCTGTTTATCTTGTTATCAATAAATTCATTTTAAAAAAACTTTGCCAGGTTGAAAAGATTGAAAATTGTTTCCCTAGAAAAGACATGCCTGGGGCCAGTATAGTGGTTCAACAGGCCTTTGCCTTGCAGCACCACCATCCCATAGTTCTAGCTCCAGTTCCAATCCAGCGCCCTACATATGGCTTGGGAACATACTGGAGAATGACTCAAACGCTTGGACCTTTGGACCCATGTGGCAGACCCTGAAGAAGCTCCTGGTTGCTGGCTTTAGATGGGCTCATCTCCAGCTATTGCGGTCTTCTGGGGAGTGAACCAGTGAATGGAAGATTCTCTATCTGATTCTCTTTCTCTCTGTAAATCTGTCCTTCAAACCAATCAGTAAATATTTATTTATAGAAAAACATTAAAATACGATTTAGAAGGTAGAAAAATGCCCCAGCCATTCTCTTGCCTATGAAATCTAATCTGGTTCTTAACAAGCCATGCATCTCTTCATCCTTACCGTGCTGTAGTCATACCAATAGGCTTGGGGGAAATAAGCTCGGATCTCAAAAGTGTTCTGAAACATAAAATCAACATACCATTATGAATATTCCAATAAGGAAAAACACAGTGTAATTTCAATTTTCAAGATGTTTTCAGTAGAATAATGGACAGGGGAGATTTTATTGGTGATTCAAAGCATGCAAACGTGTGAGGAAATAAACTTTTCAAAAAGTAAGCTATAAAATAGTACAAAGTGATGACATTCTAAAAGAAGCAATCAAGTGTTGTGAAACTCCATTGACAATCATCTTGGATAAAGAAAATGAGTTCTTATAAGGGTCCTAGGGAAAGACATTTGCCTGAAACAATTCAAGAGGACTTAAAAATCCTTTTCTTATATCTTAGAGTTGGTGATTGGAGGGTTTATGATCTGCAGCAAAAACTCACACTTTGCAGCACCGGGCTGATGAGGAGGGCAGGTCCCCACATGAACTGTTGGTCTATATCCCATGTTGTCACATCATCTGTAAACCTTGAAAGATAAATATGAAATATTCATTTGTACTCTTAAAACTGTTATGAACACACCCAGAGATCTGCTCAGGGAAATACTCTACTCACTCATGGAGAAGAGGTCGGATGACTGTGCTGCCTTCCACATGAGCTTTGTGCATCAGAGTGTAGAGATAAGGCAGCAAGGTGTATCTGATCTGCAGGACTTCGCGTGAGAGCATCTCAAAGCTTGAATCCCATGCCACGGGATCTTGTCTCTAAAGCAATAAAGAGCATGGGACAAATGACCTTTTCATCCCTCCAAGTATGTAGTATCAGAAAGGGATCAGCAAGTACTAATGTGCGCTCTCGCTCTCTCTTTCTCTCTCTCTATATATGGTAAAATATGTTTATAAGGTATGTTTTATATAAAATAATATATATACATCTAAAATCTCCAGCCACTTCTTCCTGTCACCATTTTCCCTACAAAAGCTCAAAAAAAAAAAAAAAACCTAGAGCTTCTTAACTTCTCTTCTTTAGCATTCATTCCCATGTCTTATGCTTTGGTGTCTAGCTTTGGTCTTGCATATGTGTAGAGGGACCATTTTTTACGAAGCACTGACATAGCTCCAATTGATTTGAATAACGTTTTCTTAAAGCAAGAGTGATTCCTCACAATACATCAGGAGGTGAGAAAAACATACTCAAAAGTTATCAAACATATCACTAACTCTGTGGTTGTAAACTTGGTGTATATTCTATGAGTTGTCCCCAGTTCATACAATTGGATTTTTATGAATTTTTTCAGAAATCAAGCATGGTGGTTGTACAGGTTCAAAAGAAGTTTTGACATGAGAATGTACTACACTTGTTGCATGAACTGCTGACTTACCCTTGTTCCAATAGTGTTGTGATTCCTGGAAAATGGATAAAAGGCTCCCAGTTGCATCCAGCGAATGCACATCTCATACTCTGCCTCTCCGAGGAATCCGCAGATATCTGCTCCTGTCTGAGAAGAAGCACAAATCACAGCGTGGGATGAGACTTCAGAGGATCGCAGATTCATGGAAATGTGACTAGGTAACTAGCAATGACTCCAGTATAACTTACATAAGGTATTCCAAAGAGACTGAATTCCATCATCCCTGCAATGAGAGAGGATAGGGCTGTGTTGGATAAGGAAGCATTTTGGGAAGGGTACTTTTGTATACCTTGTTAGGGAGCTCTGGGCATTCATGAGGAGATATATATATATATAAATTAAAATTCACATCCCTAGACTAGTTAATTCTTATGGACACATGGTCCAGGCATAACCATTGTAGTTGAACAGTACACACTCCCGGACCCTCTCTGCTAGCAGAAGCCACTAGGAACAGTATTACACACCAATGATCGACTTCCCCAGCTGGTCCCACGCGGCTGTGTTGTCTCCCAGCCAGTGTCCACCCCAGCGGCCAGAAGAGGGGAATGTGGAGCGTGTGATGACGATCCCTCGCTGTCCTGTCACCTCCTGCACAGCTCTGGATGGAGGGGAAAGGAGGTGAATTGAAGGTGAATGTGAAGCAGCCACGGGCCTTTGTCACAAACAGAAAGTGCAGCTTCATATGTGAGGTGACAGAAATATTCTGCTCAGAGTTTGAGAACTACCCAGAAAGCACCTGCTGACTAAAAGTGGTGCAAAGCATCCCATCCTATGTCATGACAGAACAACCAGATATATCTTGCTCTCTGAAACAGGGATTTCACTTTTCAAAAAATCCAATTAGCTAATTATCTGCTTGGAGGTGGGAGGAAGTGGTGGGCACTCAGGGCTACAGCTGTCATTTAAAGAACACTTAATGCTGGCAGTATACTAGTTAGTTTTACGTATACCACTTCACGAGAAAGTTTCCTTAGATTTCTTTTACTGCTAGAAAATTGGGGCTTAAAGAAGAGAGATCATTTATCTTAGCCATTTGAAAGAAAGAATGAAGAGCTGGAATCTAAAAGCATACATGATTGCAACATTTTGATGATATTCACTCTTTTGTGGCAAACTCAACAAGCAGCATATTTTTGGCATACACAGGAAAATATATATGAAAGGCATTTGAATATCTCTGATCAAAGAGAAATTACCTACATGCATCTCGTCTGAAAACAAAGATAACTTTGTAGAAGAAAATAATCAACGGAAAAAAAAAAGAAAACTCTACTAACATACTCTAGTGTGTATGCCATCCAAATATTTGCTAAAGGAAGCATTACAAATAAATAAATACAAATGACCTGCTCAAGAACTGATGCCAAGAAAAGGGGCTCCATTTAGGTCACCTACTTCCAATATTCACACCAAAATAAATCTAAAAATTGATAGAGACACACATGCATGAACATATTCTTATTAAAGCAAATGAAAATGTAATCTGATTCTTATAAAGGACTTCTTTTTTGAAGAATAAAAGCAATAGACAAAACATGATGAAGTAAGAAAAATAGTTTCACCACACATATACGGGAAGTATATTTGTGCATACGTATATGAAAACATGCAAACACACATATGTATATGATAACGGAATGGAGCAGAGGGCACTTAGAATTATACAAGAATCTAGATGAGAGATAAGGAAGACCTTGAATCAGGCAGAGGGCTAGTACAAGGGTGTTTTCTCTGTAGAGAAAGCTGGGTTATGAGTGATGCCAAGAACTTCATCAGTAACAGTAGAAGAAGGAGAAGCCCAGCAGGATCTAAATACACTTAACACTGTTCAAATCACTTCCTAAAGAATGCATAAGCACTGGAAGAATCCTTTGTGAGACTCAGACTTCAAGGTTCTGAGATCACAGAAGATGACAGACCAGATCCCCAGTAGTGATGCTTAAGAAGGGAAGGGAATTTGGAGGAAAAGTTCATCCATCACTCAACATATTAAATTTGAGCTGTTAGATGTCTGCCTGGACGTATGAATTATTTATTTGTCCACACTTCTTTTTCTTTCAATGTCCTATTTATCCTGGAACAACTCTTTAAGGCGCTGGAACCGGCCGTTGCGCTCACTTGGGGAGTGAACCATCGAACGGAAGATCTTCCTCTCTATCACTCCTCCTCTCCGTATATCTGACTTTGTAATAAAAATAAATAAATCTTTTAAAAAAATAAGCTTCCACTTGCTAGTTGATTTTTTAACAAGACATGAAGACAATAAGGAAAATAATAGCATCTTCATGAAGATGAAAATACACTCTACAGAATGAGACCACAATATTTCTAAATTACCTGCTTCACAAGAAACTTGTATTTAAAATATACAGAGTTCTTAAAATTTAATAATGAGGTTCCAGTCTTGTGGTATAGCAGGCAAAGTCATCACCTGCAATGCCAACGTCTTGTCTGAGCACCCGATCAACTCCTGTCTGCTTCGTTCCCTATTCAGCTCCTTCTTAAGGTGCCAGGGAAGACAACTGAGGATGGCACAGTTCCTTTGGTCCCTGCATCCATAAGGGAAAGTAGGAAGACGCTCACCGTCCCTTCAGAATGGCCCAGCTCTAGGGATTGCAGCCATGCGGGAAAGTGGACCAAGATCAATCTCTGTCTCTCTCTCTCTCTTCCTGAGTAAATCTGCCTTTCAAATAAACCCTTAAAAAATAATGAGACAAACAACTCTATTTAAATTGGCAAGGGATTTAGAAACATATTTCTGCAAAAATGTACAAATGACCAATACATACAAGAAATGCTGCTCAAAAACAGTAGTCATTTAGGAAATGCAATAGGCAGTCTGGCATGGTGGCATAGTAGGCAAATCTTCCACCGGCGACAATGGCATCTTAACATCTTGTATGGGCGCAGGTTCTAATTCCAGCTGCCCATTTCTAATCGAGCTCCCTGATAGTGGCCTGGGAAGGAAGTGAAGGATAGTCTAAAGCTGGGCCCCTGTACTCATGTGTGATATGTGGAAGAAGCTCCCGACTCCCAGAATCAGTCTGGTCTAGCTCTGGCCTTTCGTCATTTGGAGAATGAACTAGCAGATAGAAGCTCCCTTTGTCTCTTCTGCCCTCCCTATAACTCTTTCAAGTAAAATAAATAAATACTCCTTTTTTAAAAAGGTTCACTTATTTTTATAGGAAAGGTAGATATACAGCAAGGAGGAGAGACAGAGAGGAAGATCTTCCATCCAATGGTTCACTCCCCAAGTGCCCACAATGGCTGGAGCTGTGCCAATCTGAAGCCAGGAACCAGAGCTTCCTCCAGGTCTCCCACATGGGTATAGGGTCCCAAGGCTTTGGGCTATCCTCGATTGCTTTCCAAGACCACAAGCAGGGAACTGGATGGGAAGCAGAGCCCCTGGGATTGGAACCAACACCCATATGGGATCCTGGGGCATTCAATGTAAGGACATTAGTCACTTGACCATTGCACTAGGACCAAATAAATATTATTTTAAAATAGGGAATTCATTTCACACAAAGTGATAGTGATATCATTTCACACAAAGAATGTCTATCATAAAAAGAGATTTAGAATACCAAGTGTTGGAATGAATGTAGTAGAATAGCAACTCTCATTTGTTACGGGTAGGAATTCAAAATCCTTTCTTGCAATGATAAACTCTTTATCACAGTTCAGCATTTAAAAAATATATATTAAACTTAAGTTACTGTGTGACAAGTAAGTTCTACTATAAAATACCTATCTGAGTGAAATGAAAATATGTTTACTCATGAGCTAGTTCATAAATATGATGTGTTCATAGTATCATTATTTGTAATAGCCAAGAAATGAAATCAACCTGAATTTCCACCTACATATATATATATATATATGTATTATATATATATAGCATTATACAATGGAACAATACTTGTTTGTAAAAAAAATGAAATACAAAATACTGTGCATGCACAGATGTGCATGCATGAAAATGTGCCATGCAAAAAAAAAAAAAAACCCACACACGCACAAACCAGAAAAACCCCTCAGGCACAAAGGTCCACACATCCACAGATTACATGTCGTCACTTATATGACATGTCTACTACAGATAGTCTGTATGCATATAAAGTAGATTATTGGTGGCTGGAGTTCAGGACATCAAGGAAAAGATGGCAATGACTGCTATCAGGTCAAGGTTTTCCTTTGGAGAAGATAAAATTTAACATTTTAGAGACATTGCACAACCCACTATATATACTAAACACCACCAACTATTCAGTTCAAAAATACCTGATTTAGCAACCTACTTGATAAATGCACTGAAAGCTGTTGCAGTTGCTTGGGGAACCATGTGTGCAATTTGGACATACAGTCATTTAAACAGAATCTTATTGAAACAAGGACATCAGTAACATTACAAGAAAGACAGCAATGATGTGTAAAATTATCTTGGGGACAGTGACGAACATACTCACTCGTAGGTGGGCTTGGTCTGGGACCACCCATACAGGTTGTGCACGTCGTAGTGTCGCACCGGGGAGCCATCTGGCAGGATCTGCTCACTCTCCATGCACAGGGTCTTGCTGCTCAAGCCTTTGTCCCTGGCTTCCAAATCTGAAGGGAAAATATCAATTACTTCCCAAGCAACTTGATTTTCACGTGGTTTAGAAATGCCCATCATTTTAGCATTTCTCTATTTTGATCAATAATCATACAACCAATTAACAGGACCAATTTTCTGCGGTTTTTAACCTTACAGAATTCAACATTCCTTGACCTTATCATCAAAGCAAAACAAGGTACAGAAGTGGAGAAAATATCCTACTTTTTGTTTCAGCTCTCGCTTAGTTTTTGGAGTGCTGCCATAGCCCCATTTGTCAATGAAATAAATCTCTTGGTTTTCAGGACTCTGTCATCCACTAGATGGTAATGTTCTCCAGGGAACAGATCTTACTTCAATCAACTTGGTATTAGTTTAAATTTCTGTGAGCTGTCAGCACTTGCTTGGTACTTTAGTATTGAATTAGAGAGGAAGGAGAGCATGAATGAAATGAATCATTTAGTGAACCGTGGGCAGAACAGGAGTAACCTTTCACTCTATGTCTCCTCTGTATGTGCAGATATGCGTTTGTGTATGGGAATCTGTTTAAAATTTCAACAATCAACTTACAGTGATCAGTGTAACTGATCATTGTTTTGAGTCTTCTACAATCCTGTCATAATGCTTGTTTTTGGTTATTAATTTATTATTTATGAATTTCATTAATAGTAATTTTCTATTCAACATCATTCTATTTGGAATTTTGCACATGATTAAGAGTGCATTTTATATCCTGAATTAGGCTTCACTTTGGCAGCAAAGAGGAAAATTTCCAGGGCATTTGATTAGGAAAGCAATTTGATGAAGTCATCATCTTACATACATGGCATATAAGGTGGATTATTAAGAATTTCATCACGACAGCCACTGACAGATCCATCCACGAAATTTGATGGTTCATTCATGTCCTGAAATGAGTTAGCAAAAAGGATTCCATGATGGCAGGATCATTATACATCTGCTATGAAAGACACTGACCTCAGAGAAACAGCCAAGTCCTACTGAAGACCTTGACCCTGCTGTCACTTTACTTACTCTGTTAAATCCCTAGTGGTGACCACAATGGATTCCAACAATATCTGTGCCATCTTGAGTGGAGGGATTATACTCCCTCTGGCTTACTTGGTACTTTTTTAATTAAGGAAGCGCATTTCATAATGGGAAAATATTGAGATAGTTTTGGACCCAGGATCTAAGCAAATCCCTTGATTTTTGCATAGATTATTTAATTAATCTGCATAGATTATTCAATTAATCCGTAGCCAGTGGTGACTGTCATTTTCTCCTAGCCTTTTTTAGTTCTGTAACTTAGGATAATTCTTTTGTAAACCTAGACTATTTACAACAATACATAATTTCACTTTCTACTGTAGATACATTCCTGAAAAGTTGTGCATAATACATATCAATCTGGAAACGAAATCAAATTTGGAGATAAATTATTAAATTAAAACAATATGGGCTGCTGAGGGAATATGGCTGACACTATCAATGGAAAAGCTACAATTTTGCATATTGGACTACATTAAGTAGGATATAACTCAGGGCAAATCAAGCAATGAGAAAGTACTCATTTTTTTGAGTTATCAGCCATAGCACTCTCTCCTGAAATTTCCTACAGAAATACCCCAGAATTATTAGCACCTCTCATTATCACTGTTAGCCACCTCTCTTCACCGTCTGATTCACCTGTTTAGTTAATAAATAGGTGCTTTTTGCCTTTCTACACTGCAGAACTGAGTGCCAAGGGAGTCCTCAGGGCTGCCCGTGAGCTTACACAGGTTTGTCTCTGGGAGAATCTCAAGCTGCTTGCAGCTCAGTCCATCCCTGAGCAGTTCCTGAGAGCTGGTGTGGAACTTAAATCTTAACATTCCAGGAAACAGGCCAGTGAGGAAAGCAATCAGGATGCTGGTTATGCTTTTCAATAACAAAAAAAACACAAATTGAGGAACCTTGGGGACATGTTCCTAAGACTTCACAATAAAGCCCTGTTTTTAAGATTGGCCCATCTGTGTAACACTTGTGCAAGCAGGACTTTTAAAGCCATTCCCATGATGTATCCTGGACCATTGCTTTGCTGAGTGTCTTGCTCTCTGATCGCTGCCTTGCAGGTGCTGTTTATCCAGTTCTACCTTTTGCAATGGATTGGGCTCTCAGGTTCCCTCACTGTAGGCTTCCTATTAGGATTGGCCAGTGGGGTATTGGACAGGAAGGTGGGAACGAAGAGAATCCACAATATCTTTGTTCTCAAGCTCTGGTGTTTCCAGTAGCGCCACATTTCCTCCATGCGCTCCAACTTCCCCTAAAGATGTGTGGCTGTGTTGAACCAAAATAAGCGCTGCATTGCATGATCCCAAACCCAGATTCTGTAACAACCTCTCTCCTAGCTCCCAGCTTTGCCAGTCTCTGAATCACCACCCCATAATCTCATCACCAACAATCCCAAAGAAAATACATCAAAGGTGCACTTACGATCCTCAAGCCATCAAATGCCAAGCTCTTCTCTGGCTCTCGGGGGTTGGCATAGAGCTCCTTTATCTCTCTCTTCCACCATGTAGCTGTACTATTACGCAGGAAGTCAGGAAACGCAACATGGGCCCCGGAGAGCTGCAAGAGTAATAAAGTCTCTGAAGGCAGGGGCTCAGCCTCTCTAGGAGAGGGAAATTTGAGGACTTGGAGAGGAAACTGGAATAGTTATTTGTTCAGACTCTGAGCTAACTTCAAGTCTTATGTTATATAGTGTTGAGTGGACAGGGAAATTGAGGAAGGCTGATTTGATTAATTTCTTGGAAGAAGGCTAAATAGCTTCCAAGTCCCTTTTAATCATAAGATTTCCTACATGACTGGATATTAAATCATAGCAATGGAAAACCAAAAGTTGGTGTCTAAGCAACCGAACTTTAGAAATACATGCATTTTCTCTGGACTATCCAAATGAATTGTAGGAGGATTGCTCATCCAGGGATGCATGAGCCACACAAAGAAAGGGTTGCTACATGTAGACCAAGTTGGTAACCAGGGTGAAGTTAATGCCAGAATTCCTTTCAACTGGCCTGTATTTTGTTTTGTATATCGGAAATCCATTAAGTTTCAGTCTGTTCATACAGAAAAAATCTTCTAGTGAAAATATTTTAGATTCCATGTTATTCTTTTTCAAGCAGCAACATATTCAAATGAACCACAACCTATTAAAATGCTTCACAAATAAGAAAGTTTCAATGATAAGTTTCTCCTATACATTTTAATTTTAGGTGTTTATTTCTGCTAAGAAATTACCAGCAATCAAGGACATTAATGTTGAAACTATTTTTCCAAAAGAAAAGATAATAGATCCATACAGAATAAAAAGCATAAGCATCTAGATGCATAAAGAAAAAAAAATCCATGTACAATTGTACCCTAACCTGAGGCTCATTATTAAGGGATCCATTCACACTTACATTAGATAGTTTCGGCCAACCCTAAAGAAAAAGAACAAAAAGTTTAGCCTAATTATCACATAAAGATCATGGTATTCCTCATGCTAAACTCAAATAACATGCATCTTCATTGAACACTGAGGGATTTTTGCCATTCATTAAACATATAGAACCCCTGTAAGTGAATCTGAGTTATACTGAGATCTCTATCTCATTCATTACATTTCTACACTTTGATTTTTGAAATTAATATTAGCTAAATTATCTTAGAAAAATAGCCTTTCAGCTCTCTGATTTGTCAGATTGTTAACAAAATTCCCTTTGCAAATAAATGTGAAGCCTGTGTCAGAATAAGATTGATTTCCATCTATAACCCATAAAATTAGCCTTAAAACTTTAAGTAATAGCATGACTTTTTGGAAAACCCAGAGATATATAGTGTTAAATATATGCTTTCAATCAAATTCATCTACAATAGCAGGACATTAAATATACATTAGTGAGTTAATTAACAAACACACTTAACAAACACTTACTGAACACTTATTACATGTCATGTACCCTTCCAATATCTGTATCTGCTACAATCTACATAATAAATAATGCTTGTTTCCCAAAAATTCACAGGTTGTTATATACATAAGTTATGTATTATACTCCTCAAGGAAATAAAACAGAAAGAGAGACACAGGAGGAGCTGAGACAGTGAATGCTTCTTAAGGGCTAAGATTTAAATTGGTCTTCAAGTGTGGATATTTTCTGGCCAAGTCACAAAGTCACCACTGAGTGTTAACCTGGAATATACTCAGAACAATAGTAAGTATATAATACAGTTAAATAACAGAGCTTAAATCCGATTAAGAGCCACTATTACCTGAAGTCAGGAAGTCCATTCAGAATATTATTACATTGGACACATGAGGATCAGATTGAGGACATAGAAAAAGGAATTAAGGAAGGTAAAAGTAAAGAGAGTCAGTAGTTTACTGACTTATTTCTATAGAGTCTAATTGATCATCACAGGTCAAAGATGAATGTGTTGAATCTCAGTGGCTGAACGACATGGATCAAAATCCCTCTCAAAGAGATTCTCACTATTGGCTAAGTGGAATACATCAGGGGTGAGAGCACCAGGATGTTTGGGGGCAATAAGCTAGCATTCAATAATAATTCCAATTAGACATACAACCTTGATTTTATTGAAGATTATTGAGGTACTCAGCACCCAGTGGCTTCTCCTCAATCATGCTTGATTCATTTCCCAACACATTATTCCAAGGTTTTATTGCGAGATTCTTCTAGTCAATGCACATTGACGCTAATTCAACACAGAAAACCCCCACCCCCACCTTACCTTTCCCCAGACAATGTCACTGGTATCAGGCCATTTGATAAACACGTTGCTTTCTTGTCCTCTAGTGAACGTGAGGTATTGTGTCTCATTACCAGAAATGGCTGGGCCCTGCAGTGAAAGGACATCAAGCCACCAGGATGAGAAAAAAAAAAGGCATATTTAAAGAATTCTCTCTCCTAAAAATTTAATAATTCATTGTGTCTTCAGTGATGAATCTCAATACCAGTGAGTAAAACAAAATTCAAAAGCCATGAATGACTTGCCTTATGCCTGCTGGGTGCATCACCCTAACAAAATGAAATGGGCTGGTGCCTTAGGTACCTAAAGCATGATATACAACCATTACAAAAGCATCCCTTCAAAGTTATCCACGTCTGTGGCCTAACTTACCCAACTAAACTGATATTCCTTCTCCACTACATGCTATACTCACTTCAACTGCCCTGTGTGATACAAAAGTATTTCCAAATTTTTAAGGAAAATTTTAATTCAAAGCTAAGTTTACCCAGGTACAATTTTTAAACAAAATTTAGTATACAGGTTTTTTTCATAATACACATATTTCATGAAATTTTGGAGACATTTCATACTATGCAGTTTCACAATTTTTAATTATCTCTTGAATTTTTAGTATTTGTTAGCTGCCTCCTCTTACTAGACTACAAATTATTACACTGCTGAGGAAAAAATGAATAATATTATTCACTAATTTAGGATACATAAACACATATAACCTCCAGAACAGTGATTTTTCAATAGTGTTTCACAAATATTCAAATGAATAAAAAAATGAATGAAGTCAGCAAGATATCCTAATTCTGTCGACTACAAGGGACAATAACTTGCAGGTAACTTGCATATGTACCAAGATACAATTTTTCACTATAAAATAATAAATTAGTGTTCTCAATAATAACTCAATTTATTGCATGTTTAGTTAACAAGAAACAATTTCCCTGGTTTTAACCATTGCTGAGTGATGACACGCATGGAAGGTTTGTGAACTCCCAAAGCTAAACATGAGAAAGGGACAGCTTTTGCTTCTGTGGAATGATTTGTTGTTTTGCTTATAAAATAAGCTAATAAAATAGTAAGGAATAGTAAGCGAATAAAATAGTAAGGAAAAGTTACACATTCCAGCAGCCAACGTGGTGGCATGGGGATTGAAGCTGCCACTTGTGATGCCAGCATCATGTATAAGCACCTGTTCAGTTCCTGGCTGCTCACTTCTGATCCAGCTCCCTGCAAATACATCTGGGAGAGCAGTGGGAGATGGCCCAAGGGCCACACAGAATCACTATCTAATCCATCTCAATACCTACCAGAGTCAGTACAAATCTCATGCCATTTCTCTTCATCCGTTCCATCAGGAGACGGAGGCTTTGAAAGTTGGAGCTGAGAGTGAAGTCTAGATTGCGCTCCATATAATCCATGTCTACATGTTGGACGTCCTATGGGTGGAAGCAAGCAAGATGGTCAGAATCCTCCATCAGGCACCGTACGGGACATACTAACTGCTCTGCCAGACCCCTACCCCCAATCCTCTTAATTTATCTTATGCTTTCCCACACTGAAGTTTCAGTTCTGCTGTCTGAATTTTCTTTCTGATTCTTGCATGCAGTTCACTGCCTCACTCATCTTCTGTTTCTCCACTTGGAATTCTCCCTGCTTCCTTCCTTCAATTTCTTTCCATTCTTCGAGTCCAAAACTCCACAAACCCATCAAAGCACTAATTGAAATAATTAAGGAAGCCAGTGAGAGTTCTCTAAGAAACACAAAATAATCATATGTTGATTTGTTTTATCTGCAGTAGATTTACTGAATTTAATAACGTTTAGTCATACATTATTTTAAAGTTATCTAAAATATGTGTATTTATATTCTTATCTGTATCAAATATCTACATATAACTTTCCAGAATATATATAAATCTAATCTAGACACCTATAAAATATTATGTGGTGTATAGAGCTTTTATACAAATATATATTCTGGAAAGCTATGAATTTATGTATGTCATATAAACTTTTCTTTTGTAACTTTTCAGAATATTCATTTATTTTTTCCAAGAAAATACACATACTCTAGAGAGCTATAAAATAATGTACAATAAATGCACATTATAATTATAATTATTTTTATAATAAATAAAATAATGTATAATATGTAAAATATATATATGTAAGTCAACCCAGGTTGACTTCCCATATAGTACTCCACTTCAAACTCATCCTGTTCATGCTGGTTGAACTATAGACAAAGAGGTTAAGAATTTAATGGAAAAATATCTGCGTCCTTTTAGATCAAAGATAACCATCTGATATGACCCTTAGAGTGGACAAATATTACTGGAAGACACAGAGAAACAAATGTACATGAAGGAAGCAAAACTTGGAAGAAAATAAATCAACATATTATTATCATTGATTAAATTTGCTGAAGTGGCTCTGTGAATTTTTTCGTCTTGTGATTTTCTGATATTTTCTAATTGCTGACTAATCCCTATATACAGAGTAAGATAGTATTATAACAAGGAAAAGTTATATATGGATATATGTGTCAAGTTATGTTTGGCAAGAATATCATTACACTTTATTTTATTCTCATCTTCAGATTACTAATTATCCTCCAAAGGCTCAGGCCATGAATTGAAACTGGAGGAAGGCAATGAGTGATAAAACCCTGATCATTGTAAGACTAAGAACAACCATTTTGTGAAATTCTGTTTTCTTACAGCAAGTGGCTATGCGTATTTGTCACTGTACAATTTAAAGACATATGTATGTGCTTCAGAAAAAAAGTCAATGTTTGGTTTCATCTGCTTCCATCGTTGTCACCTCATATCAATTTCTCCAATACCTCACTTTTAATTGCCCAGAGTGACAGCTAAAATGCAGCTATGGCTGCTGCAGGACATCCTTGACTAGAGACAGGGAGGACCAGCATCTTGCAATCATATCACTTGCTACTGAAGGATGTATGGAACCCACATAGCAACAGATAAGTTTCAGAAGCACTGTACTCCACAGAGCACTCATTCCACAGCTACATTTTTTTTCTTACTGGCATAGCCACAACAGTAATTCTTCTGTGGACCTGTTATTGATATACCATTAGTCACAAATTCCCATAAGTAGTTAATCCACAAGCTGGGTGACGATGTCTTACATAAGGAATCTGGACTGCCACCATCGCATCATACAAATTGGCAATCTCAGTATCATTCTGGTATCCATAGCGACTCAGCTGGAATCCCAAGGCCCAGTATGGAGTCATTGCTGGCCGGCCAATTAACTAGAATTAAAATAAATAAATAAACAAACAAACATATAAAAAGAGAAAGTGATCAGCTTACACGTAAAGGTTTTGAACATTTCTACTGAGTGTTACTGGATATATAATACTTTACTCAAGAGGAAAAAAAGTCAAACAAATGCAGAATGGAGGATGACAAAAAAAAACCCTCAAAAAACTGTCTTAAAAATTCCTGATAGTCTATAGTCTCTACTTTCAGAAACCTGAGAAGTAAGAGGTTACTAATGATTAGACATCAATGAGTTATTTAGCAAATAATCCAGAAATACTAACATGCCAGGATAGTCTTGCAACACTAAAATCTGACTTTAAGAAAAGACAATAATCTTGTGGGGACACCCAAGAGTAATAAGAAAAACTTGGCCTATGTCACTACTAAGAACATGATAATACTATGATGAACATTGATGATTTATCAATGAGTAGAGTCACTTCCAACCTCAGTATATTGCTGAGTCACAAGTTCAGGAGTTGGCCCTAAAACTATGTAAAAATCCAAAATCCCTCCAGTGGTGCGGTATGTCAGAGCTGGAGTGGGCTGGAGTGTTATATCTGTAAAACAAAAAAAAAAAATTTTAAATGAATATTAGGATACATAACGAGCATTCTTGGAGTTGCCAAGCACCCTGAGGGGGAATCTGCCCTAAAATTTGCTATTTTCACTCATGTTCTCAAATGCTACCTCCTCTAGACAGTCCTATCCATTGGACTCAGAGATAGGTTCGTGCGCCCCGCAAACATACTATACAATCTCAGTGACTTCCATCACTTTGTGAAGTCAGCCAACATGTCATGATCAAAAAAGGTAGAGATCATGTTTCATCAAAATTTCATACATAATATCTGGCATAGAATTTTTAATAAATCTGCAACAACTGAATGAATACATGATTGGAAGCTTCAATTATTTGTTCCATTTTCCCTGCCCCTAAATGTTTCTATTGCTGTGGATAGCCTGGCTCCCTACTGAGCAGTCACAACTATTTATGGTGGAGCAGGGGAATGCATTTGTCTCACCCATGGCATTGCTGTTCAGCAGGAGCACTCCATGGGCACTGCCATCCTCCTCCAGGGCCATGTAGTAGGGGTGGACACCATAGGAATTCTTCATGTACTGGTAATAAAAATGTCATGGGAGTAATAAAAAAAAAAGAAGAAAAATAAACAAGAAAAATGTTCACACATAATAACCCAGCAGTAAACTCAACATTAAGGATTCACCTCAATGCCATGCCTTTTGTAGAGTTTCCTTGAACCTCCACTGCAACCCAAATGAGAGCTGTATGCTCCTTTCCAAGCCTCCTTGCTTATTAGCATATCATTGTTTCATACCACTGGTTATACTGTGACACCACTATGTCTGTACTTTTCTTTCTGACTAGCTATCATGCCACTACAGAGTAATGAAAATGTCTTATTTAATGTGTACTTAAGCACCTCACAATTGCATGACAATTAAGTATATTAAATAGAGGTGAGTGAAATGTGTAGTCCTTGGAGGGTATGGAATGAATACACACCTTTTTAAAGGGTAAAAGACCAAGACATGTATGTGGCCTATATGACTGAGAGCCAAGTTTATCTACACAAGGTAAAGGTGATGAAAAAGGAACCATAACAATGAATGAATTTACATGAAGGGAAGCAGATCACCAATGTTATTCCTCTGTCCTTACCGCCAGTGGCTCATCACGAGCGAACATTCCCCATGTATGCCAGCTCATGTTTCTTCTGAAAGTCGTGTGTTCGTTTTCTCCAAAGCCATAGATGTACTGAGAGGGGAGGCGTGTAGAAATGGAGATGAACATGTCGGTGAAGGTGAAGCCAGGGAGCTGAGAATCCCAACTGCAACACAAAGACACACTCCATGCTGAGTGGCACAACACAAGCCAGAGCAAACTTGTGACATTTAATTTTTGATTCAGAAGCTATGTCTCATTTGTCTCTTGACTTCTAGTTCTTGGTGCTCAGTAAAGCAACAAAAGTAAATCAGTGAATGAATAAAAAACATCTAAAACTTTTCCAGTAGAAAAGTGTACAATTCTTAAGACAACTTCTCTGGGTTGGACAAAGGACTGCTTGGTGAATAAGATGACAAAGAGAAAATTAGACACAGTCAAAAAGAGCAGATGTTGTACCCAGAAAGATGCACATAGGATTGCTTCCACAAATGGAGATTCTCACGCCAGGCTGAGTCAGACCCACATCATCAGGATGAAGAGAAGTCTTCAAGCTTTACCATGGACAAAAGAATCTTTAAGTCTACAGTGTCAACAGAAGCAACAATTTTGAGAAACCATTTCTCTTTCCTTGCTGGTTTCTGCCTTTCCCTCCAGTCATTATTTCCTAATGAGGTACAATAACTACTTCTCATGTGAGGTTATCGGTTGTGCCTATGAGATCTTTTACTATTCTCCTTAACAACAACAACAGCAAACAGAACATGTTTTTTCTTTTTCTGAAATCAAACAACACTTTATTACTTTATTCAAAACACCAATTAATTATTTTTGAGTTAATGACTAACAAAAAAATTCTATTTCCTATTGATTAGGGGGAAATTGATAGGCTCTTGAACAAACACACACGATTACATAGTCTGAGATTAGCACTGCACTGGTGCTAATTAGAACCACTATAATTAAATAAAGAACCATTTTATTTGGAGCCAAATAAAGTGTGCTTACATTACAGAGCCAGATCTTCTGCGTTGAATTTGAATTCCAAAAGGATTGGTTTGAACTGAAACATTATACAGGCGGTTTTCAGGCAAGCCAACTGGAAATGGTGGAGTATTTAGAGATACTGGTACCTCATATCTTTGATTAGTGGGATCATAGATCTGGCAAGGAGAAAGAAATCTTTGTGATGGAGACTCTGACCTGAAATCCCTCAAGCCAACTTTTCCTTCTGAAGTTTTCTGGTTTATATACACAACTTGTTGCAACTTGCCTAAAAGCATTGGTGTGGGGAAAACGAGAAGAGCCAAGAGCATTATGCAAAGACAAGTGTCATTACCAGGCACCACTATCCTCTCCTGTCTGTTCTCACTTGTACATCTTTGCTTGGGAAGTGGATGCGGGGTGAGGGCAGTTCCTGAACCCTTGCTTCTCCAAATTTTTTTTCTCAGACCAAAAGCAGCATCATTTGTTGCAAAACCATTAAGGATGCTTTTTCTCAGGACCCTCTCCATACCTCCTGAAACAGAAGCTTCATTTTCCCTGGCTGCCTCAGCTGAGACATTATACACTGAAGTGTGAAAAGCAATGCAGAGAACAGGGCTGTCTCAGGAGGTACTCAACACTCACTCATGGCAGCAGAGCACCTGAAACTTGCTATTCTGAATTGCAATCCTCCTGTAGGTACAAAATCATATCAGATTCTGAAAACTTTGCATGATTAAAAGATTGGAAAATATCTCCACATTTAGATTTTGATTTCAAGATTAAATATTTCAAAACATTCGTTCAGGAAAGGGATGGTATTGTGTTGGAGAGGATGAAGCTGAGGTTTGGACTCTTGCATCCTGTATTTAAGTTCCAGTCTGGGTCCCACTTCTGATCCAGTTCCCTATGGTTGTACCAGGGAGTAGTGGACAATGGACATAGGATTTAACTCCCTACCACCCAGATGGAGTTCTGCACTGTTGGCTTTGACCTAACTTAGTCTTGGTTGTTGCAGCCACTGGAGAATTAACCAACAAATGGAAGATCTCATTCTAATTCCCTCCCTCTGTTAAATAAATCAACTTTTAAAATTAGATTCTATTTGGTTTTCTCCTATTTTTAAAATACACCTTAGAAAATGTGTGGCTCGGGCCAGGCAGGGTGGCCTAGCAGCTCAAGTCCTCACCTTGAACGCACCAGGATCCCATATGGGTGCCAGTTCTAATCCCGGCAGCTCCACTTCCCATCCAGCTCCCTGCTTGTGGCCTGGGAAAGCAGTCAAGGACAGCCCAAGGCTTTGAGACCCTGCACCCATGTGGGATACCCGGAAGAAGTTCCTGGATCCTGGCTTCGGATCGGCATAGCATTGGCCATTGTGCTCACTTGGGGAGTGAATCATCAGACAGAAGATCTTCCTCTCTGTATATCTGACTTTCTAATAAATAAATAAATCTTTAAAAAAAAAGAAAGAAAATGTGTGGCTCTCATTGAATTTCTAGTAGCTGGAGCACAGCAGTGAGTCTCAATGTGCAGGTCCTTGACCTGCAGCATCAGCAACACCTGGGAACTTGTCAGAGATGCAAATTCCCAAGCTCAGCCCCATACAGAGTTACAGATCTGGAAACCTTTGGGTGAGTCTAGCAGTGTGGGTTTATCAAAAGAGCAACAGGTAATTCTGATGCATGTTCAAGTTTGGGAGCCACTACTATAGAAATAGTTCTAGTGCTGGAAGTGAATGTCTCCTGCATGTGTGTGTTTACTACAAAACAGACTCATTTTTCTAGGGGTTACAAAGGCACTATACTTTGAGTAGACAGTACTCCAGTAACTTAGAGTTCTGTCATAGTAAAGTCACAGTTCTGGTGGATCTAAAGTCACTTCTAAGCTCCACTTTTTTTTTTAAGATTTATTAATTTCTATTGGAAAGGCAATTTAAGACAGAAAGATAATCCACTCACTGACTCAGTCCCTAAATGACCGCAATGGTCCAATCTGAAGCTAGGAGCCTGGCGTTTCTTCTGATTCTCCTACATGGCTGCAGGGTCCCAAGGCTTTGAGCCATTCTCCTCTGCTTTCTCTGAACATAAGCAGACATGGAAAGTGGAGTAATCAGGGCACAAATGGGTGCCTGTCTGAGATATCAATGCTTGTAGACAAAGGCTTCACCAGTTGAGCCTTTACATCAGCCCACCAAACTGCTTTTTGCTAACTTTATTAACCATACTTTCTCGGGCCTTGGTTTCTGCATTTGTAAAATGAGGAACTTGAACTAATAATCTTGCAATTTCTTGCACCCATATACAGCTGAAAGTTAAAAACTCCATACTGACAACCAGAATCTGAATGAATTACCTTGACCTGCAGCATGTATTCTGTGTGGTAGACCACAGTCACCCTGAGGGAGTTGATTTTGGCAGAAAGAATGGGATCTGCGGTGGTTGTTGCTGCTGACTGGGGTTGCCCAGCTCCCAGTGGCTCTGATAGGGACGATTTCATTGCCTGTGCTGGTTGTGGAGCCTCCAGGAGGCTGAGGTCCATGGTGATACCTGTGGCCAGGTACTGAATACTACTGGCAGCATAGTTAGGGATGGTGTCATAGTAGCAGGTGGGCACGCCGGGAGTGGTTGTAGCCTGGAATACCAGAAGGAGTTCTTGATCAGCTCCTGATAACATACTTTTGAGACTCTAAATATCGTACAAAAATCTCAAACAATATGTCCATTGCTACAGTTTAAATTGCATTATATCGTAGTCCTTGGTACTAACAAGTGTGGCTGTTTGAGAACATACTCCTTACAAATGATGCATGAAGATGAAATGTTGAAGGCTTGTCCTGATTTAGTATGTGTGACGTCCTTATGACGAGGAGCTTGGCACACACAGAGATAGATCAGAGACACTACCACAGGAGCCTAAAGGCAGATGTTGGCATGATGCATCAGTAAACCAAAGAAGGCCACATACAGCAGGCAAACAACCACCAGAGGCTCAAGGAGAATCATGGAACAGATTCTCTCTCATGGCCTTTGATAACTCAACCTGCCATTGCCCTCAGCTCAGATTAGTAGACTTTAAAACTGGAAGGGAATAAATTTCTGTTATTCTAAGCCTCTTCATTCATGGTGCTTTTTTTATGGAAACCACTCTCAAAAATATCACCCATTTCTTAAAATGCAGGTGAACATCAGCCTCCTAGAATAAACAGTAATAGAGCATGATCTAAAGACTAAAACACTCAGGCAGATTCAGCTGCCACTCTCCTTACTGTCTCCTGTGAATTCTACTTCTTTTGTCTCACTTTGATCTGTTCCAATTGCTCAAAAGCAAAGAAACAGCCTTATCTTACTCTTCCTGCTTTGGATTCCCAAGGTGAAAGAACTCCTTAAAATACCAAATGCACAATGCATATCCAATTCCCTAAATTTGTGAAAAATGGACAAATGAATAATGTAGTTGGAACAGCAATGAAAGCAGCAATCGGTGGCTTCTGATTCCAAGTATCTGGGAGAGATACCGATTACATGCCATGCAGAGTAGGCACAACGCATCTTGGAGTGCTGTGATGACCATTAAAGTCACCAGTACTTGCAAAGTTCTTCAAGGTGCTGGCTGCTAGTGGAAAAGTGTCTCTACTTTGTAGCAACATGATAATCTGTTCCCGATCATTACCTCCCAAAGACACCCTCGCAACCTGCAATTCTCTTCAGAGACAGTAGAATTCTCAGGGTAGCAGTTGAACTTTTCTAGGTCACTGACTGGAAGATCCCACTTCAGGGAAAATTCTAGTCCCAATTCTAGGCCCTGGAGATTAGAGATGCTCACGACCTGGGGAAACAAGTAGGCAGTGCATTGACAAGTGAGGCAAGGCAGAGGCACCCAGATGAAGTTCTCTCCTGGGGTTCCTAGTCAGAACCAAAACCGACTCCTTCCCCCAGTATCATTTTGTCATGGATGTTTGGAAACTAGCTTCTTTTTGATCTTTATCACCTCATGGAGTATTTTAGAAGCATGGAATAAGAGGAGATTTAATCATTTTACAGAATATGAGATCACAATGGGACTGCAACTAGTAAGCTCATTGTCCACTGGATATCATGATTATTCAGATTAATAATGATGAATGATACTAACAATAGTTAAACTTCATTGTGCAAGCATGTGCATCAAATATATGATAACCACTTCATGAGCACAATTTCCATAAATCCTAAGTAATATCTAGCTGTGAATCCCATGGGTATCTTCACTTTGCAGAGCTGTACATTGAAGTAAACAGAAGTCTAACACCTTGCCCAAATTCTTACAACTAACAGCAGAACAGGATTGAAGCCCCATTCTAACTAACTTTAGAACCAAGGACTTTCCTTCTGCTGTGTGTCCTCAAATTAGAAAGAGAGCTATCTAAAAGAGTAATGCATGTCCCGGCACTTGAAATGAGCAATTCAACATGCAAAGGAATCACTCAAGGAAGAAACCAAACTTTGCCTGATGTTTTCTTTCACTCTTCTTCTTTCCTGTAGTAATTTCCTTAAAGTGGTGCCAGTGTTGGAGCATAGCATGTAAAGCCACCTCCTACAACATTAACATTCCACAGGGACATGGCTGATTTCCTGGCTGCTCCACTTCCAATCTAGCTCTGCACTAACGGCCTTAATGAAACAGTGGAAGATGACCCAACTGCTTGGGATCGTATGGGGGACCTGGATGGGCTCCTGACCTCAGCTTGCCCCAGCCCTGATTGCTGCCTCCCTTTCTCTCTGTAACTGTAATTTCAAGAACATGAATTACTCTTTTTTTAAAAACCAAATAACTTAACACAATAGGAAAAGAAATGTCAAGTATGTCTTAAAAGGAATGTTTAACTTCACCAAGAAGACAAATGTGTAAACAGTCTTCAGAAGGGGGCCGAAGTACCAAACAATGCTTTCAGTGTCACACCTAGGCTAATTAGAAAAACACTGTCTTTGCCTGGGGTTCTCACTTTTTCTACTTACTTTTTGTTGCATTGTTTTATTTAGAGGTGGGTTAAGTTTGTGATTATAAAATAAACTGAAACTATGTCATAAAAACCTAAAAGATAAGAAAGCAAGGGGGTTCTCATCTTGTTCCTACACCTATAATATATGAAAATACATGAAGTTTGTTCGCCTTTCATAAATTTTAAAAGATGGGAAGGAAAGAACTTTCTTCTTTTAAGGTGCCAACTTTCACCAGCCTTTTCAAAGTCCTATTCCTACTGCAAACCAAGTTGAAGGGTGTGTATTGAGTATGCCACTGTCTCTGCTGTTTCCTCTCTACAACCTGGTTGGTCTCTCGGCAAGCCAATTGTCCCCGTGACCTCCCAAAACCAAAAGATAAGGGAAAGTAAATGTCATATTCTCCCACCTTTGTTGAAGAATTGTAGATGACACTTGAAATAGAAGTGGGGATGTTATTAAATGAGACAGTAAAATTAGCTGGTTCCTTGTCCATTCCCAAGATTTTGATATCTGTAAACATGAGTTTGTCAGGGACCACGTAATTCTTATTTATAATCTTTGCCTGTAGTTGGTTCTGAAAAGAAAGAATAAAGATAAAAAAAAAAGACAAACAAAAAAAAGGAGGCAGGGGATGAAAGTGTAGATTGGGAAGTATCATCATATTCTTAAAACTGGATTATAAACTGGGAAAGCAGTGGAGGCAGCTCTCACCATTACAGCCATCTGGGGAGTGAAACAGTAGATGGAAGATCTTTCTATCTCTCCTCTGAAAATCTGCCTTTCTAATAAAAAGTAAAAATAAATTTTAAAAGAAACTGAATGTATGAAGTCTGAATGTATGAAACTGAATTATGAAATCTGCCCCCATTTATTTAAATTAAAAAAACCTAAAAACTTGATGTAAAATGCCATAGCAAGGAAAATACATGTGTGCTTTCAAAATGGTACTTACATCAGTAACAGAGAACTCATACAGAATGTATTTCCTTGCAGTTACAGCATCTAAAAAAGAAACATCATTGAGGATTGGTTACCACAGGAAGCAGTAGAGTCATGGTCTCTGTATCTGGAATTCTTTAGCCTTCTAGTCCTTACTCATCCCAGTTCTGCGCATTTTCATCAATCCCACACAGAAGTTTCCTGGGCTACTTTCTCTGAAGTGGCACTCTATAGTACCACTTTGCTGGAATTTAAGACATTTTAGTTACATTTATCTACATACACATTATAATTACACTTCTGAACCATGAGTTCATCAGGGGGGATGTTTACATCTTGCTCATCTCTACATACAATTAATATATATATATATTATAATATATATATTATATATTATATATATATTATAATATAATATATTATATATATATTATAATATAATATATATATATATTGCATATAATGTAAGTCAAATGTAAGTCAATGGAGCTGGTATTATGGCATTGTGAATTAAGCCACTACATACAATGCAAGAATCTCATGTAGTCATCAGCTCAAGTCCCAGCTGCTCCCCTTCCAGTTTCCCTGCTGATGCACCAGAGAAAACTATGGAAGTTGGTCCAAATCCTTAGACTCCTGTCACCCACATGGGAGACCCAGAAGAAGCTCCTGTCTCCTGGCTTCAGTCTAACACAGCTCCGGTCATCGTGGACATTTGGGGAATGAATCAATAGATGGAAAATCTCACTCTTGCTCTCTGTAAATTCTGCCTTTAAAATGAATAAACATGCCATTTATTTTAAAAAAAAATGGCTAGTCAATAGCAGACAAATATTAAAAAGGCATAAAATATGTATAATGTATAAAATAAGATACAGGGCATGATTTTACATAATCACAAACCATCAGCTTATATGAGGTATGTATATAAAAGCTTCATAGTAGAATAGCACTACATGTACTAGATCTTCTGCTTCAGTAGTAATCAGAACAGTGCTTCAAAAGTTATTAACAAAATGCAAAGCTTGTTATTAATATCCCTACAGAAACTAAATATCACAATGTCAGTTACTTCAGGAGAGGCAAAAGCATACAAGTTACATTTTAAGTCTGCTTTAATTTGTGAGCTAACCAAACTTTCAAACCCTGGTTTCTACACTATGGAAATAAATACATTGGTAATAGAGTTAGCATCGTGCTAGGCACCCCATAGTAGCCAGTTTTCACTGAGAACCCTGGTGATGCAGCCATGGGCAGAGCTACCTTTAGATACGCCATCATCCCAATATAGCTCCCCTTTGGCTTCTCGCTTGTGGTCCAAGGCAATAATGAGTCCCAGTGGATTCTTCCGGCTGAAAGAGACAAGTTTTCAGTTTCAGAGAATGAAGAAGACACAGACCTATGCAAAAGTACCCCTTCTTCGTGTCCCAAATACATACAAACCCAGAATCAACCGCAGGGACTGGATGGTAGAAGTATTTAGTTGGATATGGATGTGGGCAAGCAGCAGAGTTAGTGATCAACAAATATAGGAAAAAATGGTGCAAAGGGGCAGTTACTGCTTAACACTGGATTTGTGGTTATAGACGCAATTAATCTGGAGACACTTGCCATGTGCCTGGTATACTTCTCAGGCACTACTTACATTGCCACTTAATTTAATCCTCAATATAGCTAGTTGAACTATCATCATTCATTGATTACCAACATAAGCAGATGCACAGAGAAGTTAGTTACTCAAGATAAATATTTTTATTATTCAAGGTGTATTTCTCCAGACTCTGAACTCTCAATCTCTAAACTATGCTGACGTTTACATGATAACCTTTATATCCTATTTAATTTGTATTCTTTTATACATTTCTGGCCATAGAAGATTCTTGTAACTGATGATTTTGACAATTACTATAATCTTACAATCTTCATCATAAAGAACTATGAGAATGTTAAGGCAATAAGACTCTTTTACCCCTTGCTAAGGGAGGACTAAGATGCTAGTTATAGATCAGCTCTGAAAGGAAGAGATGAGGAGTACTGACTGGAAATGTTTTCCCTTGATCTGTCCACTCTTCATCCATATTTACCTGTCCCATAATGCCCAGCCCCATCAGAGCACCAAAGCAGCCACATCTTAGAGTGTGAAGCTTACCTGGACTCTGTAGTAATGCTTGGCTGCTGGGTGGGAAATATGTAGCCTCCTCGAAGATGGAGCCCCATGCTATCACCTGGGAATGCCATATCCACAAATTGTTTCCTCCATTGCATGGCTACTCCCTAATCAACCAAAAGAAAATAAATCAAATAAGTCATTGTGTGGGTTCAGAGGGACCTTAGATACTATCTATGTCAGTTACCTCATATTAAAAAAAAAGATGGATGCCCTTCCAAAGTGAAATGACATGCCCAAAGCACGTAGGTAGTACAGAGCTGCCCTGAGACTCCAATACTCCCCTTTCTTTATATTATACTACACTGTGACTTCAGAATTGGTTTTACTTTCCTTGGTTATAACAGCCAATATCCAATGACTACTCCTGATGCAACAGTAGCCAGAATAATATAATCAATTCCCATCACCTTGCTCTGGATATTTAAATTATTTCATCATACCCATCTGTTACGATCTGAATGCTAGATTTCTCCCAACACTCATTAATTGGAATCCAATACTCAGTGCAGCAGTATTAAGCAGTGGAGCCTTTGGGAAAAGGACTAAGTTACGCCAGCTGAGTGGGAAGGCAGCTTCAGAGAAGCACAGTGCACCCTCACCATGGAGTAAACCTTCCAGTCCCTTGAGCTTGCACTTTCTAGTAAAACAGTGAATAATACGTTTCTATTATTTAAAAATCACACAATAGAATTTTGTTATACCACCCTTCATGGACTAAGATGCCTTAAGAAAAATAGCCACAATTATCTAATTATAAAGCCTTGTACTATTATCCTTCCCAAGCTCCTGTGAGCTTGTCCTCTTAGAAAACCAAGGCTACTTCACTTACTGTCTCATAGTCGTACCAGATGGCATCTGGTATGTATGCTTTCACTTGGTCCACGCCCTAGGGAAACAGCAGTAAATAACGTTATCTTATCCTTTATACTGTACAAAGTAACTTCACGTATCCTCAAATGAATAAGCCTGAGATAGCAAGGACCTTCCATTCTACAAACGAAAACTCCAAAACTCAGAAATCCTAAGCAGTTTACACAAAACAGAGCTGTGCCCAAAAATCAGGTTTATTTTGCTTCAACGCTCCTTTACTTTCTAAAAGAAATAGAAGAGCCTCGTTTCCTTTGTTTGCTGAGCTATTCCAGTAACCTGAGAGTTGGGAAAAGACAGGCCAGTCGTATCCATAAAATCACCTTCCATAAATGGGCTGTTTATAAGTTAGCAAAACCTGCCTGTCTAAAACACACACTCAAAAGAGTGTTTGAGATGAGACTACTGGTGACTTTTTACATTTACAAACTGAACGGTGGGATTCTGATCCTTCCCTCACACTTCCCCACTTACTCATGCACCTGCCACATCTAGATGGAAACTTTCTGCTCCCTCATACAAGGACTTCTAATAACAGCCTCTCCTTGCCCAGCACTGCTTCCTCCCTGTATCTCTCCACACTATCCTCTCTTTGCAATGACAAGTGGAAACACAGACAAATGGTAAGCACACATACACCAAAGCACTGAAAGCTACATGTCAAAATCACAGTCACGTGCCTAACAGCTCAGGGCTTAAGGCATTTCCACAATACAGCAGTTGTTTTGCTTGGTAGACTAGTGGGAATAACAATCTCTTTTCTATTTTGAAAAGAATAATAATCCTTCTCATTTGTGTTGCTGTTTAGATGTGAATGCAGCCACGGCTCCCAAGACTCCAGCTTATCTAGCTATAGAAACATGAAGACCAGCATCAACATCCCACCCCGATACTTAGATGGTGAACATACTTCATATAAAACAGGAGTGATGAGGAGGCCAGGCCCCCATAAAAACTGCTCATGAATATCCCATGTGACTGGATCTTGGTAGAACCTATGAAAGAGAGGGCATGTGAGGCAAGGGAAGTCTCTCCTATAGGAAAGTAACACATTTTAAGGCAAGAAGGCCCTGATTAACCTTGTTACCACCATCAAAGTGAGGTGACATTATGCTCTGAAACATTATTTGAGGGTCATGAAACTCACTCGTGTACCAGAGGCCTTGCCACCGTCTCGCCCTGGGTGTGAGCACGGTAGAAGAGAGTATAGAGGTAGGGTAACAGGGTGTAGCGGATGTTCAAATAATGTCTCGTGGAATTCAACAGCATGGAATCATCACCAAAGGCAGCAGGGTCCTGGTCCTACAAGGAAATGAAATCAACAGCTGGCTGTTTTTCCCTTGCTGTTTACTCACACATTCTCATGATGAAAAGCTTTGTCAGATCAAAGCAGCCACATTCTCCAACTCGTAAAACATTAAAGAACCTGGTCAGAAAGCATCTTGGTCCTACCCCTTTACTTCATAGATAAGAAAACCATTATCAAAGATTGCACAACTTTCTCGGGGTGAATTTCAAACAGGTGGCAAAAGTTTTACTACCATTCATGACATTCAACAGCAGTCTCTGTCAACCCCGGGATGCCCATTTCCTCCCATGGACTAAAACTATTTTTTGATACTACTGTGAACCCCCATGTAGGACTCGAGAAAACCCTAAGCCCAACACCAAAGACAATAATATCCCACAGCTCCCATCACGCTGGTATCCAGCTAGAAGTCCAAAGTTACACTGCCCATGATGGGGATTATAAATGAACACTTACAATATGCCTGGTGAAACTGAGCACCTGGACTTTGGTATTTGACTGTAATTATTTAAACCTAAATCTTAAGACTGAGCAAATACATTTTTATTGTTTTGGTAGGATTACATTTCATCTCTACTGCCAGAAATTTGGCATACAAATTTAGACATTCTGCCATTATAAAACATCTTCAAGAGGAACATGGAACCCAATTGATCTATTTTCCAATCAGATGATAAAAGTAGAATGAAATGGGGAAGCCTCCAAAACCATTCATATAAAAAATTCAGAGTGTTTAGTTTATCATGCAAGAATTAAGTAAAATACCCATAAAACCCCATCATTTCATAGTAAACAACTATGAGAACATAAAAAAATAAATAAATAAGATTACTTTATCCCTGCTAAGGGAGGACTATGATGCCAGTTTTTATGTAAGAATTTAAGCAAAATGCCTATGAAGCCCTATTATTTCATCTTCTGTAAGGTGATAACAAAGAGGCAGAAACACTAAACACGCTTTGAAAAGTTTCACCTCTATTGCTGTGTTTCCAACAGTAAAACCATTCAATATATGCAAGCTTGTCACACAACCCCTACTCCTTATAGGCACTTTTTTGGGGCCTATCCTCCAAGATTTACCCACCTACTCTGGACTAAGAGCCAACCTGTGCTGTATAATGCCAACTCTCGCTGAAAACTAGCAAATTAGATAACTGAAACATTCTCATTGCGTCTCTCTGCCCTTACCCTGAACTCAGGGCCATTATGGTTCCTGGAAAGTGGATAAAATGCTCCCAGTTGCATCCATCTTCTGCACAGCTCTTCTGAGACATTTTGCTTGTAGCCACAGATGTTGGCACCGACCTGGAAAGTCAGCACACATGTAAGCACAGCAGCCAAGGCACGCGTCGAAGCACTGATTCTAAGCTTACCTGATGGGGATGAGTATGCCTTACCTCTGTCATTTCATGTTTAAAGAGATCCCGGTGTCCCAGAGTCCCTCCAGCACAGTGCAAGAAACAAACTTCCAGACATGCAGAGGAGAAGAGCACTGTATATTGCTCAGACAGTGATCTGTGTATCGAGGGTTCTCCCTCAATAATTATATTTCAGTATCACATTTCTTTATTAGAATGCCCCCTGATATATTTTTTCATGTGAGACTTAATATATTTTGTAGTATCTCATTATGTCCAGAAATTTCATGGGGCAGAGAGAATAATGATACTGTAACCAGTATCATTCAGAGGGAGTATACATAACAAGGTGATTTTTTTTCCAGTATGTATCACAGTGTGGCACATATTCCTTAGTTTTTCATATACCCTCAAAGCAAAAGGAGCGTTAAAGAGTGTTAAAGAGTGTTAAAGTTCCCTTGTATGGAACAAGGCTTACCATGGGAATACCAAATAGGTTGAACTCGAGAATACTTGTAATAGACCAACGGAGGTCATTCCAGGTAGCTGCATTATCCCCAAGCCAATGAGCAGCAAATTTTCCAGATCCAGCAAAAGTAGAACGGGATAATATGAAGTTCCTATTATTTTGAAAGATATCTCCCATGGCCCTAAAGAGGAATGAAGCCAGTTTAGTGTAAAATTTAAATGTGAATACCTAGGACTCATGCTGTACCAAAAGGGGGAAAAAAAAAAAAAGCAAGCCATCATAAACCAAACAAGTAATTCAGCATGTTCAAGATCTGTTCCCTGCCCTTTGTGATACTTCAGGTCTCATGTAACACAGTTCAAATTTCTATTCCAGACCCCAAAGAAATTCCTGTAGGATCCTTTCTTTCCAACTGTATTTTCTCCATCTTGTTAGATCTGGCTGTATTCTAGCTCTTTTGGTCAACCATACATTAGAATCATGTCTTAAGTTCTTTGCCCCAATATCTGTCTAGACAAAGGTTTTCTACTGCCTCTTTGTTCCACGCCTTTCTACCCATGCATAATTCTTTTGAGCAAACAATTCAAGTTGTCATATCATACCCTCTGGTTGACTGAAGCAAGAGTTTATACAACCCTGGTGGCACAAAGGAAAGAATGCTGAAGTAAAAGACTGGTTTGAGAAAGTGCAGAGATCCATTCTGACAATTTACTGACCTGTGGGAGAAGACTCACTCCTCATCCCCGATCCTACCCCATCCCTTGATAGACACTGGAAAACCCTTTGCCTTTATTACCATGGACTTCAGGCATATTACACTTCTCAGTAATAACTAGCGAAAGAAACAAACACAGGCCCTATAAAGTGAAACTAAAACAGTAGTGAGGGTATCTGAGGTCATAGTTTAGAGCCAGCCATTAGATGACAGCCTTTGTTTTTTTTTTTTTTAACATCTCAGAAAAATCACATTGAGAGATCTCTAAGCTTCTCGTTTCCACCCACCAATTTCACTACCTACTTAGCTCAGTAACCACTGTCCTCAATCTTTACTTCTACTTTGGATTAAATCCAGATTCCATTGGTTAGAATGCTGATCTCTCTGAACACAACTCTTGGCCAAAGGCCAAGTTTGACTGTGGCCACCGTTCACCAGGAATTCACATCATCCTGTTGACCCAGGGAGTTACAAAAGATTATCATCTATGTACCCAACCACAGTTACCTTTATAACTACTAGAAATATGAACAAAACCATTCAGGATTTTTAGTAGCATTTCTATCACATGGCAACACAGAGACAATAAAGCAATCTGAAGCTCTCTTTCACTTCCCCCCTATTCCTCCCTCACCCTCTTTCTGGTCATGCACTCATTCTCCCAACACTTGTCCCCTTAAACAGAAAGGTCAAAGAATCAAAATACGTCAGCACAGGAAGAGGCTATGGGGAAGATTGATACACTCCTCACACTACAGAGGTGAAGAAACTGAGTCTCATTTATGTCACTTTATTTTTGAGTAAAGATAAAATAAGAAAGAGGAGAGAGAGATCAGAATAGGAATAATACGACATCAAAGAGAAGTGGCCTACTTCTGTGGGCATTTTAAAAAATTACATTTTCCTGTAGTGGATCAGGTCTCTCTCTCTCACTTGCACAATACAGTATGATGCAGAGTAATGAAAGAAATGAATTACCAAAGAACAAAACCAACATCATCTCTGCCTCTTACAGGTGCATGTGCCAAGTGTACCTAGCTTGCCCTGATCCTTCTCATAGATTGCTTTCTAAGAATTACTTATTCATTTGTTTTATTATTTTTTTTTTATTTAAAGTCAGAGAGAGATTTTTCATCTACTGATTCACTCCCAAAATACTTTGAGAGTTATTTCAGTCCTGCCAAATTCAAGAGCCAGCAACTTCATCCATATCTCCGTGGAGGTTGCAGAGACCCAAGTACTTTGGCAGTTGTCTGTTGCTTTCCCAGGCACATTATCAGGAAACTGGATAGTAAATGGAGGAAAGAGGGCTTAACCTCATGCTTTGATCTGGGATGCATTGGTTTAAGTGCTAGGCCACAGTGCTGATCCCTCAGGGCAGGTGTTTATACAACCGTCATCTAATCAGGGCACACACTATTCACCAGGGTAAGGATACAGGGATGACCTTACCTCTAAAAACTCAGTGCAGCAAGAGAAAAGAATAGGATGTAAGAATGATTATTTTACATGTAAAGAATATGAAATATGAACAACTACAGTATCAAAAAGGTGAAAAGGATCTGCATAGAACTAAGGTTCCTGGAATTCATATCTAAGGTGACAGAGTTTAGATACACAAATATTTGCATAACGTACAGAAAGGACGAAGACCATCTTGTACATGGCAAGCAGAACATGAGATATGAAAGATAAAATAGCATTTAAATTGGGGAACAAGTAATTACATATTAACAGGGCATAAAATGTGAAGAGTGGCATAGGTGAGAAACAAAGAGTAAGAAAAAGTTAGGTTAGGGAGGACATTGTAGATTATACTAAGACAACCAGATTTTATTTTAGAGAAAAGTAGTAAATCACAAATACTTTACACTGGGAGAGAACTGAGCACATTTGTGCTTCAGAAAGATCATTTTAACAGCAGGATGGCATAACAGGCTTTGAACCTTAACATATACTCTGTATACCTTGAGATTATGTGGAAAAGTAGGTTTTATTTTCCAAGATTTGGTTCAGATAACATGCTCTGCTTCTAGCACTTGTCCCAGTGACACGGGTATTGCTGGACTTTGGGTCATGTTTTGAATAGAAATGATAGAAAACAGTGCTGAAAAAAATCAGGCTAAAATATAGGGAACTCATTTTTGGCTAACCCCATGAGAAGTGTCAGTGGTGGAAAAACTAAGGATCCTTGCAAAACATTTTCTGGTTATAAAAATTTTATACAATTTTTCAAAAGTAGAACTTTATGAATTATATGTGAGGATGTAGAATTTTTAAAAAGTTGATGCCAAGTCTCTAACTTGTATTCAAAGTCTCAGATTTGATAGCACTGGTATTGCTAACAGCCAAAACAAGTAATTTCAGAGTTTTAGAATGCTAAGCCAGAATGTGGATATTAGGCAAAAATAGGTAACAGAGCTGAGTGAATGGTGTGTTTAACATTTTAAGATATGCAAGCAGAGAAGATGGTTCTAGATATTTGCATATGAAAATCAGTGACAGGGCTTTGATAAAATTACATCCTTTAAAATCATTAAATTGAGTAAATCATGAAAAGGTATAAATAGTCTTGTGTTGGCACAGAAGAAAAAGGGAAGTATGAAGATTGGCCTGTAAGACTTATTGATGATGAAAGAGTAAAGAAAGAAGATCATCATAAGAACATTAAGGAGAGTATTAGTGAGGAGATGAGCGGCATCTGGAAGACTAGGAAAGCTGAGTTTAAAAATGTTGGTAATTACAGAGTAAGTGCAGTGGCATAACTCGCTAATCCTTCATACCAGGTGGGCTCCTGTTAGTGTCCCAGCTGCTCCAGTTTCAATTCAGTTTCATACTTATGGACTGGGAAAGTTGCAGAGGATAGTTCAAACCCTTGGGCCTCTGCACCCACATGGGTAACCCAGAAGTAACTCCTGGCTTTGGATCAGCTCAGCTCCAGCCATGGTGGCCATTTGAGGAATGAACCAGCAAATGGAAGACCTGTTTCTCTTTTTCACTACGTAAAATCTGTGCTTCAATACAAATAAGTAACTGTTAAAACAGGGGGATAGTCATGACTTTCATTTCCACCTAGACAGAAAAGTTCAAGTAAGGTGAGGACTAAGATACACCCCTGAAGTACAAAGTCTCCATGTCCATATTCCCCACAGTGAGTTCTAGAAACACCAGGACAAAAGTCCATCAGCAAAGTAAGCCTAAGGCTTATGTCCTTTACTAAGCCACTGGAAGAGTCTAACAGCTCTTCAAACACTTTAGTTCCCCCATCTGTGCTGCAAGTCTAAACATAAAAATTCCTTAAGCCTCTCTCCACATTTCTTGTTCTTTTAGATACAGTGATTTTTTTTTTTTACTATCTTCCAAGAAAGGAACAGGATATAATGGTAAGGTGAGCTATTCCTGAGTTCTCAAAGGTATCATTAGATAAAATTACAGAACAAGATATGAAAAGAGAAGAATCTGTAGGACACATGTGTGTCTCCCTAATAGGCTTTCATAATGAGGAGCATTGATAATGTTATAATGAGGAAGGTTGTGGTGGTGATGACAGCTGTGGCCTTGAGGGCAGTGCTGATAGTGGTGGTGGTAGTAACATTGAAGGCATTGATACTGCTAGAATGATCACGGTGGTGGTGGCGATGATGGTAATGATAATGGTTGCGACAATGGTGATGCTGCTACTGGTGGTGGCAATAATAATGGTAATGGCAGTGATAGGGGTACTGATGGTAATGAGGATGATCTTGCTAATGATGAGTATTTGTATCTTGAGACAGAGGGAAGAGTGCAGAGGGATACCAGCACAGGTTATGTGGAGAGAAGTTCGCAGACTATGAATGGACCTTCCAGGTAAATTGATGACACTCAAGTATAAACAATGAATAGCTTTAGTAAAAATCTATTAATGTAGATTTACTTTAGCATCATTCAATTATTTTCTAAAATCAAGAAAATCTAGTGTCAATCATATCAGATCCAGTATTGGAATGTGACAAGGGTTGTCCTCTACTCAAGAGCTCCAAATGTTTCCTAATATTTGTGAAATAATAAAGCCCCTTAGCTATAAACCAATCAAAATGATCATTACAATGACCGAAGGTTTGTATGGAAAAAAAAATCTTAAGTTTCCTTAGCCTAATAACTAAAAAAAACAATTTTAATGATATAAATATGAAGGTAAACAGAAACGTTCCATCTCCCACCTCCTGAATCCAGAACCAGTAAAAAACCAAGAACTTACGAGTCTGTGGCTCTTGCCATGGAGTAGCCATACAAGCTGTGGACATCGTAGTGAAGACCTGAGTAGAACTCTGTGTCCATGCAAAGCGTCCTTTCAGAAAGCGTACGATTGAGAACTCCTAGGAGGACAGCATCCATCAGGTGGCATTTCTCCTCCAGCCAACATCAGCAAAAGAACCACCCAGGTCTTCTCTTCCTGGTGACTACACCTTTCCCATCAATTTCCTCCTTCTCAGAGGTCAAATTCTATCCTAAAAGTCACTCCCTCCCCCCGGTAAAACCTAGACTGAACCTCTCAGGGACATGGATCCTTAAAATTAATTCCCAATATGTGGGGATGAATGCATCAATTGAGAAACGTGTTCTAAGAATGTTCAATTGATCTGAGAAGAAATACAAAGCATGTCTTGTTTATCTATATACATCCATAAAAAAGAATCACAGACTATTTTATACTCTACCTGCTCCCTTAACCATCGCCTCTCACATACATTCGTCCAAAATCAGAAAAGTCAGCCCTCATTAGAAATAAATCCCACAAATGAGAAAGACAAGAGAGACAGTGAGACGGATGAAAGGAGAGGGAAAAAAAAAGTCACACATTTACTTCAATGTTAGATAGGTTGTGCCTGTGGATATTCTGCAATTCTCATCATTTCAAGTTGAACCACTTGAGGGGCCTGGAACAGGTGAACTGAATGAAAGATTATGAGATCCTGGAGGGGAAGGACACCTGGAGGAAGTCCCCGGTTCAGAATAGTAACTGTCCACACACACTGCTCTTGTAATAGACAGCTGCAAAGTAACCAGAGGTCAAACCCCTGGAGAGGCTCAGTGAAGGTGGGGGGTATGTGTGGGGCTGGTCCCTGGCCTGGGAACTGAACTGCTCTTGACAACACTGTGTTGTTGAGACTGCCTTTATATTAGCAAGCAAGGAGAAACTTACTAGGCACAAAAGGTGGTTCGTTCAAGGTGTTTGATTCACACTCAAGATGGGGACCTTGGAGAAAGCTAGATACTTCATCCATTTCCTTCCAAGACACAAAATAAACAAAATGTAATACATCATTAATATCGGATTTGCTGTTTCAGTATTGCCTGGAAGAATTTAACAGAAGCTAAAATTTTTATCTGAAATTTTTCATCTTTTATTCCACTAAGGAGCAATAACAAAACCATTTTTAAATGAATCAAAAATACATGATGAGTCATTTTTGATAATGAATATATTTTACAAATTCCAGATAAATGTACTTGTCGGTTTCCCTGCACAGCCAAGTAACAACAAAGTTCTCATTAATTTATTCACTAGTGATCAACTTTTAATTTTTTATCAGCCAATGCTATAATTAGAGCAATCATAATTTTAATGGAACAGTATTTTAAGGTTGAAATGCAGTTAATGAAGGAAAGCAAAGAGTCCACAAAAGAACTGTTTAACAATATGAAATCATCAGTTACTGTCAGATTCAATATAAGAACCTAGAATTTTTAGGAGCCTACTTCAAAGAAAAGCTCAACATTAAGTGAAAGGATTTTGAATAACACTACATTAAGCAAACTTTGTTGTTAGAGAGCAAGATCAAAATGAGTCTGGAATAATAACTTACAATCCACACTCCATCAAACTCCAGGTATTTATAAAATTCAGTCAACTGCTCTGTCCACCACTGAGTGCCCACCGGGTTGCTATAGTCGGGAAAGACTGTTTGTCCAGGGTATCCCTAAAGAACAAACAGGAAGGCGTTGACCATGAGTGTGTTAAGTGATCAGATCATTCATTTACTACTCTGTACTGTTCTCCTGGAAGTCCCAAGTGCTTATTATTTTAAAATGTGTGACTCTGTAAACAATGACAAAACAGTGAGATACAGGGAAACAACGTAAAAGAAAAAGAACTGATTAAATAAACAAAATACCATCTCAGGTCTTTTTCTATGAAAAATGCACTATGTCATATTGTCATACGATTTAAGAGATAGGTTGTTTAAAATGCTGGCAAGACTAATTACTATAATTCAGAAATAAGTTAAATTAGAAGTAAAAAGCAGTTACTGAATGCCTTGCTGCCTCATTTTTTTTTCTTTTCCCAGATAATGAATATATAATACTGCAGCATCCGGACTTAGCTTTTGAAATTATTTAGAATGCTGATTTATCACAACTACTGGTTTAAAAATAGTAACAAAAGAGAACCCAGCGATAGCATTACAATTTTTCTTTTCTTCATCTCCCAGTCCAAAAACACAAACTGCTCCAAATAACTTTAATTGTTCTTCTTTGGAGAAATTACCTCCCCAACCGCAAAGCCATGACGGTCCAGTATCCACACTCTCTGAAGGCTTCCATTGTTATAAGCTGTGTAGTTAGGGCTTCTGAAGATGCCAGGGTTCTAAGAAAGAAATAAAACATAAATCTCATTTTTGTGCTTGTCCTTTGTCCTTTGAAAGAGGAAAAAAAAAAGGCAACTGGATGAGTGTTTGAACATACCATAATAATCACATATTTCTGTCCATTGTCATGTAACTCCTTGGCAAAATCGGAGAGACCAGGATAAGCGGTTTCATTAATGGTGAAATCTTTGTTTCCATCCATGTAGTCTATATCGGAGTACTGGACATCCTGAAAGACAGCTAACACCAGTCATTCAGAAACTAGGAAATACACCATAGTGACATGACTTTGAAGCCACATTTCTTCTTGCTTCTGGAACTTCCAGAATAATGCAGTCACCTTTCATCAAAGATGCAGCTGCCATTACGCTGTGGCTTTACCTTCTCTTCCTGACAGATGTATGTCTGAAAGCATTGCAAGGAACATGAGGGCACCTTGTTCAGCTGTGTACCAAAAGAGTCGGATGCTTGACGGAAAGCAGGTGCTAGTTCACATTCTTGTTTGAATGGGTCCATGAGTAATGTTATGGCCATGTACAAACTTGAACTCCAAAAATGAAGCCAGAATGTACCAGAATAGAAGAAAATTGCCAGGGTAGAGATTAATAATGACAAGTGTGGTTAGGATTCCACCTTGCAGTTGTGTGGCCTGGGAACATTATTAATCACACTGAGTCTTCATATTTTCATTTGCAAGATAGTGTTAAATACATGTTAATCGTGGGCATAAACATGCTTTCCAAAATAAATAAATAAATAAATTAGGTGTTAGTAGCAATCAGATTCCTCCTGGAATGGCGTTTTTGCAAATAGTGGATATCAGAGAAGTAAAAGCAAATACAAAATACAATTTCTCCTTAACGTCAAACAACACATGGCCATCTGTCATCTCACTGACGAAGTTGCTCTCCTCACTGGGCCTGGTAACTGCTCTAAGAGGCAGAATAAAGACTGTATTCCAGACCAAATTCATTTCTATCCACACAATCTCCCCTCTCATGTTAACATACATGTGCATTAGTTTGAGAAAAGTGGTCCAAAATATTCAGTCCTGACGTCTTCATCAGCCACATGTTATGTGTCTCTTGAAGAGGCTTATTAAACATTACACACTTTAAGGATCATCTTTTTATTTACTGTTGTGCATTGAACAGCACAAATACCTTCCAACCTTCAGTCTAGAAGTAGAACATAAGAAACTCATTTACTGCTGGTCAATAGAAGCATCGCCAGCTGTTGGCATTCAGGTGGCACTTTCTCCTAGAAAAGTGCACCTCCAGGTCATCCTTTATGCAACCTGCCTGGCATTCTTTACTAGAAGCCAACTCTTTCATACAGGTGGAAACTAACATTCAGGGATGTTAATTAGTCCAACACTGCATTGATCAATGAAGTGGTAAAGATAAAGTCGAAAGCCATATCCAATAAATGCCATAAATTGTGCACCCTCCATAATCAGATAGGTAATGCAGTATGTAAATATCTGACCAAATGCCTATCTATATTTTTCCTGATAATTAAGTTAAATACAAACAAAAAAAAATGAAGGATAGGGAATGATGCCGAATGTGTAATAAGAAAAGTCACAACTTACATACGGAATCTCAGCTTGACGAGTCCGTTCTACCACCTCTCTCAACCCCTGGATGCCACCATAATCCCTCCGACTCAGCTGGAACCCGAGGCTCCAGTAGGAAGGCAAGAATGGCCGACCAACCAGCTGCGAGGAAAATGAAGTATCTGAGCTTTTGGCACTCTGCTTGCAGCATCATGTCAAACACTGGAAACATTAGTTGTACTTGGTCTTCTGCAAAGTCTCCAGGCACAATCTCCTAGGGCAACTTGTGAAATTCCACACTTCACATCTTTCTTTGCTTGGAACCTAAATGTAGTCTCAACAACCACAACATCACAAAATAGCAGAATTTTAAGGGAACGCTTTCCATTTGTATCATTTTGAGGGAAAAAGCAATAACGTTTTTATTCTTTCAATAATTCTATTCTGGGGCCGGCATTGTGGCGCAGTAGCTTAAGCCAAGTCACCTGTGACGCCGGCATCCCATAAAGGCACTGGTTCTGTCCCAGCCGCTACGTCTCCAAAACAGCTCCTTGCTAACGTGCCGTGGAAAACGGCTGGGGCTTCTAACATCAGGCAGGAGACTCAGATGAATTTCTGGGCTCCTGCATTTAGCCTAACCCGTCCCTGACAGCTGCAGCTATCTGGACCCGGCGCCGTTTCCACTTCCTCACAGCTGACGAAACTCGCGCCAGTCCAGCCGTCCACCAATCAGATGGAACCCGGAATTTCACCTGAGAATCCCGCCCCCAATCGCCCCGCCCCTTCCCCAACTCTGCCGCCCCACTTACCAATCATTCTTAGGCAATCATCTGTGACAGTCTCAGGCACCAATCCCCTGGGGCCTGCCCTTAATCCCTCCTAATCCCTGCCTCCACACCTTGCAGGCTCACCTGAATGGCATAAAGGCCCCCAGGTACGGCTCTGTTTTTACCTTTTCCTTCCAGCTTCCCTCCCCACCACTTCCTCCCCCTTTCCTCCTCTCCTCCCCACAACCCATCCCGTTCCTGACTCGCTGGAATAAACCTCCTAAGATTTTAAATTAAAAAAAAAAAAAACGCTTTTTTTGTGAATTAACTTTTTAATTAACTAAAAAATATTTTTTCTGCACCTCATGTCCTGAGTAAGGTACAGCAGAAACAAAAAAGAATAGAATTCTTCAGGAGTAAGGCTTGTGCGATAATATAATGAAAGTAAGAGTTACAAAACAACTCTTTTTCTCTCTTCTTAAGCTATAACGTATGTGTGACGGCAGTAACAACGAACGAACACCTAAATGCAAAGCCATACCTCTAAGTACTCCTGGACCACTTGTTCCGGAGTGTTTCCAAGGAACACATAGAAGTCAAGAATGCCCCCAATTGTGCGGTAAGTGATGGCAGGAGCAGGCTGAAGGGTGACCTCTGAAAGGGTTAAAATGACGGTGATCAGAATCTCGTGGGTAATATTCCATAATGTGCATATAGCACTTTTTTTAAAATCCGGTCATTAGTTGGTAAATGTGTTAGTTGATGTCATTTTCAGCTATGTTTTCAATGAAAACGACTTATGGTATGACCTGGATTGCTGGGTAGGTGCATCTAGTCTCAGGTTTCAGCTTCAATAGAAGTATAGTCCATTCAATGAGCATTTTATCAAATAGTGGCATCACCATAAATGTGATTATTTTCTATAAAGCTGCTTTAGGAAATGTTCTAAAACTGATTTATGGTGGTGATGCTATTTCAAACCATGCTAATGTTCACAGAATATAAAAAAGGGTTTCCTACCCATGGCATTGCTGTTCATCAAAAACACTCCAAAAGAGAAGCCACTGGTGTCCTCTAGGCACAAGAAGAACGTGTGAGCTCCATACAAGTTAATCATGCCCTGTCGACAGCAACAACAACAAAATTCATGATGTTATGGGTATAGAATGCCTTCTTTTTCCCTAAAACTAAAATAAAAAGCCATGACTCGCATGCAGCTGGTCAATATTTGATATAGTTTAGTATTGTATCAAAAAAGACATTGAACTACCAGATAAACAATATATACATATAGATCCAAAAAATGGAATAATTTCCAACAATCAGAAACGAGCATTTCTCAGAATAGTTATGTTAAGAAGAAAAGCAGGCACAAAATATCATATAGGATGTGATTTCATCTACATGGTCTGTCTGAAAAAGGAAGGTACAGAGATGAGAACATGAGTGTGTGCCTGGAGCTGTAGGGAGCCTGGCATAGGAACCCAGAAGGTCATAAGGAATCCCACAGAGGTGATGAAAGCATTCTAAAACCAACATTTTTAGAATGGTGGCTCTTTTTAGAATGATGGCTGCTCGACTGGGTAAATGTATCAAAAGTCACTGAATTATGTCCCCAAACCAGAGGAATTTATGCATATAAATGATACCGCAGTAAAGCTATTTTCAAAAATTTTGAAAATATTTGTCCTGCTTTATAACAAAATTTTTACTACATGATGATTTTGTGATTTATTTTCGATTTCTTTGTTGTTGATTTTCTATGTAAAGTATGTTATATGGTAAATATATAAAATTTAAGTAGTAAGAAAGTTTAATAATTATATATTTGGAGCTGGTACTGTGGCACAACAGGCTAATCCTCCACCTTCAAGCACCAGCATTCCACAAGCGTGCTGATCATGTTCTGCCTGCTACACTTCCCAGACAGCTTCCTGCTTCTGGCCTGGGAAGGCAGTGAAGGATAACTCAAGTCCTTGGGACCCTGCACCCTTGTGAGAGACCCAGAAGAGACACCTGGCTCTTGACGTAGGAAGTGAACCAGAGGATGCTAGATCTTTTCCTCTCTGCCTCTCCATCTCTCTGTAAAAATCTGCCTTTCCAATAACTATTTTTTTTAAAAAAAGCTGCTTATCAAACCTGTCAGAAGGCTATGACGAGCATAAATATGAAAAGATATAATGTGTGACTATATGTGCTATAAAAATAATGGGAGTAAAATATGAAGAAGGTAACATAAGTTCCCTGTGAGATATTGTCATGATCTTCGCCCTTGTTATAGGGCAATACCTTGTATTATGGTAAATTTCTATAGAAGAAAAGAAAAAGAATTAGCTTTTCCTATGGCATAGAAATGACCAAGAAGCCTAGATTAGATATAACATTACAGTCATAGGGAAGGCATGTGGTACAGCAAGTCAAGCTGCTGAATGTGAAGCCTGAATCCCATATCTGAATCCCTGGTATCCAGCTCAGACTCCTGCTAAGCAAACCCAGGAAGACAACAGGTGAAGGAAGGCAAGGTGATAGCTGAAGTTCTTAGATTCATACCACCCAGAAGTTGTGGGCATCTGGGAATTATACCAGCAGAGTGTGTGTGTGTGTGTGTCCCCCTTCCTCTGTAATTCTGCCTTTCAAAAAGAAATAAAATAAAAGGAAATTTAAGGAAAAGCAGAGTAAGTGTTCAAAAACTTTCATTGCAATTTAAAAGGATAGTTCCTGCTTAAGCTCTCAACACTTAATTATTAAAAACAGATATGACCACTTTGACAAATTAGCATCCAATATCTACGGGGCTTTCACGCAATTATTAAATGATATTTTCCATCAAACATTTGACTTATTTAAATTGTTACAGTTAGAATCATGAGTTGCTAGGCCTCAAGGCCAAGCATTTCTCAGCGTTAATACATCTAACATGGACAACACAAGGTGTAGAGCTATCTCTGTAGGAGCTATGCAGAAGGAAGAGTGTTCCCAAAGATGAGTGATAAGCAGGAAGAAAGGAACCTCACCGCTACTGGGTCAGTGTCCCGAGTGAAGATGGGCCAGGTCTTCCAGGTCATGTTGTGGCGGTACTGCTGGTGTACATGTTCCCCTAGTCCATACACATTGTTGCTGGGCAGTCGGAATGACAGCTGTAGGTACTGGTGGGCAAACTGGAGGGGCCCAATGCTCGTGTCCAACCTAGGCCATAGGATAAAAGAGAGTTACTCAATAACTCTTCCGTCTGCCACGAAGCTGGCAGCTACGTTCCACATACACCTGCAGATCAGGGATTATCCATCTCCAAGCCAAGATCTTGGAATCTAAAGGAGCATGGCAGTATCAACAGGACGTCGGGAGCCCTGGGTTGTGGCTGGGAAACACCTGGGTTCCAGCCGTTTTTTGGAGGTTCTTATCCGGCTGCTTCTGGCTAAAGTACATATCTGTGTTCCCTTCTTAGAGACCAGGAAACTGATGGGAATGAGGTGAGGAACTCTGCCCCAAATCACCCAGCTGATGGGTGCTTTGCTTATGAAAACTGACATAATACACTCTTGTGTTCTTTAGAAGCATATCAGATTACAGTGTTAATACGTATACAGAAATTGTTGACACTTTTCTGAGATTTGAGCGTTTTCCCAGGTTATACTTATCTCTGTGCCCAGTAAGTCAGAATAAATGACGTGAGATACTCACAAGACTCTTCTGTTGCTTGTCCTTATTACTTTGAGACTGAAGGGTTTGTTTGTGATCTCTACATGATAGCTCAGACTGGAAGGGTCAGCAGTCTCATTAAGCGTCTTAATGTTTTCATGGGGGACTTCGTAGCGTAGGTTACTGGGATCAGTAATCTGTCAGAAATAAAGCAGACCAGACAATTCCCAAAAAGACTATCTCTTCATATAGTTCCCTCACCAATATATCTCCAAGACAATAGACTCTGATTCTTTTCCCTGTAGTTACTGATGGGTAAGGAGAAATCACCCAGTCGAATACACCTGCTCAAGTAAAAATGAGCCATCCAACCCCATCCAGGGATTCCTGTGGGGAGCGACAGAGATGCCGCCTGCCCGTGCACCTTCGTGTAATGCCTGATCCAGAATGCAGTAAGTCCAAAGGATGTCATTGCTTTCTCCAGACCTGAACTCAGTGGCACTGCCAGACCAACCTTAAAACGAAAACGATTTGATGTCTGATTTTCAGCTGTGAGGAGGGCGTTAAGGACATCATTTCCAAACAGAGATGGGGATGCCACCCTTTTCAACTGAGCAGTAAAACCTAGAAGAAGAGAGAAAGGGAGAGAAGTTTTTAACTTTGGTTTTGTGGATTAATTTATCTGGGTTAGAATGAGTTACTGCCTAGAGCCCCAGCGAAAGTTCACCTGTGCTTGTGTTTGTAATGCCACCACTGACTTCGTAGCCCCAGTTCCTGGGGAAGAAGCACACAGGAACATCTACAGCTGCCTCAGGTTTCCAGCAGCACTTCAGTTTCGATCTGCAGGTATCCTATAACAGCACAAGTTCACATGGTTGAAAATGCAAGAAAGGAGGAGTTATTTATCTACTCCTCTAGATTCCTTCTTATTCCAACGACAACTTAAGACAGGTGATCATTGCACTAATTGATTTGTTCCTCCAGTATCCATACATTCACCCAGCCACTCAATAGACAGTTTTATCTGCCAAAGCTATATAATCCAGCTACATATAGCCTAGATCTTGCCTTCAGCAAACTTACAGAGTAAGTAAATTCAGAAAATTACACAGGTAATTACATGGGCCAATTATTCTCTTTAGGTAAATATATACAGCTATTACATGCATGTTGTGGTCAGCACTTCCACTAAGATGCTTGTGTCCCAATCAGAGAGCTTGGGTCAAATTCACTACCAGTTCCTGATACAAGTGTCTGCTAATGTGGACTCTGGGAAACAGCTGTGAAGGGCCAAGTGATGAGAACCCTGCTACCAACGTGGGCCAGGTACACAGCCCTGACCTTCAGCACTACTTGGTCCAGGTCTTTGGGAGTGTAGCAGGCACTAGAAAATCTTTATATCTTTTTCTGTCTCTCTTTCACTCATCCCAGAGAGTTGAAAACAAAATGGAGTAAACATGGCACATTGCTAACTGCAATACTTTTCAATTCTGTCACTTCTGCTTTGCTTGCTTGGCTATGAAACTGTGAGACTGTGAGATCGCAGGCCAAGCAGCCTGCATGACCTTCAGCACAGATAATTCTCAGTTCCCGGGAATCAAAACCAGGGTCTGGTTATCTCACAGGTGGCTCCAAGGCTTAAGTCCGATTATCTTAACTACCAGTCCGGAGAAGAGCTAGGCACACGGCACACACTGTCCAGCTGCAACAAGCTTTTATAAACTGTCCCTACAAAAATCCTGTAAATGTGTTGCTCGAAGCCACCTTCTGGTAAGGGATGTTGGTCCTGGTCGGTCAAGCAGTCAGATTTGTTTATTTATCTGAAAGGCAGAGTTAGAGAAAGGATGAAAGACTAAGAGATCTCTCATCTGTTGGTTCAACATCCAACTCTCTCACATGGCTGCAGGAGCCAATAATCAGGTCATACTTCACTGGCCTCTCAGGCACATTAGCAGAGAGCTGGATCAGAAGTGGAGCAGCCTGGGCTTGAACTAACACCCATACGAAATGTTAGTGGCACGATTGCAGACATAAACCCACTGTGCTGTGGCACCATCCCTTACAAATCTTTACATAATAGAATACTAATTAACTAAAATTGGATAAGAAGCTACAGAACACCTGAAATGATCAGTCATCACGAAAAATTTTGAGAAATACTTAAGGTCCTTTTTCTAAAAAATGATGTTTTGCCATATGGTTATAGTATATACCTGAAATTTTACTTACAAATGTGGACATATACAATTTTAGCGATTTGAATTCATTAGTCTTTTAGAATAATGAATATATCACTGCCAACAGTGAAAAAATAGTTCAAAATTCAGAATTCTGAATATTTCACCATGCTCACAGAAGAAAGTCATATTTCAAAGAAGCCAAGTGTTTTAAGCTTGCAGTAATAAAATTAAAGTTATTCATCCTGAGTTTAAAAAGTAAGTTGAAAATATAGAATAAAAGTGTGTTAAAACATAAAGTGTATATATACACAGATATGCATAGAATCTATTTAAAAGTTTAGATATATTGGGAAAAGGATACATGCTAAGCTACTGACTTTATTTTAGGGACAGGGTGGAATTTTGAGGTAGAAAGAAAACACTAAGAATTTTCTCCATTTTACTCTGTTGACAACTCTAATGTCCGAATCTTTCTTACTAAAGAAATGTATTCAGTAGAGTCTGTGTAATCCAAACACTAACAACAATAACATAATATGACACTACCCATTGGAAAAAGGTATAGGACCCACAATGAAAGGTATCTTAGAAGTCCCTATTTGATGCAACTGTTCTGAAAAAAAAAAAACCTATATGAATATAACTTAAATCACTGTTCTATGCCTATAAAAGCAAAACAATCACAGGATAAGCAAAAAGTTTTATTAATGTCTAACTCACATTCCTGCCCCATTGTCTTCAGGTAACCAAAAGCACGGGAGGGTCCCCTGGTTGGACTCTTGACACCTGATTTTCCTCAGTGAAGGGCAGACCCTGGGGACCTCTATCATCCTGAGACTGTGGCCTGTACAGTTCAAAGTTTAGTTTCATGGTCATAAATTGCTTCAAAGTCTACAGACGTCTATTACAAGCAATAAACACTCAGGACACCATGATGTTTTTTGTGTACAAACTTCCCTAACATCCCTCTTCCTGTTTTAAGGCACTTCCAGTATCCCAGGCACCAGAGGTCAAGCCCTGGAGATGATGACCTTAAAACGCTTTTAAATTCCACATTTCTTCCATGTATGTACATACAGCACAGGAAGGCAAGAGTCAGCATTGGGGATCCCCAGGAGAAGGAGCTTGTCCATTTCACCTGCCCCCCACAATAACAGATGCTCATAAACTCGGGCTTGGATGTCAATGTCCATTCATAACATCTCCTGGTCTCTATTCTGTGCTTAACACCAAAATTTCCCAAGAGTACTCTCCAGTACCTTCCAAACAGATTCCATATCATTTATGAACCAGACATTGTTAACAGAAATTAGATTGAAAGGTGACTTGGAAACTGTCCAGTGCAGCCACTACATGAGATAAGGATTTCTTCAGTCCCCCCTGTAAATGCCTTCCTCCCACAAATGATCTATAGCGCACTTCTTGCAAAATCAGCAAACCCTGCTTCTACCAAGTTAGCATCCATCAGTCTCCAGAAACGTACATGTTTTTAAACCTAATATATTTATGTGTTAGATTTTAAACTTGGTTAAATTTTTAAACTGGTTTTAATCATATTGAAAATTACAAGGAAAATGACAAAGAAAATGAAATTATAAGACAAAGAATAAAATGAACCGTGCATTGGTAAAAACGTTCAATGGCTTTTTTTGTACAGTTTAGTCATATCAGAAAAATATAGCATGTTCTGCAAACAAGGAAAGTTAAAAATATACCTTGGTTACAAGATCAGTAATCAAAAATTGATCTATATGCCACAAATATACAAAGAAAATCTAACTTTAAAATAATGTTTTAAAACAATAAATTATCAAAAAATCCATATCAAAATGTTCAAAGTCGAAAGTCTCAGTATATGTAGTTATATACAATGTTTATAGACTGGAACAATTACTCTTGTTATGGTTGAAATTCTCTGAAAATTAACCTTTAAATGTGATGAGTCACCTTCAAATTTGCAGTAGGTTTTGTAAAGAAATTCACAAGCAGATTGCAAAATTTATTCAGAAATCTACTAAAGGGAAAATAATGAATGAGGCCATTTTGAATTAAAAAATGAAAATGATTTGAAGAGCTTATACAGCCACATACTAAGACCTATTTTAAAGTTAGAGTAGCTAGGCCAGTGTGGTATCATAAGAAAATCCTATTAAAAGTGGTTCACATATGTAAATAAAATGATTTATGGTAAAGGTATCAATGCAACGAAGAGGGGAACAGATAAGTGAACACAGCAGGCTGGGAGAGATCTATTTTTAAAAATACCATAAAAAAACTCAATGCAAGAACTGATAAAGTTTTAAATTTGAAAATTAAACAGTAATTCTCTTATAAGAAAAATAGAAACACTGCTCTCCTAGATTGAACCTCAATGTACATGGAGAGACTTCTTGTGTTTTAGAATGGGAAGAACAGAAATATTAAAACACCAATATTTAAATTGTACCTAAAATTCAACTCAGAACCAACCATCACAATAGAATACTGCAAGATCTAAAATGTAGAACAAAGGGTAGGAGAATAAGATAGACTCGAAATTTATGACAAACATAAATCGCAACTGAGTTTTTCAAATATTTGTCTTACGAAAGTGACTTGGTGAGTTTGTTTAACGAAGGCTCCTCGGTGAGATAATGTTTTCTTTAGGACACATTCATTGGAACTCTGTTGCCAAGAACAGAAATGCAGAAGGCTCCTGCTATGAGAAGCCACGTGACAGTCTCTACTCTCAGGGATCAGAATCCAACTCTCAGACATTTTTACAGCCATTCTCAGACCTGCCCTGGGAATGCAGTTGCAGCTTCCCTTCCACTTTGGTGGAGTTTTGGACCAATGCTGGCTCCTCTAACTTCTTCCTTGCCTCCACTTTGCCGCCCCCCCCCCCGACTTTCTGAGTATTGTTGTTCATTGCATTGCTGTTAATTTCAGAGACCCATAAACCATGCTACCACCCTGCCACACCCTCTCCAACTTCACAGACTCGTTTGCTTTTAAAACAAACCCCAGGAGATCAACACGAGGGGTCCCATGTCTCTGACCTCTGTCACCTCCTGTCCTGGTGCACAGTCTATCCTTTCAGATCCGGATATATCAGGACATTCTGGAACAAACGAATCTGTACAGAGAAGTGAAAAACAGACGATGTACTCTAAGTTCCAGGGAGAAATCAGGCAGTGTTACACATGTGCAATCAATTCTCTGCCTGAACACGTCATTTAGATATCTGGTATCTATATTTATATGTGATGCATAACACTTAGTTTAAACTTTGTCTAGTTTTTTAAAGAGACATATGCACACACCATTAAAGCAATCTTTCAGATTACACAATTCAATAATATTTAGTATTTTACAAAACTTTTTAGCAAATTATTGCCATTTAGTTTCAAAATACTTCCTTCTCCTTAAAAAGGATTCACCGTCCATCAGTGGTCACTGTTTTCATTTTCACCCCATCTCTGGAAAGCTCTAATGCACTCTATCCCTGTGAATTTGCCTATTGTAAACATTTCACATAATCAGAAACAAAATATTTGACATATTTTGTCATGCCTCTCATGCTTGGCATGATGTTTTCAAATTTCATTGGTGGTCTAGTATGCACCAGTGCTCTCTCCATTTTTATGATTTTATTTATTTATTTGAAAGGCAGCAATACAGAGACTAAGATGGTCAGAGAGGGAGAGAAAAGAGACAGAGGGAGAAAGAGTCTTCCATCTGCTTCCTCACTCCCCAAATGGCCACAACAGCCAGGTCTGGGCCACTTTGGAGCCAGAGCTTCTTTAGGGTCTCCCAAAATGGGGGCCGGGGCCCAAAGATGTAAACTGTTCTCCAGGTGCATTCAGGGTGCTGGAGACGAAGTAGAACAAAATGAGACTTGAATGATGTTTTATTATGCATTCTGTTTTACTATTCTATTTTACATAGAATGTGCCTGGCAGAGAAGGGATTGTGTTTGGTGTGTGTGTGTGTGTGTGTGTGTGTGTGTGTGTGTGTGTGTGTGTGTGTAACAGAGAGAATAGCTTCAGAGTCATCTGTGAAGAGATCATAATTATTTTAATCATAAAATAGGCTGGAGCCTAATTGAAGCTGATATACTTAGGTCAATTTAACCACGATTCCCTGTAACCTAATTTCATTTTCTATAATGTTGTGTGTTGGGCGTGGAGACCTTAATTGTTTTCTCTTGTTGTAAACTCTATTGTTTCATGACTCTGGGTCTAGACACAGACTGGTGAGCATAATTTTGTATCCCATTAAAATTGCATGAACAAGGCTGGAAGGACTCTGAATGTCATTAACATTAAAGGTTTAGTTACAGAAAAGACGCATGTGTTTTGGAGATTAGCTTAAATTAATTATAGATATGGAATTTGAATATTATAGCACAGCAGCCTGCTGAAAAGTGAAGAAATAAAGTGATGCCTCCTTTATATATGAGAAATTTTCCCTACCCATCCTTCCAACATGCCAAAGCATGTCTCTTACCTGAAGAGATATTCAATAGAAAAAGCCCTAACAAGATATCTGCAATGCCTACGACAACAGTGAAGGTGATCAGAAGGATTTCCAGCACACTGAGCCTTCTTGCCATCTAGAAAAACACAAATGACCGGATTAAGACCAACCATTAGATAATTCTACCAATGCAAGAGTATGCATAAGCATTGTGAATCTGTTTGCAAGATATGTCCCTCTTCATGCAACCCAAATAATATTTGTTTCCACTCACCCCAGCATCTGCAAATAACTCTGTAATGAACACCCAAAACCTCTTGGACACTTGCCCTTTTTTTCATCTGCCAAGGATTTAAGATTACCCAAGGAAACGTGTATCAGATTTAAAGAATTGGAAGAAGAGAGTGGAATCACAAACTGAAGAAAGAAGTTGAGATGGTTCACAAAGCCATTTTAGATTTCACTCGAACCTTGCTATGTATCTTGGGTGGTAAAAAGAAAACATGCTCAGAAGGCAAGTAAATAGCAAACTGATGCTCGTGGTTGCTGCTGAGGTACTTAAGCATTAATAGTTCTTGGATCCTTTTAAGAATCTGCCAACACAAGTGAACTTGTTCCTTATCTCCAGTACAATGCTGCTGGTGTGGTCACAGTATATAAGCTTACATAAATTCAGTGGCTCACAGTAATCCTGAAAATTCCCCCATTGACCCTGATTCTATACAGTTGCTATACTGGAAGAAGTTCTAAACTGAGAATCAAAGAATTTGAATTCTTTTTTTTTTAAAGATTCACTTGTTCATATGAAGCTCAGAATTAGAGAGAGAGAGAGAGAGAGAGAGAGAGAGAGAGAATCTTCCGTCCATTGGTTCACTCCCCAAATGGCTATAACAGGCAGGGTTGGGTCATGCCAAAGCCAGAAGCCAGGAGCTTCATCTCAGGTCTCCCACATGGAAACAGGGCCCCAAACCCTAATGCTTTCCTAGGCACATTAGCAGGGAGTTGGATCATGAGTGGAGCACCCAGGACTCAAACTGGTGCCCATATAGGATGCTGGCATCGCAGGCAACACCTTAACCTGCTACAGCACAACTCCAGTCCCAATACTTACTATTTAACTTTCAGTTGAAGGAATTGGACACAAGCTGATCATGTATGCCTCAGCCCCAGTGTTAGTGCACAAGAACCTTCACCCCTAACTTTCTTGGGAGCCTGGGAATTAAGCAATAGCTGTCTATCTGCTTGCTGTGCGATGTGCAATAAATGCATATTTTCTTCCACCACCCCAATGTTAATGATTGGCTGTCTTTGCATCGGGTGAAGTGGACCTCATTTAGGAGTTTAGGGTCCTACAACTATGCTTCCAGCCAGTTTGGAGTACTGTTTGGCAGTATGCATATGTTCTCTAGGGTTCTCAACCACTGAATTTCTCAAAAACGGTTCCACCAATGGCCCCTTGTCTTTCTTGCATTTTCAGTCTTTCCCACTGAACTCGATTTCTTCTTCATTAATGAATGAATCCAAGCCAAGCTAGAATATTGCTGATGCTGTATTCTTCTCTAGGTCCTACTTCAGGTTTCTTTTTCATTTCATACCTTATCTTCAAGGAGGGTAATTCCACATGCTATCACTTTCCTCATATATTATTGGTGTGGCTTGTGTTTCCTGCATTCCACTGGCACTTGTTTCTTCAAGGTTCCCAGGTTCATTCTTTCAGAATACAATGGGCACTTTCTTAATGACCTCCTGCATCAGCCCCTCCTTCCTCCTTGAACCTCTCCACCTATAGATTCCTTGATATCATTCAGTCTTGGTTCCCACCAGTCTGGCTCCTTTTCAACTTTCCTCCAGTCTCTTGTTTCAGAAATGTTTTTTCTCGTATTTTTAAGTAAACCTTCCTTTTAAACCCCCTCCTTGAGCAATCCATACCAATCATGTGACTTCATATAGCATGTGATGGCATCCCAATCTGTTTCCGACCTAGAAGTTTAGCTCCGCAGTCCAGTGGCCTGGCAGGTGTCTCATTTAGATATTCCACAAACTTAGTATATTCCAACATGAAGCTATCTGTACACACATACCCAACATCTGTTTCCCAAATAACTGATACTTTGAGAAACGGGATAGAAAGTCTGAGAGTCCATTTTTCCTTATCACATCTCTCTTTCTGTAAGTTCTGACAGCCAGTTCTAATTTTGTCATGGAAGTCCTTCCAATATTTTTGAAAAGTGACCCAGAACATGCAGAATCGCACGGATCTCTGTGATCATTTACTTATTTTTATTGCAAAAGATAGAGTTACAGAAAGAGAGAAAGAAAGGAAGGAATGAAAAACAGTAGATTTTCCATCTGCGGCTCTGCTGCTTCACTTCCCAAATGGCTGCAAAGCCGGAGCTAGGTGGATCCAAAACTAGGAGCCAAGAGTGTCTTCTGGGTTTTCTAGGAGGATGCAGGGTCCCAAGGTTTTGGGTCACCCTCTGTTTCTTTTCTAGGCCACAAGCAGGGAGCTGGATGGGAAGTAGAGCAGCTGGGACACACCCTGGTGCCCATTTGGGGTGCCAGCACTGGCAGGCAGATGATTCGCCAAGTGAGCTATCATGCTGCAACCCTATATTCATCTTAATGTCAAACTTTTTGTTTTGAGATCAAGTGCTCACACCACCTTCTATACTCATCTATCTGCTTGCTTTCACTCCTGTTGTCTTCCACAGTAAAGCAATATTTAGGCATAAGGAATGTAAATAAAAGTAGAGGAAGGAATTTTTCTCTCTTCTGTTTTGTTTTACTATGTTTCTGTATCCATTTTATATTTCCCTGTACTCCTGCTCTTCTTAATCCCACTCCAATATTGTGATCATTTTAAAGCTGTTTTTATTTATTTTAAAGGCAGAATAACTAAGAAGAGACAGAGAAGGGTCTCCTTCTTCCTTGAGTTCACTCCCTCAAATGCCCATGGTGACTATGGTTCAGCCAGGTGAAAGAAATAAGGAACTCAGAGCTCTACTCAGATGTCCCACATGGGTGCAGGGGCCCAAGCACTTTGGATCATCCTCTGTTGCTTTCCCAGATGCATTAGCAGGGAGCTGTGTCAAAATGTTTAGCATCCAGGACTTGAACTAGCAGTCTGATGAGAGATGCCAGATTGAAAGCTCCAGCTTAATCCACTGCACCACAAAGCTGCCCTCTGCCTCTAAATCTCTACAAATATTTTCATATAAGCTTCAATAATTAACTGATGCAGCATTTAGTTTAATGTATAATATCCCCCAAATCACATTAATATTATAATGAGGATAAGAAATAAATATCCAGAGCATTCACCAAGGCAATCTAGCTGTTAGTCTTTAAAGATACTAATATTGAAACTGAAATCAAAATTTAACTATGTTTGCTTTTAACCTTGTCAATTGTTTCTTCTAGTCTATTATTTTAAAAGATTGACTCTAATCCATGTATAGTAGGTTTATTGTTGTATTATTCTAAAATCCTACATCAGGATTTATCAGACATGCACTTTGTCATTATATAAATGAATATTAATAATGTTTTCTACTGTGGTCGGTTGTAGAACTGACACAAATGGTGGGAGCCTCTGTATCTTAACATAGTCATTGAGTACTCTGGTCACAACGCCTTCTAGACCTACAACATAATCCTGCAGTAGTGGAATTTCAAACCATGGAAGAAATCTAAGGAACCCATCCTATACATCCACCATTTCTTTGTTTCTGATACAAATAACAACCTCCTTCTTCAAGTATTGTTTTGGTTTCAAGGGAAATTTTTCTTTCCAGGCCCTACAAGTCAGAAGTAGGCACCTTCATATAGCCCAAATGCTTTCTAAGAAACAGGTGTAATACCCAGCTCAACAAGTCCAGGAACACTCTACAGACAACCCCAGACCTTCTGCAGCCAGAGGTGGGGTCACTCAGCCATCCCTGTAGCAACAGGCATCCCTACAATTTTTCCCTTCTAAAAACACCAACACACATGTTCATTCAAAATACACACACACACCCCACACACTTTTCTTTTCCATGCACTATTCAGCCTCAAAGCAAAGGAAGAAAATATCAGATCTGGAAGAAAAGAAAGGGTATCCAGAGCTCACAACACAGTAGGTAACAGGAATACACAATTCTTTTCAAGGCTTCCACTTGTTCCAAAAAGCATCAGTACAGGAAAGCACTCACCTCATAGCCTTACTATTATTTTTTCTTTCCCGTGGCTATCCTTCAGGGACTCTTGAAGAGCACTGAGCAAAGGTGACTGTGTCCGATGGAGTCACCTTCTGCTGCAATCGATTTATTGCCCTATAAAGTTGCCAGCAATTGGAGGACAGGAGTGTATTTCCCAACAGATCGTAAAAGAGCCCTTGCTCTCTCTCTCTCCCCGTGTCACAAAAGAACATTCCATTTGTTGATCAAGGGGAAGGCAGGGACTTTCTCCTAATAGTAGTGACTTCTCTGTGGCCCTTTTCATTTCTGGTTAGCTTGCTTATCACATGGTGTTATATGTGCTTTTTGGTCCATGTAATATGCAGAGCTTAAGAGCCAAAGTCATGTCCATTTTCTTCATGGTTGTACCTTCTGTACTTGTCTGATCAACACAGATATTTTTAAGTCCTATATAGCTAGGTTGTTGGTGGTGTAGACCTTGCCGGAACCTGTTGGCCATTAAGTCTGAGTGCCACACAGGTCTATTTTGACTGGTGCAGTACTACAGTCGGTATTATTTTCCTGTGGAACCAGTGCAATGCGATGAGCTCGGTGAGTTCTCACCAAGTTCAGCGCATGTACAGCCCACTGCTGTCCCCTGCAGTCTTAAATTCTTTGCCACGCTATACAAAATGGCACCTGGTGTACCACTACTAGAGTTCTTGATCTGTTGGCTGTCAGGTCTGGGGACTACCCAGACCTATCTTGGGTGGAACCTGTAGGATGCCATGTTGTTACATTTCACTGAACCAGAAATGAGTTCGATCCCAGCTCAGTGCATGCTTAGTTCATAGCCTTTGCTTCCTTAAAATGGCACCTGATTCAGCTCTAGGGGTTGGATTGGGCTGTGAAATCCAACCTGTTCCTGCACTGCCCATCTGGAATCTGCTGCTCTGTCTCTGCTCCTGGTCAAATCGAA